CGCCAGATTGTACGTGCTGGATCTTGCACAATATAAACACGAGAACAGATCTCTCCCTTGGTGAACTCGAGTGAGTTAGTCGAGTGGTCAACCCTGCTGTTTGGAACAGCCTGTGAGGTCCGGTCATAACCTGAAACGGTAATGGGAGACCCTCGTGGATCAATGGAATGATCCAGTAAGTCTGAGGAAAGTTCCTGAAACAAAGAAAGACAAGTTAGAAGGGCGCCGGAGTGTTTTTTGCCTTTTACGAGGAGTATTTATACCTCAAAAACTCATGATTGCTGTCAGTGTGGTCCAGTAGGTGATCATTAGGTACAGGCAATGCGTGCACGATTTCCTATGAGAAATGTTTTCTCTTTTAATTGCTCGGGATCCCGAGCAACCAAGACTGTGTCATCGGCCTGCCGACTGTTCAATGAGCTCCTCTCGGGGAGGATGTAATAAATGTCCAGCCTTAGAGACATTTATTACCTTTCATTTCCGAGCCTTACCGCATTAAATGCTGTCTCATCAAGGGAATGGTGTAATTAAATGCTTGTTTTCTCAAGTCGTGTGTCAGCAAGGGCATCCAGTCTTTCTACCTCTGATGTGACATAATATGCCACGCGTCCATTTTCCATTGGTTATGTCCCCTGCCTTCCTGTGCCTTCTGGCACCAATTGTGTAAGACGAAGTCATGATAGTTAGCCTAGGCTAGTGATCTGTACATCAATAGCCTCTGCAGAGCAGAGAACGTCATCCTGGATGGAGGTACATCTCGGTACCGAGGGGGGAGGTACATCTCGGAGCCGAGAGAGGAGGTACATATAGCGACTGATGTACCCATATCAAACCGAGGGATACGTGTCAGTACGTAAACGTACTGGATGCACTTGATCCCTATGACAAGTACCTCGGAGGAGTGGGACTTGTGAACCGATGGGTACGTGATCTCAGTAACAAAGATTTAGTGACATCGAGGATACATGTCTTCATCTCGGAGTATTTCGAAAATGTCCCATCACACGTGTTATGTACTCAACTATTGATCCAAAAGTCTAATGATTTGTAAAAAGTTAGTGTTAATAATTATTTGAACGTAACATTTTATGACGCTGTTAAGTCCAATGTTAACGCATTGGGCCACTCTCTCGACGCTGGCCCAACGCTAGCCCTTTCTCTTTGACAGTTTCATTCATGTACCAATATTCAACATAATAATATTATACTCATACACAATACTAAAACATTTTAATCCAGCAAGTAGGCCATCTCTTCCTTGACTTAAACTCATGACGTGGTGTCTGCTTTGATACCAATTATTATGAACTCAACTGTTGATTCAAATATTCCAAGACTTGTGGGGGGTTAGAGACGACACATATTTTGGATGGATCGAATGTCTTATACGATTTATATATTTTGAACCATCATCTACTCTGTGACCTTAATTGAGTGATCGATCCATGATCCTTCTAATGTTGTGTAGTAAATAAGAGGTCCAGTGGGATTTGAATCAAGGATCTTTAAATTCTAATATCATTTAAATTAGCACATATACTTTAAAAGCTTAAACTATCTATAATAAAGGAGGTTGTAACATATATATTTATCCGATAATATAAATAGTAACTAATGCACAAATTTTTATTTATATCAATGGTCAATCTTACCTAGGGGCGTTTAATTTTTTGATTGACTGCAATTTTCTATCTTACCCTATGTTACCGAACTGTTAGTCACAAAAATCGGATAGGAATACAGAAGAGTTTTTGGTCTTCCAATTAAATCGGGTAGGAATGCGGAATACCCATCAATTTCGCATTCTTACCCTATCCTACCCGCAAAAAATATATTTAATTTTTTTATATTTTTTTAGTAATTATAATAGTAATTGTGTGATATAATTTATATTACAACATTATCATTGTTGTGGATGTTTGAGTTACTAAGACATAGACTTGTTTTTTTGTGTAGGTTACATAATTTGTGATGAACTAGTGATCTATTTGAGCAGTTATGATTTTAATGTGTTTCATATAGTTTAAATTTTAAATAATAGTTATTGTATTTATGTAATAATTATGATGGATTGATGTTCATGCTTTCTTGTGTTTTAGTATAATTGTTGTTGTAGTTGTTTTAAGTTTTAGTGCTATTGATTTATTGTGTTGTTAAATTAGTGTATGTTATTTAATTAAATTGTTAAAATGATCCAAAAATTAATAGCAACATATGTGTTTATCCGATTTTCTACCCGACTTCTTACCCGATTAATCGGGTAAGAAGTCGAGTAGGAATGTCACACCTGATCGGGTAGGGTAAGGTAAGAAAAAATTCTTCCGCAAAGTATCAAGTAGGAAGACGAAAAATTATATTTCCTACCCGTAGGATAAGGTGAACACCCCTGGTCTTACCATTGATTCAAAGAGATTTACTTTCAAATATGAACTCACTGGAAAAAAAAAAAAAACAAAACTATATACTGATTTAATTGATAAATTGATGATGAAGGAAAAATCTTCTGATTCAAGGCCATCTAGAACAAAATTGATGAAGATGGAAAAATCATGGAAATCTAACAGTCAAACTGACTGGATGCATGCCGTGTTGGAAATAAGATACATGTAATAGAATATAAACAAAAGACTGTGTCATTGACATATCATTTGATCAAAAATTATGTAATAAAATGATGTTTTCATCCCAGTTATTTTTAATTTTTTAATCAATGAAAGAACAAAATATATATATATATATATATATATATATTATGGACAAAAACTCCGTGGGGTTCCTTGTTACAGCTCAAATATCGGGGGGTTTTGGTGTTTACTCACCAAAACTTCGGGGGTCAATGTAATTTACGTTAGAATTATTTAAAAGTTAGAGGCAAGTCTTTGTCAAACTGCATTATGGGATTGTGACTTCCTATCAGTTAGAGATCCCAAGTCAACAGCATTTGTCCTACACTACAAAGTTCAAATGCAACCAGATTGGATCATTGCAAACTAAAAGTAATTTATAAGTGATACGGACGAAACTCAATGCCAAAGCTTCGATGGCTCAAAAGCTTGATCAGTCCAAGAGCCCAGACCAAACAAGGAGGATTTAGCATCGGCAAAAAGTCTATTACCCAGCAATCCAGGAACAGTCCAAATCATAAAACGGTTTGGAGAATGAAAGCTCAGTCCAAGCTATTTTTGGACCGCCAGAGGGGACCACACATCCAGGGGATCTGGAGAGACCACTCCTAACACCTATGACAATTTCAAGGAAGGTGGAGCGTCAGGCTGCCAGAGATCATGGCGACGACAGCGCCAGATGAACAGTGATCATGGTGACAAAAGAAACAGGAATGAGACAGAGGAAAGGAGAGCTGAAGGCCTAAGAGGGACTAATATAAATAGATAACGATAACCCAGAAAAATAGAAGACCATCTTTCCCAAAAAAGATCAAAGAACATTTAAGAGCCTAAGAGCGTAAAAAGCTGAGAGAGAATACCAAGATACTCATCCATTGTAAGTGGACTCTGAGTCCCGAGTTACAGGAGGCACTTTACAGGCCGATGAATATATAAATCCAACGAACAAGAGATTCCGTTGAAAATTGATGTAACTTTAGTACTTCTGCTAAGATTAATCACTTATATTCTTAGTCTAATTGATTATAAAAGATTAATTTATAACCTGCAAAACCATTTCACAATACTATTCCGTTATAGTTGGGCTTGGGTCACAAATTCCGACCACCATCAATAAGTATCTCAGCACATAAGCAATATTTGACTGCTTAGATATTTTTTTGTCCATGGACCAAGTCAGTCTTTTTTTCCTATCCCTTCCCTTAGGTGACCCAATTTTTGTTTTTTTTTGACTAGTCTTGAAAATGATATTCAATGACTTTTAAGCTTCACATATCCCCGGGGGGGGGGGGGGGGGGGACTTTTTAACAACTACTGGTACAAAAATAATGGGCCAACTCATAGTCTAAGTCAGCCAGTTGCTCTGCAACTTGTGCAATATGTACAAAAAATGACGATTAGACTAATAGCTAGTCATTACTAGGGAAGGCTACATTTTTTTTTCTCACTTATGTGGGGTCAGATGATTTATTTGGATGATCGATATTGTAAACAGAGGTGGAGCCAGGATTTCATCGCAGGGGGCCAAACAGTTTCAAGTTTATTCTTGGATGTTTGTTTTTACTGAATTATTGTTAACGTTAAATTTTTGAATACATGGAATTTATTATAATTAATTTCACACCATACATTCTAATGTATTCATTTTCAAAAAGAATTGATAAAACTTCATTGAATTTTTTTTTTTTACTCTTAAACGATGACACTAATTTTACTTTACATATCAACTATTGATTCGATAATTTCGTACTATTCAAAATTTAAATTTTTTACAAAACCAAGATTTAATGATTTTTCCAAAATGTCACCATTGGAATGGTTAATGGTGCAATGTGCTCAATTCAATAATTGAGGGTAAGTAAAAATCAAGATCATAACGTGGTATAAAGTATAATTTCCAAAATTTAAGATGCATGAAAAAAAAATTAAAAACATAATTTAAAGGTATAATGTGCAATTTAAAAACTTGAGGGGAGCCATGGCCCCCTTATTTGACAGCCTTTTATTTTTTAGGTTAAATTCTTCTCATACAAGCGGTCCATAATCTTCTTTGGTAAGATATTTCATCCAACGAGAAGAATTATGATTTTTTGGCCCTCCATATTCTTAACTTGAACATTGAAGTATTTTTGGGTGTAAACAAAATTTGTTACCCTACACAATAAAATAAACAAATAAATTTGTTGACAGAAAATGAATTCTTCAAATTTTGGTGTACCAGCATGATAAAAAAAAATGGTATACCATTTTCTAGTTCCACTTAAAACTCATCGTACATGGATAGATCATAATGGCCACCATAATATGTAATGATGGCATATAAATGGACTTTGAAGCAATTTGATATGAAAGAAACAAATTAACTCAAAAGTGTAAATCAACACATGTGAAGCACAATCACCAAAAAGAAAAAAGAAAAAAGAAAAAAAAAAAAAAGAGAGGGAGAGAATAAGCATACAAGGGGCTACAGTATCAACACATACCTCCCCCTTTCAAAAATAAAATACATATACACCCTATATAATTCAAAAACCCAAACGCAAAACAACACCATACAATCATTTGCACATAACATTCTGGAGCTGTTGTGTTGCAATAACAACTTCCATGGAGCAATTCATATCAGTTCCTTTTTTCCTCTTCATAACCTTCATCAACTCTATCTTCCCCTTCAATCTGGACTGACTAGTAAGAGTTAAAAACCCAGAACTCAAATCACTACCCAGTCGCGAATTGCTCGGTATATTAGCGGAACTGAGATCCACCATGACATTGAACTTTCTGGTTGATCGAGCCCGAGCTCGCGCCTTCGGAACAATGGCCTCACCAACTTGTGAGTCTTTATAGAAGAAGTAAACAGTGCTGTTTTGGTACTTGAAGTGACCAAAGTTAGTGTTCTTCACGCCAAGTTCAGCACTCATTCTCAAGTTGAATGAAGGAGTTGCAGGGACAGCAGTGAAGTTTTCAAACGTAGCGGACCGGAATCGGAACTTGGGGTTTCTAATTTTCATCACTGTGAGTGCAAAGAGCAAGATAATACCAGTTTGAAACACTGCAAAGGCAACAATATATATCAAACACTTCATGCGCTTCTTGCGGCGTAGCTCTTTGGATGCTGCCGACGCAGCCCCCTCATCGACTCGGGCATGGCCGTTGGCTGCTGCCAAGGGATAGGTTGGACCTTGTTCCTTCTCTGCCATTTACTTGGGTTTGAGAAAGAGGAGAGAGAGTTTGTTTTGCATGTTCTATGGAAGGAGATAGTATTGGGAGGGGAAGGATAATGAGTAGCATTATATAGCGAAAAAATAAGGGTAAAATATACTTGTGGTCCCCAAAATATGCATTTAATATTTATTTGGCCTTCAATATTTCAATTGTGTCTTTTTAATCCCTAAAGTTCCTAATTTATATCTACGTGGTCCAATTTCAAATGCCATGAAAAAATAGTTGACGGTTCTGATCACGCGTCAAGCATGTGATTCTTAATTTTGTGTCTCTTTAGTCTCTAAAATTTGTAATTTGTGACTATTTGGTCTTACGTGATTGGAGCGTAACCAAAGTCCTTAACGATTTTTTGACGAACATTTAGGTTTGAACCGTGCAAAAATAAATTAGGAACTTAGGGACCAAAAAAATACAATTGAAAATTGTAGACCAATAAACATTAGACAAATAGTTCGGGATCAAAAGTGTATTTTACCCAAAAGATAATTACACGAAAGGGTGAATGACATTATAACCCCTAGATTTTGAAGTTTTCACTTTGTTCTCATTTAAATTAAAATTTTCTATTTACATCTTGAATTTCTTTAAACAATAGCCCCAATTCGTAAAACACTTCTTATTTTTTCTCAGTTGACTTCTCACGTACCACGCTCTTTGTATTGGACAACTAATTTTTTACAACATAAAGTACAATTTTTAGAAATTACTCAGGTGATACAATGACATTATGATAATTTTTAATGGTGCGGATTACAACTTTGAAAATTATTCAGGGCATAGAGTGAAATAATGATATCTATATAGACAGAAAATCAAACATCGTATAATGTTTGGGATACATTATTATGTTTTGGAAAGACTATTTTTCGTATTCGATACAACACTCTTTCAAAATGTATGTAATAAGGTTTGTTTTTTTCTACTAATACTCTCCTTGACTTTGTGCTTACATTGGTTTTGGAGTGGTGATAAAAAGAAAAAAGAAAAAAAAGAACATCCTTATTGGGTCCTTCTTTTTTTTTTTTTTTCCCGTACAAAATGTCTAAGTTTATGTCTTTTTTTTCTCAAATTTAATAAGTTTACCGTGACTTGAGTTGAGTTAAAGGATGTCCTTTAAGGGATAAGAGTAGTTATACTTTAGAGGATATGTGTAAAAGAATTGAACTTAAAATTTTTGAATTATCAAAAGGATAAACTCAATCACTGGGGTCACCTCTAAGGGTTTATTGAGACACAATTTGCTAATCTAACTCATTATAATTTTTAGATTGACTGTGAGTCTCATTTGACATTGAACTTTGAGTTAATCCAATAGTTACAATAAAATTACATCATTATATTTATAAATTAAGTCAAATTTTTAAGTTTTAAAAACTATATTGAAAAAAAAAATATGGTTGGCAGCTAACCTTGGAAGCGACATAAGGATTCTTCTACTCGTTGAAGACAAATCAGATATTTTTTGTTACAAAAAAAAAAAAAAAAACTAGACTATGCCCACTTTGTTGAATTTCACTTGTATGTTACATTTTTGCAATGTTTGGGAATAGTTAAAAATAAATTTTCAACACTCAAATTGAATTTGGGCAACTTGAATATATAAACTGGATTCTTGAGTTTTTAAAGTTCTCAATGTTAATGAGAATTCATTTACATACAATTAATCTTACTTGAATTTACGATAAATAACCTATGAAGAAAGATAATTATATATATATTGGAAGGGTATCTCCATTTTTTGTGGGCTTTTGGAATTTCTTCTGATAATAACTTTATAAGTGGTTGTTACATTGTTTTTTCCATGCATGGTTGTAGCTTATGCATTGTTTGACCTCCTTGCTTTACCTTTTTTTTCTTTGAAAAAGATAAACTACTTAGTTTGACTCGGTTGAACTCACTGTGTTTTTTAAATTTGGATTGGGGCCAAACTGATCACTCTTAGAGTTACCTGGCCTCGTTAAACAGACAACTTTTTATGTAAGTTATAAATTGTGTTGATACCAAACTTTTTGATGTGACAATTTCAAAATATCAAGGATCACTTGTTAATATTCTGTCTCGGTGATGACTGAGACAGAATAGCCGCCTGCCCGGTCTTGTAAGGCGGCTGCTGGTGGCTCCCCACGAATTGAAAACTTTACTGTACTGTCGGCGGTACTTTAGTAAAAATTGTAATTTTTTAAAATTAAGTTTTAATTTTTTTTGAGATATAACTAATGTTACATGTCATACTGTGTTAATCAATGGTGCTCAAACATATGTATAGTCAATACAAAGGCAAAAAAAAAATTAGTTTTCGATTGTTTTTGTTTCTTAATTTGGTTGAAATTTCATGAATTTTATAGTATTTTTTATTTGAATTTCAAATATCTTGCTTTACACGATATCTTAGTAGTCAATTTCATGATAATAATGCTTGATTTTCGAACGTTTCCAAACCCATAAGATTGCACTGGTTAAAAAAGAATCTCTCTACAGATAGTTTTACATTGATATCAAGATTCATCATATTATATTTCATGCATTCATATTATATAATTAAATGATAGATTTATGTGATTGTTGACCATATTGAATTATAAAATTTTATTTTTAATTTAAGTTTCCAACTCTTAAATATTGATAGATAGTGGTTCTAACTCTTTCTTCAACAATCCCAAATATAGCTCAAGTAGTAATAAATATGAACTGTAAATTCAGATATCACGAGTTTGAATTTTAAAAATTTTTTAGAGTCATGTCATTAAGAATTTATTTCTGATGAATATTCTAGTTACGATGTGGATAATATTTTTATTAATTAGACCAAAAAATAGATTAGTAGAGTAACACAGAAACTGACTAGAACACACGTAACTTTTTGAACCCAAAAAAAAAAAAAATCTTTCCTCTACGACTGAAAAATGAATATGAGTGATAACTCATGGAATGACATCCAGTGGCCTTAGGGTTTAGACGTTTGGGTAAATTACATCCTCCTCCTGTGAGGTTTATCCATATAACAATCAAACCCCCTCAAGTTAGACATATAACACTGCCCTCCTCTCCAACTAACAGTCGTCTATTTAAGTGGATGATATATGTAAAAAGATGAGAATGCCCTTGACGGTGATATATATACATTGGCTAAGTTATTCGGATTCGAATTTAGATATAAATATATTTGATCTGATTACGATCCGATCCAAATTATATATTTTTCTTTAAATATTAAAAAATATAAGTGATTAATTTAAGTTGAAAATTATGTCTAATTTGTTAAAACTTAGTTAATTAAGTTATTCAGATTAAATTGGATTTTCGAATTATTAACGGATTCGAATATGAACCACGAAAATAAAATTCGTTGAATTATTGGATCGAATTCCAATCCCAATCAGTCAAACTCCAATGTAAACTTGATCTGTTCACAAGCCTAGTTACTGGTAACAACATTTCAAATTCACACACAAATGGTCTTTTATATAGCAATTGTTTTGCAAACTAGCCGTTGGACAAAAATAGTTGTTGTCCACTTCCAACCAGTGTTTTAAATCCGGCCCAGCCCGACAGGTTGACCCGGTGAATTGGTGCCTAAACTGGACCAGTTCACCTTGGTCGTTTATGCATAAGAACCGAAGTCAACCCGGTGAACCGGCAAAAATCCGGGGAAATTCGTCAAACCGGACGGGTTCCATCAAACCAGGTGGGTCATTTAATTTACTATAAAAGGTTGATTTTTTGGCATTTTGCCCTAAATTGTGTTACCCAGCCAGCCCCCTTTGTGGACGTCATTCGTTCCCCCCTCCCTCCCTCCCTCCCTCCCTCCCTCTCAATCTTTCTTGCCCTGCTATGGTCTGGTTTTATACAGTAATGTGCAGTGGGAGTTCAAAAGGGAGTGAGCCTCGATTGAACACTCGAAAGCGAAGGAACAGATCGAAGACTCGAAGGCTAACGGTCTCAGATCAAAGGTCTGTTTTATGACACTCACTCTGCGTGCTGTGGAAGTGGAACTGGTGAAGACTCGAAGGCTGGACATGGACTCGATCAGACCTCCATCGACTTCAATACTCATTCTCTACACATATTCTTCCCTCAAGCGAGACTCCAGGCACCAGCAGGTACATTCTCTCCCCCTTTCTCTTTGCACATTACAATTGGTATATTATACTCACTAATATTGTATTGTATGGTTACAGGATGATTGATTATGGCTTTGTTGATTCAGTAAAACTAGATTATTTGTATTTAAGTTTGATTTGGTGAAAATTTTAATTAAATTTGATTTGATATAGATTGAAGATTTGAATTGATTCAGTAAAACTAGATTGTTTATTCATTAAGGATAACCTCTGTTCATTTGCTTGAACTCGTTCATGGAGGAGCCCTCAAAACTTGCAGAATACATTTTTTGTCCCCACTGTTTTTGATTTTTTAACTTATGTATTATTATTATTTATTTTTTATTATATTACCGGTCTGACCAATGACTTAACGGTTGAACTAGTAATCCGTTGATGTTGTCTACTGAGTTGACGTCCGAGTCAGGTTTTAACAATATGCTTCCAACTGACCCATCAAAGTTATTTTGGGAATTTTAAAAGAATACTTTGCTTTTACGTAAACAAACTATTCACTCACATTCACGGAGTGAAGGCGGTATGGGGGAATTTGAAAGGGACAACTAAAGCAAAGGGAGGACAATGTTATATGTCTAACCCTAGAGGGTCTGATTGTTATATGGACAAACCTCAATGGAAATGAATGTAATTTACCCTAGATGTTTCAATAGAGCTTCTAATAATAGACTTAAATTCCATCCGTTTAAACCCGTAAAACTAAACCCTAGCATTAGTTCAGTGATTGTATCTGTTCTTTGGTAATTTAGAGATTTCAAGTTTAATCTCTTTTAATATCTTTAAGGGTTAATCACCCTTGTTCCTTTATAAGGCCATGTTCTAGATCATTCACTGAACTTGATGGATTAATCGACACAAACTTGAACACGTGACCAAAAAAAAACCTACAAAACTCTACTCTGTCACCATTTCCTACCTACAACTTGACAAAAGATCAAAATACTGATGGATCGATGCTCCAAAGGGAATTACAGTTCAGCACCGCCATCAAAGTGTTTGTGTGGTGTGTGGAGAGGTTACTTTCTTAACTTGAGGAGTTTCCACAGGATATAATAACAAATCTTTCCAAACCTTAGGGGTGGAGGTGTTATTCTCTTAACCCGAGGGGTTCATGTGATGTTTTAACAAATTTTTTGGGGTTTGTATACATACTAATATCTTATCTTATCTTATCTTATCTTTAGTCTGGGTTGGGCCACAAGATTCTGCAAGTTGAATCTGGCCTACTTGATTCGTAACAAGTCTTATCCTTTTCAATTCTTAATCTGGCCTTTTTATTATTATTATTATTGTAGTCAAAGATATTTGGATTAGCTTACGCATGTCTTGACTAACCTCTTATCCGGCCAGTTAAAATCAAGTCATCTACACTGGAATTAGAGAGTTCATGTTGGAGAAATTCTTCATGGTCGGACTCTAAGGAAGTCATCAAGTTTTAAACTCAAAATATCACAATTAATTCATGCCTCCAGTAAGCTATCCTATGGGGTTTCAGCCCATATTTAAGATGAGTGAAACTTGGGTATAGATTTCCGATTTACCTGCGCCTTATTTAAGGCTGATAATCGAGCTGAGATTTGCGAGATCAAGTTAAACTTGTTGAGCTCGTTTATTTTAAACGAGTTTAAAAATTTTAGTCAAACTCAATTCATTTAAAAAACGAGTCAAGCCCAAAACAAGCTAAATCCAAACCAAGTTCGAGTAATTTGATGATTTTATATATAAATGCACTTTTGCAAGCTCGAAAATGAGCCTAAAAAAATATTTAAGCTCGACTCATTTAAAAAATGAATCAATCCCGAATAATCTGGCTCAATTATGTGCCCTAGTCTTACCCCAAACTTGTGAAGTGGCCTATGTATAGTAAATGGCCTTTAGAGACCTTATTTAGTTGCATCTAACCCAAACCTCTGAGATGGACTTTTCAGGTGGGCCTATTTAACTTTGCTATCCAAATTTCTTTCTTGTGAATAAAGATTTTATCCCCATGTAAGCAAGGGTGGAGGTATGTAGGGGCAGGGGGAGGGGGGTAGCTTGGATTTTTATCGTAATTAGATTTGATCTTTATCATTTTATTAACATATATAAAATAAAATATTTGTTGTACCCACCACCGTTAAGCCATTTCCCCTCCATGTAAGGTAAGTATTTATCGTCTTCAACAAGTGCAATTTGGGGTCATTCTACTACTTTATGGTGACCAACAATGTTGGCAAGTTACTTACAATCGAGTAGTAAAGAGTGGGTGGGTCTTCTATATATGTGTAAAGAATAGAGAAGAGGTAAATAATTGGTGGGCTTTCTATGTCTATGCCAATGAGAATAATGATATTGAGATTTAATTTATTAATTTATTTAATTATAATTTTTGGATTGAAATGAATTCCATTTAATATCAGGACTTACTATTAATGAATAGTGGTATTGAGACCTAAGAAATTGAATTGGTTTGATGACTTATTTAATGTGTCAACTGATAGAGTCCAATGAAAATGTGCAAGAATTATCGTCACAACAACACTATCAAAACATATTAATGTCAATTTTTTAGGTTTCAAAAACATAACTCGCTATTAAGAGTATGCTACACAGACTTAAAAAATGAAAAATGCTATTTAGACTTTATTTGAGGACCTAATCTAGGGATAGCGATTTATCAAGTTAAGTTTTTAAGTTTATTTAGTATTTTTTTGCTACTAATTCAATAACTATAATACATTAGGTCAATAAATTAAATTTAGTTACCATTCCTCTCTAAATAAACTAGAGAAAATGTAATACCAAACTCTAATTTGTAGAAGTAGTTAGGGGAATTTTCTAATTTTCAAACTTCTTATTCTCCGCTAACCTTAAACCCCACTTCATGGAGGCAATCACCAACATATCCCACCACATTTTCCTCTCTCTCCCCAAAGTACTTCCCCCTCACAAATCATCTCCACCACCTCCTCCATGGAAGAATCATCTCCTACACTCAAAACCTATAAAATAACAGCTTCTTCCATTTCTTACACCAAGCCCTCCACAATCACCACCACCACCATTGCAGCCAGCTTCCTCTTCAAACCCTGCACTGCACCACCACCCAACTACATCCTCCGGGACGTTTCTCTCACCGCCTCTCCCTCCCAAATCCTAGCCATTGTCGGACCTAGTGGCGCCGGAAAATCCACACTTCTCGACATTTTAGCAGCTCGGACATCACCAACAAGTGGCACAATTCTTCTTAATTCTTCACCTATCAACCCTTCTTCATTCCGCAAAATCTCAGCTTATGTTCCTCAACATGATCATTGTCTTCCTCAGCTCACTGTGTCTGAAACTTTTGCCTTCACTGCTGGGCTTCTCCACCCCAAAACCTCCGACATCGCAGCCATTGTCGCTGCTCTTCTTGCTGAGCTCAGGCTTACACACTTAGCCCACACCCGGCTGGCTCATGGCCTGTCCGGTGGTGAGCGACGACGAGTCTCAATTGGCCTTAGTCTCCTCCATGACCCTGCTGTGTTACTTCTTGATGAACCCACTTCAGGCCTTGATAGTTATTCAGCTTTCAATGTAATGCAGACCCTCCGATCAATCACTAAAACTCATCACCGTACTGTAATCTTATCCATCCATCAACCCAGCTTCAAGATCCTTTCCACCATTGATAGAATTCTCTTGCTGTCCAAAGGAACTGTTGTGCACCATGGTTCTCTTTCCTCTCTTCAAGCTTTCTTACTCTCTAATGGCTTCACAGTCCCTCAACAGCTCAATTCACTAGAGTATGCCATGGAAATACTAAGCCAGCTCCATGAGAGTAATCCCATTACACCACCCTCACTTCCTCCATCACCCAACGATACCATTCTCCCTCCTCCTGAAAATAAGACAGTAGAAGTCAGATACAAGAGCACAAGGATTCATGAGATTATCAATCTTTATAACAGGTTTTGGAAGATCATCTACAGGACAAAACAGCTGCTATTGACAAACACATTACAAGCTCTTGGAGTTGGTCTTGTTTTGGGAACTATCTACATTAATATCGGATTCGACAAGACGGGGATGGAGAAGAGACTAGGCCTCTTTGCCTTCACTCTCACCTTTCTTCTCTCCTCCACAACTGAAACTCTCCCAATCTTCATCAACGAGAGGCCGATTCTGCTAAGAGAAACTTCAAGTGGGGTTTACAGGTTATCGTCATATCTCATAGCGAACACACTGGTCTTTTTGCCTTACTTGCTCGCCATTGCAATTGTCTACTCAGTCTCGGTCTATTTCTTAGTGGGTCTATGCGCTACATGGCAAGCTTTTGCCTACTTTGTTTTGGTCATATGGGTTATAGTTTTAATGGCCAATTCGTTTGTTCTCTTCTTAAGCTCCGTGGCTCCCAACTACATCGCCGGAACTTCACTGGTAACGATACTTCTAGCCGGATTCTTCCTCTTCTCCGGCTACTTCCTATCAAAGGACAGTATGCCCAAATACTGGGTATTCGTGCACTACTTTTCAATGTACAAGTATGCTCTTGATGCCCTGCTCATTAATGAGTATTCTTGCCTTTTATCAAGGTGTTTGATATGGTATGATGACAACCAGACCTGCATGGTCACTGGACGTGATGTGCTGCAAAAGAGAGGACTCCATGAGAGGCAGAGATGGGCAAACATCTATATCTTGATCGGATTCTTTGTGATCTATCGTGTGCTGTGTTTGATAGTTCTGATCCGAAGGATTTCAAGATCGAAGAAATGAGAATTTTCCGGCAACTATGGATTCAACATCCTCTCTACTGGTTTGTTTCTTATGTTTGTGATCAAAAAGTGAAGCTCATGCATGTAATGTCTACTTCTTTTTAATTGTTCAAATTATTAAAAACAATAAATTGAGTAATTGTGTATGAAAACGTGAATGTAAATCTTTTTTTTATTTAAATATTTTTTAATAATAACATTTGAACTTAATTTGTTAGTATAATTTTTTGAATTAATGCATAACAACTATTTGATTGATAACGGACCCCAAAAAATACTGGAGTCCCCATTAATCCATCGACTAAGAATGATTAAGTTGAAAAATTAGATCAATAAATTATGGTTAAGTATTATTAAAAAAAAATTATGTCTAAGTAGCATTGCTCAATCTTTTTTAGACCAATTTTGAAAACCAATGTATTCAATGCATTAAAAATTAGTGTAATTGTTATGAATGATTAAGTCGGTAAATTAGGTTTAATTAGCATTGCTCCCTATGAATAAAATACTTTCCAATGAAATAAAAAAAAACAAAAAGAGTAAGGTTATTGGGACCTAAAAATTTAACCTAATGATTTGGTTTCATTATAATCATTAGATTAATACCAAATTTTAATATCATTAGAAGCATATCTTATATTGACATTCATTTGATTTCTTACTATTACAAAGAGTAATGATATTGGAATACAATTTTTTTATTTGAACAGTAGAATACAAAAGTTAATATAGTTTGTTGAGAATAATATGTCTAAGTGACGGAATTCTAACGAAAAAGTTTAAGAGTTATAGTTACAACAATATTATTAGATCACGAGCAATGTTATTGGGACCTAAATGAACAATAATAATTGACAAGCGAAAGAATCCTAATTAACAATATTGCTCTTTGACTTAATTTATTTAACTATTCGATTATAATTATTAGATTGATTATAGGCCTCAAAAAATATTCAAATTTATTATCTATTCAATAGTTACGAATGATTAGATCAAAAATTATATCAATAAATTATGTACAAGTAGCATTGCTCTATAATGAATAAGTCTAAGAGTTACTCTTACAACAATACTATTAGAATATGTCACTGTCACATCATTAGATCAACAAATTAATTTAGTGTTTGAGGTCTCAATAGCATTAACTCATTGGACCATATTACTTTCAAATCATTAAATCAACTAATTAAATCAATTTTTTTTATGTCCAAGTAGCATTAGAATTAATCATTTAAGTGAACAAAGATATATAAATTATTAAAATAAAAATTTTGAGACAAAGAAATAGATGTCGTATATAATCAATCTTGACCTGCCTATTAAAATGTGTAAATATTTGATAGAGCCTTGATAACAAATTATGAGAAAAATAGTATCATTATTCAATAACAATAGGTCTAGTAGTGCCGGTTGGAGGTCTGGTTCAAGATGGATATCTTGAAAGAGAGTCATCACCTCGCCCAACATCCTTTCCTTTTCAATAGTCAATTCTAGAGGCAAATTAAAGTGCACATCTCATGTATAACCAACTAGTCCAGCATAATAATTCAAGTGACATATTGTCATTGTAACATCACAAATCATCAATCTTCTCAACAAAAGAATCAAATTATGCATTTCAGAGATGACTTTAAAAAACCTTTCGTACATAAATTTCTTTTTTTTTTTTTGGTTTTTCATCAAACTTGTCCTCAATCAAATTATTTCACATTTCAATATAGTCAGTTTCACAACCCCTCACTTATTCTCCAACTTCTTAATTATTTTTTTAACTCTTCAATTCATTCCTCTCTTTTTTATTTAACGCTAGATTCAAACGTTATGAATTCGAATTTTAGTAGTCTCTTGGGACCAAGTCATAAGAAATTTATTCTTCATGAATACTCTAATCTCGCGCATGGATGTCTTGTTTTTAACTTGATCGAGAAATAAATTAGCTAAAATGTACGTAAATTGATCCAAATACTCATTACCGTTGAACCAAAAAATATAACACTAGTAACAAATATACCGAGTTGGAATATGGTGTTAAAACACGGGGTGAGGACACAGAAGAAATATAAATCTCGTGCATCATACAAATCCGAACTACAATTGGACTAATATAAGAAATCTCATTTCATGGGACCAGCAAAGGTGAGCCAATAATTTAGCAGTGTGGAAGCCTGAGATGGCGAAACAAGTGGCGTGAGTGAATGTGAAGTCAGGCACGTAATATTGAGCAATGTAGTGTCACGGGTCCCCATTGATGAAACCAAAGAGGAGAGTGAAGAATCCGAGAGTCTCGTCGTCGTCGTCGTCTTCTCCATTTCGAATCGGATAATAAGTTAATAACACATCACAAACACAACGTAGGTCTGATTGTAGGGGCCTTTTGTCTGGTTGCGAGGCATTAAAAAGAATGGCAGTGTGTGTTTTTTGTTTTCTTCTTTGCTGTTTATTCATTGCTTAGTTCACGGGTGGAGTTCATCTTCTGCTAGCATGTGAACTACTGCCTTTTTCTTGTCTACATCAATACACATGTTATTCTCACCCACTATCTTTTGGATATTTTCAATAAAGCCCACGTCATAATTTAAACTGAGAAATAACCTTTAGGGTAGTTTAGTCATTGGGTCTCAACTCTAGTAAGTTAGATATCTCATGTTTAACATTTTTTATATTCATTAAAGGCCAAGAACCCTTCTTCTTTATAAGATATATTCTAAACTCGTTCGAACTATAATGGTCAATATTCAAATTAGAGACAGTAGTCAACACAAATCTAAAGACTCTATAGCCAAAAAAAAAAAATCAATCGAGATTTTTTTTAGTTTAACATATCACTTGATAGTGTCGGGTGATATATTTATCCAATTAAAAATTGAACATTCTGAAGAATTGTTGTCACTCGTCACTTTGTCAGAATTTTTTTTTTGAAAAAAATAAAAACTCGTATGTTTTAGATGACAGTCACTACTGTCAAGTGGTGTGTTAAACTCGTAATTTTTTTAAAAATTTAAAACCCTCCCCCCAAAAAAAAATTATGTTTTCAATTAATTAAATAGAAAATACCATAAGAAGAAACCCAAATAAGTTATGGATTAATCTAATTGAATGATTAAAGTCAGTAAGAGTAAGAAACGAGCTTCATGATTTTTGAATCTTACTAAATTGAGAATCTAAGTGTGCTAACTCTTCAAAATGTAAAATAATCATATATAGACCGACAAACACACACTCTCACAGTGATAAAACACAGGTCGATAAACTTTTTGAATTAAAAAAAAAAACACACACACACACGCGATGCACTTGCTAAAAAACAAACATTTATGAGAAATGCACACGCTCAAATGGGGGTTTGTTCAAGAAATGGTTCTGGCTCGACTCATTTTGATATATTCGATATTCAATCATAATTTTTCCAACTCATTAACAGCTGACTCGTCATTTTCCTTTATTTTTATATAATAAAAACTCCAACTTGTGGGGTAGTTTTGTGATTTCACCAAAATTTTGAACTTCGATTAAATCTTTTGCAAATTCTAGAAAGCAAATTTTTGGTTATCCCCAAGAATATATGATTAGAAGACTATTGGGCCTTGTCCTGATTGGAAAGCCCATACTTGTGCTGAACTCTTGAACGGGCTGTTCTGGAAACCATGTTTCTCATGTTAATGCTGAATATTGAGTTGGGCCAAGTATTTTATCTCAATACTACATTCGTGGGCCAAGAAATTTATCTGATTATCCATATGAACTTCTGAAGTGGGCCCATTGCCTAGAAAAATTTGGGGACCGGTCCCTTTTGTGAAATTATTTGAATTCAAATCCACTCAAAAAATTTGTTTGCAAATATATTCATTTTGATTTTAATTATCCAAAATACCTTCAGTAATTATATTTAATTAAAACAAATTTGAAAATTAATAACTCTTAAATTTTAAAAGTTTTACTAGTATTAAAATTGTTTCTCCATCATATTTATCTATATTTATATATAAATTAAAATTGAGGACTATTTTATCTCTATCTATATTTATATATATTTATATAACTTGTAGCCCATACTTTGGTCCAATGGTAATTCTTGTCTTGTAAAGGCTTTGCCTTATTGAGATTAAGGGTTCAAGTCCTCCCTTCCCTTTTCCCCTTAAAAAAATAAAAACAAATTTATGAACAATGTCAATGACATCTTTTGCTCCACTTCAGAGCCGGCCCAACTGTGGAAGTAAAAAAAATCTGGGCTTTGGGCCCCATAATTTTAGATAAATAATTGCTCCACTTTAAAATTTTTAATCCATGAAAATTATGTCCTATAAAAAAGCCTTAGTGAAAATGTAAGGCCAATCCCAACAAAAAAATTTAATTTTAATAAATTTTTAAACTCATGATTCAACCCATTACAATAAAAACCTAAAAAATCAATTTTATTTTTAAAAAACTGATGATATACTTAAAAGTCATGTAATAATTCACTCATCCATTCTCAATCACATCCTCTGTGTGTATGCGCTCGTGCATGTAAAATTAGAAAGCTCATCTCTCTCATTTTTATTCTCACTCACCCTTTGGTTCATATCAATTTCAAATAAAAAATAAAATTTATTTTTTATTTAAATTAAAAAATAAAATCATTAAATGTTGATAGTGTAAAAAAATTTATCTTGATCTCGAATGTTTCTTTAAACATAATAATTTTTATAACATGGATAGTTTTAAAGAAGATTTTATAAATGAACAAAAATACTCCAATTGATACACTAACTTATATAAAAAGAGTAGATTTTTCTTTCAAATTTATGCATTGTTTATAAAATATTATTATTAATTTTTATAACAATTACTTTTACAAAAAGAAGTATTTCAAGATTAAAATTGATAAAATGTTACTTATAATCAACTATGACAAAAAATATAATTTGATTAATGATATTATCAAGGAAAAAAAATATGATAACAACATTTAAATATAAAAACTTAATGTATACTTTTATAACTCAAAAAATGAGAAGAATTAATTTTAATCAAACTTTTTAATACTAAAAATAAAAAGACTTCAAAATAAATTATCGTTTTAAATCTCAAATTACCTTGAGCCACCCCACGAACGAACTGGTGGTGCAACAAACTTGTAAGAATACTGCATGATGAATTGCTTCCGGTCTGGAGATAACCACCTCTCCGGCCAAAACTCTAGACAATCCTCACCCCCAAGTAGACTTCATTCTACCCGCCTAGTATATAGAGTATGTAACCGATCACCCGGCTGGCACAAATGTACTGTCCGGCAAAACGTCGTTGGACACGACATGATTCGAGTCCTTTGGCACAGAAGGTATAGTCGGTGAGTTTCCATCAATGCAGCTTTCAGGTATATCAAACAATTAACTTTGGTAAAGAGGCTCGACGATGAAGAGGAGAAAGAGAATAGTTCAATTAAATTTTTTAAATTTGAATTTCAAATTTATTAGCATATCTCCGGTGAATTAAGAAGTAATAATTTCTAAGTTAAGAAATAAATTTAATATTGTTTTTAAGAAAGGTATTTTAAAGTTTTTAAAAAATTATGAATTTAACTACTTATCAGTAAGATTAAAATATGAATTATTCTAAAATAAGTATGAATAACAAACTAAATTCATTCTAAACAGGACTCATCCCCAATTGCAAATTCTAAACGAAAATGTTCTACATGAAATGAAGCCACCATGATTAACTGCAAGTTTTACGTCGTCCTCTAATAGATAAAAATAATATGATATATTTATATTTTTTCACATTGTATTTGATAATTAAAAATTCAAGAAACATAAAAGAGGCATGTTTCAAAAAAATTAACAAGACGATATCTATACATCAAGGATCAATTATATAACTTATTTGAAACAAATAAAAATAATATTTTATAATTTTTAATCTTCTTACAAATTTCACATTTTACTTATTTTTTGTTGCATATTTTATAGCTTTTGAACCAAAGGAAACTGTAACAAATTATACCAATATTTTAATAGCATATAAATATCACACATGAATTAATTTTAAACAAAATATAACGAACAAACCTAAAAAAAAAAAAATCATACACATAAACATACAAATATACAAATTAATAGCATAACAAACTAAAAATTACACATAATAATTTTTACAAAATTTAAAACAAAAAATTCCAAAAAACCAAAGCTTACAGTCGGAATCTCATAATAATGGCAGTCGCCGGTGAGAAATGCCCAAGCAGCTGTTCCTTTTGTTTTTGTAGTGCAGGCCGTCATTTCCTTTGCTTTTGGTCGGCAAGTTGTTGGGTGTGCAAGCGTCTCTTTATTTTTCATTTGCTTGTTTTTGGAAACGTAACGACAGAAAACAAAAGAGTGGGCCCATATTCACATATTTCATTTAGATTAATTTTAGAGTAATGTTATATGAATTTAAAAATTATAGTTAAAAATTAAATTTGATAATCTCAATCATTGATTTTACTGTGGGTCTAAATATTTATTGAGACCCACTACATATTCAATGGTTGAGATTATCAAATCTGATTTTTAAGTCTATCTAGCATTACTCATTTCAAAAGATAAATAAAATGACTTTTACTTTTCGCGATTCAGATCGTTTTAAATTTTATTTTAAAGTTAATTTAACGGTTAATATTAACACCTTAAATTTAATAAAAATATATATATATGACCCTAAATGTATGTTTGGAATAACTTCTTAAAAGTATTTATAAAAATTATTTCTCATAAATATTTTTTTAAAAAATAATGTTTCATAGCCTAATCACAAAGAATTGTCTAAATTCAAATTCAACATATCTAAATTTATAGTTTATCTATATTACCTAAAAATTGTAAGTCTCGTAAATATACTTCAACTCATAATAGAAATTGCACGAGATAATTTCTGCAATAATTTGAGACAGCGATCTCTAAGTTGGTGAACTTGAAACAACAAGGTCAGAAAAGGGGGGTCTGGTGAACACCTGGCTTATCCCCTTCGAAACTTAAGTCAGTCTAAAATCAAAAGGTTTAGTTCAATAAACAATCTTTTTTTGGTTCAAGTTTGTGTACCTTTGTCCATTTTTTTGAAGAGTATTTATACCTGAATTAACAATGATTGCCAAAAGTTTCTAGTCTCATCTGGACATCTAACATTTTCTCGCACAATGAGTGTTTTCTACTCACGTCTCCTCCTATTAAATGCTAGGACGATGGGAAGAGCGTTAGGCAAAATGCCGAGCATTTATGCCCTTCCCCGAGTACCCAAACCCCTCAAATCTGCATCTAGCATCAACTGAGCATTGAATACTCGACAGAACAGTTCCTCGGGAGGCCCGATCGTGTTGTCTCGGCGCATCAGCCATTAATGTTTTAGCCGTCATAATAGTAGGCCTAGACTCTCAGAGTGTAGGTGCTTGCAGGGGCACATTTATTTGTTCTGTCACCATCCCTCACTCTGCCATAAAATGAGAGGTTACGTCGTATTAAATACGATGCCAACAGTCGTACTCGGTTGTTCTAGGTCACCATATCTCGGCGCTCTTTTGACGTCCCAACGACTTCATTACTCCATGTGTCAACCTGGGGCTGTAGAACCACCTAGAGTCCCGCCAGAAATATATGACTTGTATCTTCAAAATCCAAATAACCATTTATGGTTTGTTATCTCACTCGTCGTCGCCAAAGAACATGAATCCATTGCTGTTATTATTAACATAGTAATATTTTTGATGATGCACAAAATGATTTTGCACACCACCTGTCAAGTGTGAATAATAAATACAAGAAAATAAAATCAGAAGATGGAGAGACACAGACAATTTATAGTGGTTCAATCAGCTCGACTTACGTCCATTCTTCAATAGCTCTGGTTGTCAGGTATTTCATTAACTCAAGGGTGTGGGGAGTAGAGAGTACAAGCTTTGAGGGAGAAGAGAGAGTCGTGCTCAGGTAAAGTATGATCTGCCCCCCAAGTGTTGGTGGGACTTACAATTTATAGTCGTCCTCTTAACAGATTTGGGCAAAATATTAGTAAGTAGTTAGCTAGTTTGTTGGATTTAGCGAGCTCTTCTCAACGTGCTAGGCAGTTGCGGTACTCTCCATGAGATTCGGTCAAAGGATGAAGTGGGGTGTTGACCATCTCCAGGGCAACAAGGGTAGGGCTTTGTAAGACCTTGCTTGCTCCCTTAACTCCTTGAGCTACTGAGCTTGATCGAACTGACCACACTGATGAGCTTAACCGGGTAGAGCTGATGAGTTTGAACGGGTTGAGCTGATGAGCTTAACCAAGTTGGCTATACTGGGTTGAATTTGCTGAATCTCTTGAAGTCGGACTATAAACTTGAACTGGTCTTATAACATAAGTTGGGCCTTTGGGCTTACCCATCAATTTTCGATCTCAAACGGAATCCCAAATTTTTAAACCCCACTAAATAAAAATTATTTGATGAGTGAATCTCATTAAAATAATAATAATAATGAAATCAACTGATCCAATAATCTCAACTTTTTTGAGATATTCAAGTGCACTTTGATTAAATTCTTTTCGATCCAATCCAATATAAATTATTTACGCAAGGATTAAGTTATTCACAAGAGAATCTCTCATGGCATGACATTAAAAAATTATCAAAATTAAAATTCAGGAAATCTAAGTTTATGCTAACTGCCACAGCTCAATCGAAAAGGTATGTTTGCCAATGAACCAAATTATTCCAAATTAAAAAAAAAAAAAATTTGTTTAGTTATAAAACAAATTGAGATCAAGTTCAAATTTAATTTTAAAACTTGTCGAATTAACATGCAGAGCTCTAGAGTTGTTCAAGATAGTTTATACGCACTTTAATTAATTTTTCTCCAGTCCAATCAATGATATACAATTCATACCAAGATTAGGATGTTCACGAGTGATAAATCTCTCATGACTTTACCTTAAGAAATTGTCAATATTAAAATTCAAAATATTTGAATTTATAACAACTACCACAACCGAATTATTTGTTATTCCAATGAACCAAATTATTCCAAATTTAAAAAAAATATATAAATTTGTTTATTTATAAAAAAAATTGAGATCAAGTTCAAATTTAATTTTAAAACTTGTCTAATTAACATTCTTAACCCCAGACTTGTTTGGTTAAACACACTGAGTTGTCCTTGTCTTAAGCATGATTTAGATTCAATTTTAAGTTTGAACACAAGCTTAAGCTCTAATTGATCACCTGATTAGACGATGTGAACCAAGTCCTAATTCAAAAAAAAATTAAAGAGTCAAAGTTTAAACATTATAAATATTTTTAAATTAATATTGGATTATCGTCATTAAATCAGCCGCCGACACGATGCTAAATTAAATTAATTTTATAAATTCCAAGAAGATGACACTGATAATGAATTGCTGCAACAAAAAATAAAGACAAATACATATAGTCAGCATGTATGAACCAGATAAACATCGAAAGCTATTGTGTACCACGGACAGAAGGTGCCAAATTTCAACTAGATAGTTTCTCACGCTAAAGTAAGAATTGCATTCATCACTTGTGGACTTTATTTCATCGCCAAATTATGATTTGTTGTACGATTGGTTGAAGTTTCCCACACGTTTCATTAATGCAGAAAAAATAAATTACGATATTCAAATCATCGTCTCAACTCAGCCCCGAGTCCATGACTCAGCCAACTTGGTCAGAGCAAGGCGAGAGGAACCACTGTCCACCGTGATTGCTGTCTCCATAGCTTCTTTTGTAACCTGTGTCTTCTTCCTCACTGAATCTCCTTCCTCCGACTCCATCAACTCTCTGACTCGCTTCTCCACCTCAGCTGAACTCACAAACCCATCTTCCGATTCTTCCATTGCCAACGCCAGCTTCATTTCCTCCACCAAAATTACTCTATTAAATCTCTGCTCTGCATAGAGCGGCCACGCAATCATAGGCACGCCGGCACACATTGCTTCCAACACCGAGTTCCAGCCACAGTGAGTCACAAACCCACCCACTGAATCGTGATTCAACACGGCTACTTGAGGAGCCCATGACTTGATCACAAGTCCTCTCTCTTTTGTTCGATCCAAGAAACCTTCTGGGAGTAATGAGTCCAAATCCGGCTCAGCTGGTGGCAAGAAGTGCTTGGTTTGGTCCTCTGTTGGTGGACTTCGCACCACCCACAAGAACTTCTGTCCACTCCTCTCCAACCCAACAGCTATCTCCTTCAACTGCTCCGCCGAGAACAACCCTAAGCTGCCAAAACACAGAAACACAACACTACGACTCGGCTGTGAGTCGAGCCACACCAAACACTCATGCATGCCGCCACCACCTGTTCGATCATCGGCCGCAATCAATGGTCCTATGCAGAAGAGAGGCGGAGTAGGTTCATCTGGAACACATAGACCATCTCTTATTGCTTCGAGAGCTCTCGACTCTAGCAACTCAAACGTGTTAACGATAATTCCAGCTAATTTTGGCAAGTTGGCACATACATCCAAGAAGCATTCGTAGGCCTTATCTGTTCGATCGAGCATCGGTTTCGGCATATCAGTTCCGGGAAATGGTGGCAAGCCCGGGATGTCAAGATGGGTGTCAAGATCTTTAAGACTCTTTGTTGTGTTCCGATGGATGGTGGGGAGATATAGGAAGGAAGCAAGGCAACAGGCGCCGGAAGTGAAGAAGCAATACACCGGAATTTTCAGTTCAGCTGCAACGGTGAGAGCCGTAATGCAAAAGAAGTCGATGATAAGGGCACGGACGTTGCTTGTTTGGGAGATGGTGAGAAGAGCTTGGTGGAGGAGAGGGTTGTTGAGTCGGAGAAATTCGAAAGCAAGGGTTTCAGGGTGAGGAGAGGAAGGGTGGACAGAGACAGAAATGGTTGGGAGGTGGTAGAACTTGATGGCTGGAGTTGTGGCGGAGACGCGGCTGATGTAAGGGGCCGTAGAGCCGGTGTTGTAAGGTGGATTGGTGATGAGGATGGTGATGGAGAAGGAAGGGTGGTGCTTGAGTACAAGCCTTCCCAGCTCTACCATGGAGATAAGGTGGCCAATGGCCGGAGAAGGATACAGAACTATGGCATCCTCCATGTATGTGTGTGAGAGAGAAAGAGAGTATTAAGGTAGACTAGGCTAGGAAATCATGTTTTTCCCCCCGGCGAGTCGCTTATTATATTGTTGAAAATGGAGCAGGTGACAATCATTGAAGCGAAAGCATGTTTTTTTAGTCGATAAAAGTTTTTACGTATTTTGATTAATTTTTTTTAATTTAATTAAAGACAGATTATTTATATTAGAATTAAAATCTTTATGAAAGATATTAGACTTAACATATTTATGAAAGATAAAATTTTTATAATTTCGTCCTAAAAATTATCAAAATTTAAATTTTTAATCCATCTATATTATGAACTATGAACTAAGAATGATCGAGTTTGATGACTAAGAAGGGAATCAGGTGCCCACAAGAGAAGGCATGTGAGGAAAGGATAAGTCTATAATATTACTGATATTAAATTTTCAACAATGGATAAGTTTATAATATTAGTGTATTTTTTTAGTATTAGTAATGCATTACGTAAATAAATTTAAATAATTTTTTTATAGGAAATGTGATTTATTATTAGTTTTAATTTTTATTAAATTTAATTATTAATTTATTATATAAGTTTTTGACTACTTAATATATCATTTATTTAAGTATCTCTTTGACCACTTTGGTTAGCTCACTTATAATATTATTATATACAAAAAATAAAATATAACATATATTTGATTGTATAATTCAATCTTTTAATTACATGTGTACAATAATATAGTATTTATTAATTTTTTCTTCATATAAATGTAAAAAATTATATGTAACTCTACTACTAATAAATGAGTTTTAAAAAATTTAAAAGTCCTAATAAGAAAGTTTGAATCAAATTAAAAGTCAAATAATAGTAAAAAATACAAATTAGATGAAAATATATAAGTATAAAAGTCAAATAGGAGTAAAAAATACAAATTAGATGAAAATATATAAGTGTGTATAATTGACTTTATTATAATAATTGAGAATAAAATAAGAAATTAAATTTTTTTTGTTGATACTGATATTTATAAGTAATATAGATAATAATATATTTATTTAATTGTATTATTTATATTATTTAATAGAAAGATAAATACTCAATTTAATGAATACATATTTATAATTCATCTTAACCCGTTTAATTAAAATAAATTTTATTACCCATAGAACTCGCATTAATTAATATAACTATTCAACTTATTTATTTATGGACAAATTAATTAAGCTAATAGATAATGAATTAAAATTGTGACTTTTGGATACAAGAAATATCCCAAAGTAATCCTCTACAAAAAATGAGTCCTACCCACTTACCATTGAATGTTCTCTTTCAAGGTTAGGTAAGGGAATAGGAAGTTTAGGGTAGAGTTTTTATATTAGACTAACTCTACACAAATTTAAAAGATTGCCTTAAAAATTTGATTTAATGATGTAGTTGTTATATTTATTATTGATTTAACTGTAAAGTTCTAGTATTTATTAGGATGCATTATTTATTTAATAATAGTGATTCATCAAATCAATTTTTTAAATTTATTTAGCATTTTCTTGTATATTTAGGAAGGAAATTTCAATAGAATTTCCTTTTTGTGGGTGTTTGAAAAAAAAGCAATGTTATTGACGTCTAATTTATTGACTTAATTTGTTGACGTAATTTATTATGATATTTTGATTGACTGTAGAACTCATAAACATTAAACTTTAATATTGATCTGATAGTTTCACTAAAATCACATCATTAAGTCAATAAATTATATCAAATTTTTTGATCGAAATAGCATTACGAGAGAGAGAGAGAGAGAGAGAGAGAGAGAGAGAGAGGAGGGGAAAAATATTAAAAGAAAGTAAGAGTTATCTATAGTACTGGAAAAATAAATTCAATATTATACCTCTATTTATTACATTTGTGGTTACTTTTATTACTGTTGTGGATGTTTTTATCACTATTATAATACCGAAAAAAGTGATAAAAAATAATTACTATAAAAGTGGTAAAAATACCCATAAAATATGATTAATCACTTACAAAAATGATAATTTATTTTGTACCAAAAAAAAGTTTTAAATATAGTACTTATAATAATGCTAAAAACACCAATAAAAATGATAAAAATACCCCCAAAAAATGATAAGTTTTTTAATTATAAAATAAATCATAAAAATTATAAAAACACTCGTTAAAATAATAAATTTTAGAAATACAATTCAAATTTTTGTTTGTCGATACCGTAGTCAAGTGGAAGAAAGTTTGGTAAGGCATCACTTACTCAGGTTTTAAATAGTTTTAGTAATTGATCAAAAAAAATAAATAAAGAACCTTAATAAGTGATGCCTTTCGTAAGCAATGATATAATGGGGAAAGTTAAAATATGACTTTCCGTAAAGTTATAATATAATGAATAAAATCATGATATAGTGGAGTGGAGCGGAGACAGGTACATAATAATAATAATTAAAATCGAATTTGGTGAGTTTATTTTTTGCCCAATTCACATGTCATCTAGGAAATATGTGTTTAATTTCCATCGAGTAATACTACATGAACTTAAACACCATTAATTTTATTATAAGTCTCAATATTTATTAGAATTTATTATTTATTTAATAATTATAATTATAATATCTAATTTTTAAGTTCACCTACAATTATCGACTACCAAATGCTAGAACTAGTGTTTTTGGTGACTATGATGATTAATTATTCCACCGTGGGCCCAGCCTAAAAGACTCCAAAAGTAGAGCACGAAGACTCGGAGTCAGCCATAGAAAAGTTGAAACTAATAAACTAGTCTTGACGTTAACTTTATTGCGCCTGCACAATGGACGGAGAAAATATACAAACCTTTTCTGGTTGTCTCCTCGTCTTGTGTTCAAATCAAACTACAAACTTTGAAAAGTCATAGAATAAAATAAGAAGCTTAGGAGACCACAAATAAGAGCTGTTGACTGGGACGGAGCCAGTAATATCTATTAAGAGAAACAAAATATAATTAATATAAAAAAATTAATTTCAAGAATGGAACAAAAAAATAAGATTCAAGACAGTTATTATGAACTAATAAAATCAATTTTTAATTAGCTGTAATAAAATTTGAACAAAAAGATATAAAATATTTTTTTAGTATATTTTAACCAAATTATATCTATATAATAAAGTAACTTACAATTCAAATCTCAAATGATAAACAAAATGACTTTTGTTATTCGCGGTTAAGATCGTTTTAAATTTTATTTTAAAATTAATCTAACGACTAATATTAACACTCTAAATTTAATAAAAAAAATAAATTCCTAAAGGTGTGTTTGAAGTGATTTTTTAAAAGTATTTTAAAAATTATTTCTCATAAATATTTTAAAAAAACAGTGTGTAAAACCGTCTCACCACCATCTTTACAACCACCGCCGTCATCGTCATTACCACCACCATTACCACCACCACTGCCCCCATCGCCACCACCACTGTCGCAGCCGTCACCACCACCCCCGCCCCCCACCACCACCACTATAGCTGCCGTTATGGGCATTGTCACCTACCACAACCATCATCGTTTTCTACCACTACTATTGCCGCTCACCACATCTCAGTCTTATTACAAATCTAAATATAAAATCTCTAAAATTTTATATATTAATTAAATATAAATTATTTTCTTACTAATTTCCTATCAATTCACACAATCACAAGTCCGTATTAAAATCATTATTTACTTAGTTACAACAAATTTATTGTTGTATCTGATCGCATTTTATTAGGTTGTAACCTAGTATTACTAAAAAAGGGGTAAATGTGAACTACAAATTATTTTTAAAAATTAGTGAACATTATGTTAGATAAAGAAAAATATTATCTTTTAGTTAATAAATAAATATATCAAAGTATATACATCTGATTTACTCGATCAAAAAAAAACTTTACTTTAGAGAGTTAGTGAACCACAAATTTACTTGAAAAAAAAATAGATACTTGAACCATAATTGAAATGCTTACAAATTTAGAGGGGGCAAATATAATATATTAAATAATTTGGTTAATTGTAAGTTGCATCCCGAAAGATAGTTCGAATCTCAATTTATACATCCAAATATCAAAAATCTCAATTTGCACCCCCAAAGATAAAAAATCTCAATTTATACTCTAAAAGATAGAAATTTATATCAATGTGCATCTAAAACTAAATTGATAAATTATACCTAGATCCCCTTATACTTGTCACATAATCATTTGGACCCCTGCACGTTTAGAATATTACTCTCATATCTCATGGCGTTTGTGCACGTGTAACACGTAACCCTTTTTTGTTGATGTATGTTAATATAATCGTTAAAAAATATAATTTTATCCTAATAAAAAATTATAATTTCATATTACCTTTTATTTTGTGGATCCGATATACTTTAAAATTAAGCTTACCATTTGAATGTCCAATAGAATGTAAATATTTATATAATATTTTTTATATCCAATGCAATATATCACTCAATGTGCAACCCTTTATTTTATTAGACATTCAAATGATAAGCTTGATTTTGAATTTTAGAATATATTGAACCCATAAAATAAAGGGTAATATGAAATTATAATTTTTTATTAGGACAAAATCATATTTTTTAATGGTTATATTAACAGATATCAACGAAAAGGGGTTACGGGTTACATGTGCACAAACGTCATGAGATGTAGGAGTAATATTCTAAATATAAAGAGGTCCAAAGGATTAAGTGACAAGCATAAGGGATCTAAGTATAATTTATCAATTTAGTTTTAGGTGCACATTGATACAAATTTTTATTTTTGAGGATGCAAATTAAGATTTTTTATCTTTGAGGGTGCACATTGATACAAATTTTTATCTTTGAGGATGCAAATTGAAATTTTTGATCTGTGGAGGTGCACATTGATACAAATTTTTATCTTTGATGGTGTAAATTAAAATTTTTTATCTTTAAGGGTACAAATTGAGATTCGAATAATCTTTTAGGGTATAATTTACAATTAATCCTAAATAATTTTGTAGGTGCCCATCAAAGATAGTCCAAAAGTGTGGTAGTTGGGGGGGGGGGGGGGGGGGGGGAGTGCCCACCTGGTCTCCATGTTGCTCCGCCACTATCTGTTGAAATAAAGGAAAACCACAATCTTGCAATCTAAAGAGATCGCGAGTTCGCAGGGAATCTCCAAGTTTGTAGTTTGTGAAAAGAAAAAAAAAAAAACAGCAGACCTGAAGATAATGACGATAAATCAACACCATACTAGAGACCATACAAAAGAATATTCTGCATTACCAGCACAAGAAGCATATATGAAGTCCTTAAACCTGAATCAACCAGCTAATTCAGTTGATTAGGCTTTACCGCACCACCAATTACGGCCACAATTACCCAAAAAAGAGAAAGTAATTGCAAGAGTAATAGTTAGTCAAAAGAAAAGCACAGGGAAACATAATTTAAGGGTACTAGTAACAGCACATGTGCTTTCTTGAAGACAGGACATGCATCATTTCTGAGTATAATCTGTCTAATCTTTGGTGGTGGGTCAAAACTCTCTCTCTCTCTCTCGTGTGATGGTGGGGGGGGGGGGGTATTGGTTGTGGTGGTTCAGAGGCGTCATTCTGGTGGTGGAAGGGGGTTTGATACAGTGACTAGAAGGGGTCTCTGGTGTGAGGAGAAAAATGAAGGGATGATCAGGCTGGTGGGGAGAGTTGGGGGTTGTTCTGGTGCAAATGGGTTTTGGGTGGTTGTGGGCAAAGGGGCTGCAAGAAGCAGGTAGATACAGGTGATGTTGTTGGAGAGGCAGGGCTGCAAGGTGACCGGGGTAGGTGCCTAATGATGAAAGGGTTTTTACGGTGGTGTGTCATTGATTTTTATTCCACACAATGTCAAAATTCAAAATTCAAAATTTTCAGTGTGTCCACAATTCCACACACAAGATATACATTTTGACTAGATATTTTTTTTCCCAAACAAAAGGCGTATAATTCAGGTAAGATTCATTCAAAAAAAGGCACAGAAAAGAACAAACACATCCATAAATTTGCATTGTCCATGTTTGCCTCCTTAAAATCAGAACCGCCACAGGATACAAACTAAACGATAGCCCTCAAGGCCTGCATGTCAAGCAAATGTACTGCCATGCTGAAGGACAGGGGAAAGACTGAAATATGACGATAAATTTTGATAAATCCTAGTATATTCTAACGAACCAGCAACACATTCATATGCAACTCCTGCAATCACAAAGCATTGATGGGGAATAACCAGAAACTGGTGGTCGAGCAATACCTTGGCATGCTATCCAAGTCCTCTCACGTACTGATCAAGAGTTGTATTGAATAGCTCACATCTACAAAACCAAGAAAGGGCATATTAACATCCAAAACTTCCGCACTTTCCAGCAATTTGTAACTTGAACCTAGTCATTATAAACACAATCAGCCTAACAATGCGAGCTCAAAATTGAGATGCCACAAAACTAAGAACAGGTTGTAAAGTTCTGATATTGCATTGAAAATTTGCGTTAACTAAATTCATATTTAATGTCTTCCAACTAATAAACATAAATAAGAAACTCATCAGAAAAGTTACTATCTGAACAATTAAAGGCTCAATTTTGTTATCTAACAGAATTTGCTCTCCATTCTTGAAACTTCCTTAACTCTGAAACCCAATTCTTAGCATGTATTCCTTCATTGTCGAGCTTGTTTCTACCACAGAGCTCACTTTAATCTGACTCAGATTTCAAAGTTTGTTTTTAAATTTTTTAAATAAAGTTCCCAATAAATCTTATTCACCTATAAATGCTTAGTTCTGACATGGTGTAATCATATTTCCCCCTTTCATGTAGCAAAATTGCTGATGCATCGAACCATTAACTTACCCTAGCATGCAGTAACTTGGACTCCATATTGAATATGCCACAAGTGCCAGAAGTCATTCAACTATATGTCATACACTCTCTCTCTCTCTCTCTCATGATAACCCTCTATAATGCCTTTTTTCCAGTAATATCTATAATATTGTTATAAGCTTTAACACCATGAATCATGAACCTTGTCATGGTTCCAAATCTTTCCAAAAGCTAATTAGTATTGAGTTTTTATAACTTGATTGACTGTTCTTTGATATTCCAGTACAGGAACCTCATGTAAATTGTCAATAATACTGGATATTCTTAGTCACTCGTCCTTCACTTCTTGAGTTGAACTAAATGTTTCTTCCTAGAATTGGACATAATCTTTTCTATCCAAGAAAATGGTTGACTGGTCCATCAAAGATTGCAAATAAGTAGCATATACAGATAGGTAACAATACAAATCTCATGTCTGATGCTCATAAAGAAACCAAGCAATGACTCCGAGCTAAAAAGATTGACCAGCAGCCAGCTTAATGTTGTCTGATCAATAAAGCAACATAAATATACAAACATGAAGCTTTGGACTGATGAGTGTACAATTTTAGTCTACAACCATAGAATATTTGCCACAACTTCATATGTACAAAATTGTAGGATGCACTTGTATGGAATGAGAGAGCAAACAAATTTAATTTGACCAAGAAATCTCCATGTTGGCATGAACCAACAAAATCTTCAACTATGCGTCCCCAGTCTTGAAAGCTAATCACTTGCCTGATGGGAGTTCCTGGAGTATACAATGGATTCTTCATAACATATTCAACATACAAGTTGTAAATGTACATCAAAGCTTCTCTAAGATCACCGGTCCTAGGATGAGTAACCAGAATGATCTGCACAAAAGCAATTAGATATGTTAAAAGAGTGCATTAAAAAGTGCAGTCTGAGTCTGGTACAGATGATGGATGCTAGATCAGATAGGATCTTTCAAAATGGACAACATATAATGTAACTATACCCTTCAAAAAAGTTCCTTTTCGAATTGGCTTTGTTATTCATAATTAATGAGCGGCTGATTTTTTTCCTTTAATAAGTATATGCAACACAAAGACTTTACTAACCTTTATGCCAGATGGACTCTCCATGAAACTAACTTGGTAAGTATTTGAACGAAAACTGTGAAATGAACACCCTTGTCCAGGTAACTGTGGCACCCCAAGATTTCCTTTATCAACGCTACCCAGGAAAAGTTTCAAAAAATGAGTACAGAGCCCTTCAAAAACACAATTAACTCAAAAACCAACCACAATGACAAACATCACAATCACTAGGTACAGTTTCAAGCACTGCATTCATGCCTTAACAGAAATTAGCTCCAAATTAAAACAATGACCGACTCTATCAAGTGTAGGAACACCAATACCAATCAATTATATATCTAGCTACCATACGGGAATACCGAATTCACCTAATATCTGGCAAACATACAGAAAAAGTTCAAAATTTTAGAAGATGCTAATGCCACTAATGGAGGAAGTTTTTTCCGAATTTCCTGAAGATAAAACACTTCGATATTCCTATCTACAAGAAGAACCCCTCTATAAACTGGTTTGATCAACTCGTAATACATCTCAAAATGAAGAGTAATGTCCATGCATACTCGAACACCTTGTCTTTAGTTATGGGTTCCAAACCAATTGGATCCCACTGTACGTAAAAGTGGAAAAACCTTGATGAAACCTGGTATTCCATGGCAGGCAGTCTCAGGGGTATCCCCCAATTTCTTAAAACTGATAGGGATCTTTCGTGTGCATCTGGTGGCCAATCCTCTCTCTGTCTCTCTCGTCATATAGATTCATTCAATCATTCCTCATGATCCTCCCCTTCTCTATACTTGATTAAATCGGCATTGTTCAATAGTCAACACATTCCTCTGCTCTTTTGGCTTGTTGAATTGCAATACATCTCAGACAGGTTTCTAATGAACCTTAAGATTTTTATTGTATTGAATTCAGGTATACTTAATAAATTATTGCGTCTCATGTAATGATTCAGACCAGATGATAGATTTATACCATCAAAATCCAAGACAATAAAACCAAACAATTTCATTCAGATGGAACATCCTCCCAATTCGGGGAAAATAATTACTAATAAACATAGTTATCAAATTGTTTATTGAAAGGCGTATCATTTTTTAAAAATAGTGTATTGTATCGTGTAACATTAAATACGACGTAATTTTACATAATTAATTGTAAAATATATATGCTTTTGAAAAAAAATCATAAGCTCATAAAAACATAACATTTCATTAATATTCCACTAACTATTCAAGTCACCAATATAATTTATTAATATTAAAAAAATAATAAAGGGTATCAAATTAAATTAATGATACTTATATATACTTAAAAATAAAAAATTATAATGTAAGGGGTATTAAATATAATTTTTCATTCTTATAACCACAGTCGTGAGTCTATCTAGTACCCACGACTCACGAACGAACACAGAAAGCCAGAGAGAAGAGCAAAAGGTGATCGGCGATCGCAATGCCGATGCCAGTGGAGAAAGAGAGAGCGAGAGAGAGAGAAAGAGGAAGAAGAAAAAGAAGACGAACTGTGGTACGTAGGGTTTCATCTGAAATTTACCGGTTAGTATTGCTATTTTTTTCAATTTCAAAAATTTGTTTGATTTGCTTTTGCTTTTGCTTTTGCTCGGGTGTTTTTGCTGATTTGTTGCCGGGTAATTCTTGTCTTCTTCATCTCTGTTGCCTTTTTTTTGGTATTTTCTCTATTCTCTAGTTTGTGGGCTTCGGTGTCTTCATCTCTATTGGCTTCGGTGTTTTCATCTCTCTTGCTTTTGTTTCGGCGTCTTCATCTCTGGTGCGAATCAGGCTATCAAAAAAATAAATAAATAATCAACGACTTCGCGTATCGGTATGATACGTATTGTATCATAAAAACGTATCGTGTATTGGACGATACAATATAAAAACGATACATAACTACGATCCGTATCGATTTAAGCCTATATCGTGACGTATCGTACGATATGTATCGCGTATCGTACAATACTAACAACTATGCTAATAAATGCAAGATTATTAAAAATGAAAAACAAACCTAGTGGGATCCATTTTGGCAGTCAAGGATTTGAGAGAAAAAAGCAGACCAAACATAAGCTTGTGGTCCTGTTAGGTATTCAAGGTCCGGAGAGGCCGATTCCACTCCCTATAAAGCAAACACACTCCATTTCTATTGAACGCATAAATCATATTGCCATTGTTTCCCGCTGCTGTTGGTGCTGGAGGTGATGGACTGATCTCTGAACTATGGAAAAATTGTATTGTAATGAATAGTTCAATCCACCCAAAGTAATTGGGTCGAAATGTACAATTCTAGATGCGAAAGACCAGTGATTCGACGTCTCTGCAAACATACAAAATTTTGCAATCTATTTTAGCTAATTAAAAAAACATATATTCAAAGTATAGGAATATGATCTTAATGTTTTGTTTTGTTTTGTGGTAGAGATAATGTAGGGAGAGATTAAGAGCTAAACTTTGGGATTTGGGAATTTTTCATTATTTCGGATACCAGAACGAATTGAACCATTTGAATTTAGTTGGCTTTCATTTACCAATTTTTTCCACAACTTATAATTGACACAGTTCTATTTTCCTTCTAGGCTCCTTTAGAATCAAATAAGCGTACAAAGATTACAACTCATAAACTCTAATTTCTGAATATACACAAGATCGAAACCAAGTAGCTCGATTTGATCGGTCACAACCCTAATATTAAATGAATACTATTTAGCAAACAAAATAGCAGTATCAAATGTACGATGTAAAGAGTTTTGCAAAGAAAAATGAGAGAGAGACCTGGAGACCTGATCAAAGTGAAGTAGAAGGAGGAACCAAATTGACTTGTTAGTTTACGTATTCTCCTCTTCCCCTCGCTAGAGAGAGAAAATAAAATAAATTACACATACACCTCTTAAATTATGATGTGCTAATTGAGTTCCTAATTTTTTTTAACCTTTTTTTTTGGTGTGTGTGCGTGGATTTAACCCTTAAATTTTTTAATTATATCAATTGAGTCTTTCAGTCTACTAGATTTTCTAACAAAAAACGACAAAGTGTGTCAATTAAAAGTGATAAAGTGTGTCACTCAAGTGATACACATGATTGAATAAATTATACGTATTACTCTCAAATTATGACTCTTCAATCAATTAAACGGTTGAATTTTTTTTTTAATATTATTTAAGTTTAATTTATTGACATGATATTTTATAGCCTAATTTACTGTAATTATTAGAGTAATTGTGAGTCTTAATAAATTATATCCAAGTAATATTATTATTTTTATTATATTTTTGTTGGGTCGTAAGTTCAAACGGAGTATCAAATTCAAATTCAAAATAGTCCAGTTGCGTTAAGAAAAAAAATAGAAGAAACATATCACTCCTTGATACATTACTCGGTTGGTGGAACCCTACTCTTGTAATTTATTGTTGTAATTACAAATTGAATGTTTAATTGTTCATCTGATAATGATAATATCTTGTACTTAAATTGATAATTCATTTTTTGCACAAATTAACATGACATTAAATTGGCGAAATTGACAAATTTTACTTGTTTGTTTATTTTTGACCTTGACCTTGACAATAGTGATCCAATTTTGAAAATGCCACTGAAATGTTAAAGGCAACAGCCAAAAATACAATCATTTTAACATTGTTAAGGATAGATCTAAATAACATGTAATATCATAATTACAGCAGCAATGCTCACGAGTGTTTCAAGAGAATCAAATTATACTAAAATAAAAAAATCCCAAAAAATTTACCACAACAGGAAACCATAACTCTATGAAATCTCTGAATTCGACCAAGGAAGATGTATCATATACAGTTCAGACAATCTTAAAACATATAAAAGTTTATAGATCAAATGAATAGACTGATTCAAACACCACCAAGCAAAAGTTCAAAAAGAAAAAATTATATCGCACAGTATCTAACTAGAGTTAAGATACTAATATTCCCATTTCCTCATCTCCATGCCATCAGGAGGGCTTCCTTCCACCACCTTTGAACCCACTTCTTTCCAATTTGTGGATAACACTGTCCCATTCGACTCAACCTGTTAAACAGCACCGGGAAAAGTAAAAGGCAATATTTAATAAGATATGTTTTTGGTGATGCTTGACAAAAAGAAACTACAAACTTGTAAAAAAAAAAATCTTGAGAAATTGTTGGGTTTGCGTCTCAAAAAATAATATCTAGATAATTGATTTAGTATTTTTTGTATCTCAAAACTTGTTTAGTTATATAATTCCAAAAACAGTTATACAATAACCCAAAAAATAATAACACCATAAATGTTGTGATAGTTTTTAAATTTTAGAAAGATTGTTTTCAAAAACACATAAAACAACCTTAACTTGTTCTCTAAATTAACCCACTATTTGTACACAATTTTCAAAAAACAAAAACAAAAAACAGCTGACCAAAATAATTTTTCTCTCAAAAACTATTTTTGAAAACAGAAAAACAATTTCTAAGACGCAAACCAAACAGGGCGTAAACAAGTTGGAATATTGTGGGAGCAAGATTAGGGAAAAAAAAGAAGAAATCAAAAGCAATGCACCCACAAACTAGTTTAAAAGATATTTCAATCTTACAAAAGATTTTTGCATGGCTCTTCTTGTGTCCTCATCAGCATCTTGGTAGATGCCGCGGAAAAATTTGTTCAAAGCTGCATCTCCATCCAATTTTTCTTCTTTTTCCTGAAGTTCAGACCACCAATAAAGAATGACCAAAAATGAAATTTTAAATTGTCCAAACTTTGCAGGTCAACACAAAGCTGGAGGAAGACCAGCATACAATTACAAGTTACAGGCATACCTCCTTTTTCATTTCTGCTTCCAGTTTATCCCAATTTTTTGTCGGTTTTGAGGAAGGATAAGCTGGTTTTTGATTGCCTATAAAATGCAACAGCAAAGAGTAAGCTTCTCAATATGAGAAAATAACGGCGCAAAGTAAGATTTCCCAAATTGGTTAGAAAGCTGCCCATCCCAAGCACGACTTGGGGTTGAGTATCACCCGTCCCATTGCGACTCGTCTCCCTTTCCCCTTAGAAGAGGCTAGATTCATCATTGTCTACCAAATACAGTCATTTTAGTTCTATTGGGCATATTTCTTTCTTTTCGTGTCACAAACCATCAAGTTAAACCAGCACAATCTCATTAAATGATATTTTTCTGATTTCAACCTCAGGTCAGGGTTTGAAAAAATCAATTACAGAAGAATGTTGACCTACCTGACGATACATTTATTTGCCGTAAAACTGTGACATCCTTGCTAAATTCAAGAGATGTCCAATGTATGGGTTCAGCTTTTGCGAGGCGTATTTCAATCTTTGTAGACAAAACTTCATATCTACATTTTGCAGGAATTATCTGTTTGAAATGAGAAGAACATTAAACGATAGAAATTAGTCTAAATCCATGAAATTATCTACAACTAATTCTGGTACCAAAGCAAAATAGATCTAGAAACAATTCAAGCAGACCATGATAAAGCAGAACCTGCTACATCACTTAATGAGAGAGTTTATGCATATCACCTTTCCAAATAACCGAGATTGAAGAGTATACGAATCTTCACCCAGCAAATCAATGGTAACACTCAGCTGCAAAGCAACCCAAGAAAAAAAATAGTTAATGTCCAAAAGATATGGCATTATATAGTGAAAAATAATTATGCAAAACACACAATTATCAGACGAACTAATAGAGACCAACATACTATTTGTTCACCATAGTCAACCGCAACACTTTTTGCTGGTATACCCTTTGCAAATATAGTCACAACTATTTCCTCTAGTTTCTGATAAAATTCATGCCTGCAAAATAATTGTCTCTTAGAAGACTAAATACGTATGAGCACTAAAGGCATTCCTTTTTACAAAAACTGAGGTGTGAAGAAAATGTAAACCTTCAAACACACACAAACTAAAGGGGCCAAACAAAATAAATATAAGAAACAAACAGTAATAAAGCTCGAAAGAAAGTCATGCATCACTGGCATCGGTTATATGAAGGCCCCTCAAGGACCATACGAATACTTAGAACACAGTTGTCCCTTTAATAATTCAAATTATATAGTTAACATATGATAACTTTAAAATTCTAATTGCAACAATTTTCAGGAAAAACCTACAAGATTCTTACCAACAATTAAGTTCATGACTAATAGACGTTTACCATTTTTTTCCCTGCCAGGCTAAGAGCAATACTGACATAACATCTATGCATCACCCAGGCTAAGAGCAATATTGACATAACATCTATGCATCACCCATGAAAGTGCAGAATTTATGTGAAAATCCTTTTTCTTGGTGTGGAAAGTTAAGAAAGTTTCAGATAATCAAAACTAAGGATAACACTTGTTAATTTTATAAATCAGCAAATTAAACATATTATTTACAATACTATTAGTTACTCAGTAATTCACTGTATGTAATTGAATATGTCAATAATCTTTAGATGAACTGAGTTAACCACAGAAATTTGGGTATACCTGTATTTTGGTTTAGATAATACCATTGTGACCTGTTTGGAAAGGTTACTAACTGGCTGAGCATCGTTTGAAGCTACATCTCTTTCATCCAATGATTGGGAAGCAGTTTTGTCCAATAGTTGAGAAGCAGGAGGAATCATATCGTCAGTTGGGGCTTCATCGACTGATTGCACTGGCAGCTCACCAGCTTCCTCTGAACAAACAAGCAAGACCCATCAAACAGATGAATGGATACACTCATAAGACACCGTTTATAGGTATCCCATTTACAAATAAAGTCAATCCTGCTTATTAATTATATGGCCTTTTAGAAGCCTTTGTATCAACTATGAGAAAAGAAGTAATCAACCCAGATCTAAAGAAGTTTATAACTGATCTGACAAACTACCACAAGATAATATTTTTTTGTCATCAGTAAAAACTAGACACAACATGCACTACAATTATTCTTGTTGATGAAAATATTAAATCTACGAAAACTTGCATTCTCTGTGGCATTTAATGACAACATATTCAATTTACAGAATATACCATGAGGATGCTGTAATTTACAATTGTCAAGCATATTTCTATAAAACGCATTTAGAACATTACCTGCAATGCACACTTCACATTCTTTGATCAAACTACTAAATCTTGAATCTCCTGGTGCTAAAGAAACACCTGTTTCCAAAGCAGCCTTGGCAGTCTGATATTCTTCAAGCTTGATACATGCAGTGCTTGTAAGCAGAAACAATAAATTAGCGAAATTAATAGGAAAATATACATATAATTAAGAGACTTGTGATAAACTAAAGCAAAGTATAGGACAGAATGGGAGGGATAATGCCAAGCGCCCAGAGACAGAGAATTAGCCTGGAGGCTTGGACCACCAAAGAACCGTTAATCCCATTATCAGCCGTCAAGAGTGCTATGAAGTAACCAGACAATCTAGTTTCTTATGCATATACATACAACTGACAACCAGACAATAGACCATATATTAGCCATATCATACAGAGTTAAACATGTAGCAAAAGACACACCACAGGAATAATTAAGATCACACCTTATTCAACAAAAATCAAAAAGCATATTCATGACAATCAAGAATACGACTCTACAGTTAACTAAAAATACAAAAAAACGAGAGAACAAATTAAAAAAATCGGAAAAAAAATTATGTGCCGATAGTTCCAAAACCAAAAAAGAACATGACTCTCCGGTGCCAACAAGATCTTTAAAGATCTCCACAACATTTAAAGCCAATGTATCTATGCACTGCAAGTCTGCAAATGTCTTCCGTACATATTTTTTTTAGATCTTTCTATGTAAGCTGACATATTGCACATGGATCCAAATTTTGGGGGAATGACCAAAACCTTTTAGTTTTGTTGAAAATCAAATAAACTAGTGATGGAAAATAGAAATTGTTTCAAAATGTTTTGGTCAATGTTTCAAAATCAAAATTCTAATCTTTTTCTCTAAATCTACCATGATTGAGAAATATTTCCAAAAACTATATACCAAAACAAAATTTTGGTCCTCCCATGTGCACACCATCTAAGTGCCACGGTCTAGATGTCATAAGCATACTGAAGGCTCTAGGGATAGCAGGTGAGCTCATACATAAGCAAGTTAACTACACATTGAGATCAGCAATAATACAAAGATACTCACCCTTTACGCAAATATGCTTTAGGCATTGAAGGATCTAATTCAATTGCTTTGCTTGCGTCAGCAACAGCTTCTGCTCATAGGATGTACATAGATTACTCACCAGCTCCAGAAATAGATAATTAAAACACATAGCAATGATAGTGGACATAATAAAAAGTTATCAAAAGAATGTATAAGTCTCAGTATATGTGCATGCATGATAGCATTAAAATTAACGCACCATCAGAGAAGGATGAAACAAGGACAAAGAGTAAAGTGAGAAGGAAAATAAGCTTTCTTTTGTACTGAAAATGAAAATAAGTTGGTAAATCTCAAACTTAGCCTAAAGCTTTTCAGCCTTATCATATTCTCGAGCTCTCCACTAAACCATTGGCAAAAACATATACAAAGTTTTAATACTGGAAATTTAAATAACAACTTTAAACCAACAAGTGCTCAAAACAGGATATACCAAGAACCAGATAAACGATCGCCGGTCATCTGGCATACCAAATTTGATCACTGAGTCACTGACAATTTATACAATGAATCTATTAGATGCTTAACTAGGCAGAACTAACCACTGGCACATACAAGATTATAGGACTATCTGCTACATGTGGTCCCATTAAGCCTCCAAATATGAACTAAACATGCAAAAATAGAATTACCAATATAATTTGCAACTGGTTATGGCACTGGCATCTTGTGCAAAACCAGGCAACACCTATAAAATGAGGAAAGAAGATTCTGAGTGGAGTAGCCAAAAAGTCAAATGAACAACCATCCCGGAGATTTCCAATTTTGACCACCACAAAACAAATTAAGAAACATGAAAGCCCAATGACAACGACTATGACCCCCACATAAGCCAATCCTTGCAAATTGCATTTGCAAATTGGACTTTGATGTAACATTACAGTTTACTTGCCTGACCACTGTTGATAATCATCAACTCCAAACAATAGCAAAAGTGCCAAAAGGACTACAATGCAGTACTCATTTCAACTCCCTGACCCTATAATCTTTTCGACAAGAAACTACAATTTTACTAACAATAAGAACCCTGATCCTATATTTAACACAATCATACTACAGTGGTCTGCTTAATTGAGCCAAAAGTTTATACATAATACCACAGATATAGAAACTGATTGTGCATTTGCAAGTATAAAAGATATGTTTCAAAAGTGTAATCTACGCCTTCAAATTACAAGCAGAACATTTTTTATCTAAAAGTACGAACACACTCTACAACAACACCAAATGGACAATAGTTGAAAACTACAGAAGCAAATACCAAGAAGAAACGAAGGTCAAACCATATATATAGCATGTGAACCGAGTGTACAGAATCAATAATCATTAACTACAAGCTCTATAGATAGATTACTGCCGTTTTGGTAGTTGAGAAAACATATTAAACATAATCTCAAATTGCATCTTCAATTCTCAATATGCAATAACAAAAACAAGCAAAAACCATTGGTGATGTATTTAGCTTCGGCACAAAGACTTGATGTATTAAGTTTCTATTACAATTTCCTCGGATTTCTTGGCAACCAAACGGAAAATATAGGATGGAAGAGTACCAGGGAAGTCGCAGAGTTTGATATTGGCCTGTGCGCGGTCGGCGAAGAGCTCGGCGTTCTTAGGATTCATAGCGATGGCTTGAGAGTAGAGATCAACGGCAAGTTCGAAGTGGTCGTCGAAGAAGGCCTCTTTAGCCCTAGTCTCGAGATCGGTCGCCATGGGGATCGGACAGAGCAGATTAGAAAACTCTAGAAACAGAAAAGCAATAGACGATGCTAGGCTGGAAGCGAGAGAGAGAGAACGGCGAAAAGACTTTGGGAAGACTTGGGAGTCTGTCTTTGCTGCAAATAATTTATTAGGCCTCGTTTGGTTATTGAAGCGCCAATAAAGGTAAAGGAGAATTAGATCTAGAACTTTCTTATCATTTAGATTCTATATATTGATGCTGTAAAATTTATACGCACATGACATTTATATTGTATCGTTAATGTCCGTTAAAAAATTAAATTTAAATTTTTTAAAATTTTTAGACATAATATATTTAAATTTTTTAAATTTAAAATATTATACTTAAACAAAAAATATTCTAATCAAAAATAAAATATCAAATATTTTAAATTTTACAATTAAAATTCATGTTATATCATTTCATTTATTAAAATAAAATTAAAAGTAAAAAATTATTTTTTCTTAAAAAAATTATAATTAATATACAACTATATTATCTAATAAAAGTAAATGACCAAACAAGAAGTTAAATCGTAATGGATACAATATTTTATTATCTTCTATCTTTAATTGGGTTAATTTAATTGTTTAATATATTTCATTAGTTTTGTACCTAATAAGTGATTTATATATAATATTTTAAACTTGAGAAGTTTAAGTATTATTTACCTATAAATTTCAGAAGGTCTGAATGTAATTACTAACAAATTTACTAACTAACATTGATGATACGGTCTAAGTGTTACACGTGGTATATTATTTCAAATAATAAGAAGTTTAAATGATTAAGCGATAAAATTTAAGAGGTCTGAACATTATTCTAAGAGAAATAGAGAGAGAAACTTGGGGTGGGGGGAGGCCTTTGCTGCAAAGAATTTATTAGGTCTGGTTTAGTATTGTAAACAAATAATTAATTAATATAAATTAATTTTGTATAAATTAATAAAATATAAGATTAAATGTGGAATACAAATTGATTTAATAGTATGGGCATGAATATGAAATAAGTTTAGATATAACATCGAATATTTTTAACAATTAAACATATCACAAGATTTGATTAGAGAATTTTAATTTGTTCTGACTACTTAATCTACCGTTTAATACTGCGACTAAACGAGTCCTTAAGATCTAATTATTACACTAAAAAATAAGATATCTGTAGAATTATTTTGTTTTATTGTCTTATTTTATTTTATTGTTTTGATAATTAATAGCAACAAATAAAGTAAACTAAGATCAATAATAATTCATTTACGTGTATAGTACCACAAAGTATTTTTCAATATTATCATAAAAAATTTATGCCAAATATTGTATACGATCTTGAACTATGGTGTGGTTTTAAAATACCTCTTTAATTTTGAATTATTTTAAATTACCAATATTATGTTGAAGTAAACTAAAAAATTCATAATATTTGTTTGAATTTATCTCCTAATTTTTTATTTTTTTTGGGTATGTGTGTCACTTAATTTTTTATTTTATTTTATTTTATTGCATAGACCATACCATTAAGAGTAAATTAGAGACAAACGACCCCATCCGAAGTCAATTATCATACCAAAAATCAGTACTGTCATCTGAACCAACAACAACATTCTTGAATGGTTAACCACCTCCCCCAAACCATTTGTATATCTTTGAAGATAACATAAATGATTCCCCTTTAAAAACTTTGGACATAATACCTTGCCCTATGAGGACTTCCTTTGCAGTTTATTCCACACATGTTTCACACTTTCGCTTGGGAAGTAGAAGTTACCACTACAGGACACTTGAACACCACGTCATCCTCTGGTCCTACTTTAATGATAGTTAAGAATAATTTGTGTCTAAAAGTATGATACAATGTAAACCTAATAAAATTATGAAGGCATGGTACAATATAAACTTAATTAAGTCACGAGGTAAATGAAAAGTAATGAATTTAAAGGGAGAAAACTCCATTTGAATGATTTTGATAGAGAGATTAGTGATTGTTGGATTAGTCTATTTGAAACCGTGAGATAAACTTAGTAAAACTTACCTTATTTTATATTATAGATTGTTAATTTGCAAAAATTCTTAAATTCTCTACAAAAGTGGAATATAATCAACTAGGGATAACTCGTGCCTGAAGACACGGTGTAATTCAAAAAATATCGAACACTAAATTTGAATACGAAATAATCAAGCACTGAATTCGGACGTGTACTAAATCAAAAGCTTAAACTGTCCCCATAATCCGTGCCTGAGATTGTGCAATTCCAAAAAAAAAAAAAACAAGTATTAATCGTGAACACTTAACATAGACACGCTAGAACTTACTTTGTAGTAGGACCTAGAGAACAACCAAAACAAATATGAAATTTTTGGATTACACAAACACGTGGTACCCCAAAAGTTCAAAACTAAAAACAGAAATAGACTGGATATATAAAAAATAAAATTGAAAAATATGAACAGAAAAATAAAAATTAAAAAGTTGAGCAATTAGTAAAAAATCAAACAAATAGACAAATTCACCTCATTGAAACAATACTACAAACACCAGGAGTTCGAATTAACTCAAATTCGCAACAAATTGTGTCTCAAGCAACAATTTAAAATGTACATTTGCAAATGTTATACTCCGCAAACAGAACACGTGGAAGTCTAGAACACTCTGATGACATTTGACATGCACATATCCCTCCCAACTTTTCTACTAAGTTGAAGGCGCCGTTTCCTACTTCCTTGATGCTGGTTTAAGAAGTGGTTCTTACATATACAACATATATACAAATGAATTATTAGATTCAGGGTCGTGCCCCCAAAACAACTCTAATAATGCCTGGTTGTGCAATTCCCTAGTACGATTGCTTCGCAGAAACAAAAGTGGTCAGATTGTAGAAACCAAAGGTTGAACAAATGAACTGAGTTGCTTAGAAGGAGAATTTGCGATTAGCCACTGATTGTTCACTATTGACAACACAACCTGACTAATTTTTGTGTGTATTTGCCTATTTCAAATGTGAAGAAACAGTCGGTCAGTTTTACATTGATCAGAGGCAACATTACACAGACATTTTTATTTGGTTATAATAGATGTAGGAGTAAGTGATAAGATATGACTATTCTTCTCTATAACTCACCCTTAAGTGAATGGCTTCCCAGTGTGTTCCTTACTAAATAGAATTTTTAACAATAGATCATTCTATTCTATAAGGTCGATGGCCCAAGCAAGAATAACAACATGCACCATAATCATACCCAGACCAATTACAGAACTGACCATCGCACCCGAGTCCTGCCTAAACAAAATTATTTAATGACTACCACAACAACATAATAATATTAACCAATAAAGATTGTAATGATTGCTACTATCAATGCCTCATTCTTTAGCATATGAGCCACACAATAAGCAACCTACTATCCCTTCAACCTTATACAACAAACAATACAGATCCAAATTCCAATTTACAGGGACTACAATCTAAACTCACATTAAACTAAAATTCATGTTCAAAAACCAAAAACAAAGTTCATATTCACTTATGTCAACCAATTAAAAATAACAAATTCTCATAAGATAAGTGAAAAGTACAATATTATTAAGAGTGCATTTAAAACTGATAATTATAGCACTGTTCCAAATTTCATCTCAAGTGCCACAAACACAATAGAATCAACAAGCACGTTTCCTAGAATATGAGATGAAAAAGGTGAGTGATCTTGGTTAGTGGAAAACCATCTCACCTTAGCAAGACTTTGGAACCATATATGACCAAATAAACCCATAATCTCTTTCCCAACTGTCAAACAAAAACCAACTATTGTTTAGTGCATCACCAACAACCCTGGGTTTTTAAGGGAAAAGAAATCAAATAAGAGGGAAAATTTTCTTCCTTGTGTAGTGGTGTCCTGTGAAATTATTAGTGGCATATTTGCTGGTAATGAGTTCTTCAACAACCATCGGTGATTTTCAAAATGGAATCAAAGATGTTCTTCTGATCTGTCTAGTCTTGGTTGTTTGCCTGCTGCAGTCAGCATGGTGTTGATGCAGGACAGTAGGGGATTCCATGTGTTGCGTGCTAAGAGAAAGTTGGTCTGTGAATATAAGGAAGATAATGGTATTGGATAAAGCAGGTATACTTAGATGGTCCTATTACTGCATTGTTGTGACTGCCTGCTGTGCTGTTTTGCTATATTGCATTGTGTTGTTGAGATATGGTGTTGATGTGTTTATATGCTTCTGTGCTGGGAGATGATTGGAGCTCTGGATTGGAGTCTATTTTTTGTTGCAGGCAGTTTCTGCTATGATGTAACTGTCTTGTTGCAAGTTGCTGTACTGCTGTGCAGTTGTGCTTTCTGATGAGCAGTCTGATATGCTGATTTGCTATGCTGAATGAAGCTGATGCCTGGATGCAGTGAAGCTGGGTTGCTGTAGATATGCTGGGATGGAGATGGTTGCTGCATGATTGCAAGAGTTAAAGCTGAAGTTGGAAGAATGCTTGTGATACCCACTGCTAGGCTGAAGTTATGAGTGGGAGTTTTTTTAGCTTGTGGTACCCTGACAACTGCTGCTAACAGGGGTATTCTGCCCTGCTAACTCAAACTGATATTTAGCAGCTTGAAGGAATGAAGTTGAAAGAGGCCCTAACAGCAGCTTTGTCTATTTTTTGTATCAGAATTGTTGGTTATAGGAAAACAGAATTTCTGTTATGAAACAAAAAATCTGTTTCTAACAGTTTTCTATTTTTTCTGTTTTTTTATTCTTGTAATTTTTGAAATTCATTCAATAAAATTTCTCCATTTCTTTTAAAAAAAAAACTATCGGTGATTTTACAATATACAGTTCTGAGCTTTACTGGAAAACTATTATCAGTTTCAACATTCATCAGGAAAAAAATAAAACATAATTATTATTTCCAATCACTAATATTTTAGTTTTGATGAAATTCGTAAACCCTCTATTCAAAATCTCCCAAAAATTCACATTTGCACAAAATTTAAACATGGAAACTAACTCAACTGTCAAACCATAGTTAACAATTAAAAGAATTAAAAATTAATTACTGAGCAAACATAATTATTATTTCCAATCACTCATTCTGTTCTATAAGATCGATGAACCGAGCAAACGTAGCATAGCACCGTCACTACAAAATTTTGCTTTCCGTCGAGTCAATTCTATTGACCAGAAATATTACAGAACCTATGGATATACAAAAGAGTTAAAGAAAACCCAATTCTATTGACTCTAGAAATAGGCAGAACTTCCAAAAATTTTAGCCTCTATATATAATATAACTCGTACCTGAAGGGCTGGTGCAACTAAAAAAAATCGAACTTGCCTTATATATTGTAGTTGAGACCTATGCCATTCATAGGAAAGTGTGAACAATGTTAACTACTTAACACGCATCCTCAAGTTAAAAATTTTATCCACACTCCAAATCATATTGTAGTAAAAGGTAATAATTTATTACATCACCACCTTATAGCAATTACCCCGATACTATGCTGAGAGGAGTAAAATGAAGCTCAAAATTGGGTGTGTATTCAAATCAAACTTCACAACAATTCAATACTGTGAATCTGTGATATGGCCATATGTAAAAATTGAAATGCTTCGGGCCATTACTTATGTTTTTCTAATAAAAAAAAATCTGGGGACATATTTCCTAGCAATCATAGAGAGTATGAAACAATAAAAGCAAAACAAAACAAAACCATGATTAGAGTACAGAAACTCAAAATTGGCCATAGGCAAACTCATATAACCTCCCTCCCCCCTCCTCCCCCCCCCCCCCCAAAATCGTGGTAACTGACCTAACACTTACAAATATTTAACCTAAATGCAACCTACGTAGCACGCTTTTTAACTACTTTCAGCTGATTTAACTCAAATGATTTCCTATTTTCAATACAAATCATCCATTCACATCCATTAAAAATTACTAAATAAAAAGTAAAACATGGGATCAAAACCATTCACATTTCATAATCCTACATATATTTCTTACTGCAACAAACCCAAGTCCTCAAACAAAGACCCAAATGCAAAAAAGAAACAACAATTTAATGGATTGAGAATGATTAATACCATTAGCTGTAATTGCCACTTGATAGTAAGCAAAACATAGCACCACCCAAGAAAACAAAGTATGGCCACTATGTGCTTGGCCTCCAATCAATGGAGCAATTAAATTTGTCGAATCATCTGCATATGAGCATGTATTGTAAAATGGAGAAATAAATGAGAGAAAAAGTTAAAAAATGATGTCATATCTGTTTTGAAACCCAATCCTCAATGAAAGCAATATTTTAAGGTTTAGACAAAGTTACATGAGACAACCTACAAAACGCTAAAGCAGAATCTTATTGATGAATTTGACAGCGGCGTGACGTTGAAAGTGGCATAACCGTGTGAATCCGAGACAACCTACAAAAAATAAATCAAGACTAAAAAATGTAAATTGCCAAAACAAATGTAAAACCTATGAAAATAACAAACTCAAAAAACAAACCACTATTTAGGAGAACAACGTCACCACTTAAGTTGTGTCGTCGCTAGTCATTGGAGCTGCACTACTCGTTGCCCATCGCGAAGTTCATCGAAAAATTAGAGGAAAAGATAATAATCTAAATCAAAGTATCATTTAACCCAAACTCAAACTCTTCAACTAATTCAAACCCAGACTCAATTTAATCAAATTAACAGCCTCGCCCTATAAAATTAACTTGTAATTCTTTATAAAAATTCAACTAAGCCTATGAGATTATAACGCAGTTGCAATAAAGAAGACCCCAATTTATAGGCAAAAAAGAGAAGCAAGAAATATTAAATCTTTCACTTGTGAAGTAAAAGTTACCACTACAGGACACTTGAACACCAAGTCATCCTATGGTCCAACTTTAATGATAGTTAAGGATATTTTGCGTCTAAAAGCATGATACAATGTAAATCTAATAAAATTATAAAGGCATGGTACAATATAAACTTAATCAAGTCACGAGGTAAATGAAAAGTGATGGATTTAAAGGGAGAAAACTCAATTTGAATGATTTTGATAGAGAGATTAGTGACTGTTGAATGAGTCTATTTGAGACCGTGAGATAAACTTATTAAAACCTACCTTATTTTATATTATAAATTACTAATTTGCAAAAATTCTTAAATTCTCTACAAAAGTGGAATATAATCAATTGATTACATTGTATTATATCTTTAAATTTAATCATCAATTAAGTACAACTGTCGTTATTATTCTTTCCATAGGCAACTATAGGACATTATGAAGCCACTTTAAGGGCCTGGAAGCATGAATTCAAGAGAGCCACCATATCTCTTAATAAGATAATAACCCTTTTAACATTACAACCATCACGACTACGAAAAAAAACTATTCATTGCAACAGTAATATCATGTTGATATTATCATGTGATATCACTAACAAGTAATATGCAGACAAATAAAAAAATAGACCCCACACAAATCAATAACTATTGGTTCATGTAAACAAATAACTTCCACCCTTCTTTCATGTAAAACTAATAACTATTCCAGTGAAGTTCACTTTGCCCATTTGAGATTTTGTAATTGGTGATACCATCTCATTAATACCAACGTGATATAACCGTTGAATTGAATATCCCCTCCACAACTACAGAGAAGTGATACGCCCCAAACAAGCAGAAACCTAAGACAAGTAACTGATTATGAAACTAATGGATATCATAAAATGATAGTTTCACCAACTTCAGCTGAACATACTTCAACAACTTTGTACTCATCAACGTCATTGATTTCATCTGAGTGAAGTTGAGCATTCTTTAACAATTCACAATACTTGTTGCCAGCTTGATCATCAAACTTATTCAAACCCTTGCTAGGTTCATTGAGATACTTTGATCTAATTTTAACACACTTTCCTTTAATGTAACGATACTCCCATTTTGGCGGTGGATATTTCTTCTTCAATTTTTCGTATTTGTCCAACATACCCAACTTTTGAAATACATCTCCAACCATTGTAACAATCAACACAGTTGGTCGGATGCCAAGCTCGTCCATGTCAGCAAATATCTGCAAAATCAAATTACATATAAGAAACATCCTAAAATGCAGTGAAAATCAAAATTTCTGATCTATAGAACACACCATGAAATAAATTCCAGTCAACTTTGAAAAGTAATTGCCAAACAAAAGCTCTACTGTTTATACAGTTCAAGAACACAGAAAAATATTAATGTGAATGCACATATTTTGAATAAATTATGCACATCATTGCATACTCGGTTTTACTGCACATCCAGATGCAGTAAAATTAGAATAACTCCACTTGTAAGTTGATATGTTTGTATCCTGCTATATAACAATATCGTGTTGCTGGATCCAAGGTAAGACCCTCGTGTAAAGGCTCCTGAGGTCAAACACATAATGGGCAGAAGGGCAGGTGAGAATGTGGGTGCATATTAGAAAGAAGAGACAAGGTAGAATACAAAATAACACCTTTAAGGGTACAGGAAGAGAAGTTCTATCACATGACACACAATAATTCTTAAGAGAAAATATAATCAGAATACCTCAAAAATATTTTCATGCATTCCCCTATGGTAGTATATAGAAATCATTTTATCATAGAAATAATGAGGCATGCTTTCCAGATTCTCAGAAAATAACTTCATCCAAAGCTCTTCGGCTTCATCAACCCTTCCATCCTTGGCCAAGGCATTTAACAATGTGTACTAGCTTCCCATTGTTCTTCCTTGACCTTTGCTTAACATCCACTTTGTCACCTAAAACAGAAAAACCAAAACCAAAACCCAACAAAGCCTCATCGCAATGAAATCCCACATAGAAAGAGAAGGTTTACTAAATGAAAAGTACCTGAATTATTCTCTTCCATTCCTTTCAATCTTCAAAGCTTTCTTCACTGTAATTAAAAGGAACTCTTAATCCCATGCAATAAAAGAATCAAGAGCCTCGTATACTTCCTCTTTGACATTGGATAATTCTTTTATCTACATAAGATGGCCCAAAGAAGTTAGAAATCCTAAATGCAACATAGAATCAGAAAGTTTAGTCCATATTATCCTTGAAGTATTCGTCCCACAATAAGAGTCAAGGTAATCATTTTCAATTATTAAATGAACAAACTTTTAAAGAACAATTTGTGCAATAAAATTTCAAAATATCATCCGCAGTCCACCCATAACTTTTTACAAATATATAGCCACAAGAAGAAAAAGAACTCACACACTCAACAAGCTTTACTGACTTGGAAATGGTTCCTATTCTCCTTCTGGTTTTTTCCACCCCGAGGATATCTTGGTCGAGGACCTTTAGCAGCACATACCTGAAAATAATTACTACCAATGAAGAAAAAGACTCAAAAAAATAAAAAAGAAATAGGATGAAGAAGAGGAAGATTTCTTGATATTTGAGAACCAGGCCAAAACAAAAAAAATAAACAAAAAGGGGAAATGAAACCTGAAAGAAAAACTAGGAATTGGACAGGATCCAATCCACATCAACCTGCTATAAGATCCCTCAGTTGTTAATTTTTACCATCTCTTATTGGCAACCAAGTATAGCACAATTCATTTACTCCTAAAAGCAAATAGGTCTTTTTGATTGTCATGTATAAATATTTTTTATCATCCAATGGACAATTAAGTATATCCAAGCACATTAACATCTCCCTCTCAAAAAAAAATTAAAATCAACACGCGATGACTTTACTTACAAAAATCACTCAAAAACCCGGAAGTACCATAACAAGAGCTGTGCCGTTGATTGAAACTCTTCAAATTAAGAATTCGAAAACTTAAATAGTCAAGCCTATACTTCGAAAATAAAAATGCACTTTTCCTTGATCTTACATAAGGACCAAAAATATTTTAATTCATGGAAAAGATTCTATGGCATATCAAGGAGCTGAGTGCAAAAATAATTATACAGTAACCAATTGTAGTAAAACAGAATGATCTGTAAGCTTCATGTAAGCAAAGAAATATGCCACTGATGAGAATTTACCGAAAAATGAAAGTTTATAAATTTTTAATCAAAACGAAACTCACCACAACGCAGCGCCTACTGTTCTTGAAAAGTTCAAGTGAATCCAGAATCGGAGTAAATACTGCAGGAGAGTACTTCAAAAAACTAAGCATCCTGGAAAAAAGAGATAGAAGGAAGCAATTCAATAGGTGGTAATTATTTACACAAACAACAAAGCAGAGGTTTATAGACTGAATTATCCTATTCAAATCATTTCAAAACACTAAAAACATTCTCCATTAAATGATTACAAACTGGATCCACTAGACAGAGATTTCTTTTTCAAATCACTTAAATTAAGTGAGAAACGAGATGAGGAGATACTATTACCGGCAGATAATAGATAGTGGACTTCTCCCAAATTCATTCTATTCCCGATCTCTCTCTCTCTCACTCTCTGGCTCACCTTCTTTTCTCTCTCACACAGATTTTATGTTTTCCCCCTTATATTTTTGCTATTTTCTAAATATACCGGTCATTTGCCACCATGCTACTATTGAATAATTTCAACACACGATTAGATTGATTTTGAACATTTTTTATTGGTACAATTAGTATCTTATTTTTTTTTAATTACTGATTAACTTGGACTTTGATTTTTTTTAAAAAATTTTTGGAAACTATAATTTTTCATACAATGATTTATTTTTGGTATGAATAATAACTCAATGATTTTATTTATGGAATATAAAAATAATTTAAATTTCATTGATCGATAAGAAATTCAATTTAAATTTTATTCAGTGACGATGTGTATGCGGTTATTGAGATTAAATATTAAACTGTCAAACTTTGAAAAAGAAGTATTAAATTTAGAGATATTATGTATTTTATGTGTGTTTAATAGAAATATTTTTAATTTTATACAAAATTTTATCGTAAAATTAAAAATTAAACAAAACTAACATAAATCAATGTACAAACAATACACTTTTAATATATAATATTTAGATTATTTTTAATTTAAAATAAATTTAATCTGAGTTGTTATTGTGTTTTTTCAAATTTAAGATACAAACGTATTAGAAATAGGAGTGTAAAGTCTTACGATAAGATGTTTCTTCATGGACGGAAAAATAAATTGAAGACTAACTGTAAACCGTTAGATCAAAATTTTTGAAATCATCTGAACTGTCTTTTATATTAAAATTACGTTATCTATTAGATGTGTTTATATTTTATTTCAAAACAATCTGAACCTCTCTTTATCTTTTGAATTCAAACTTTGTCCTAGATATTTGGAATAATATATGACATTTGGAAATCTGAAAAAAGGGTAGTTTGGTAATTGGGTGAATTACACTTTGAACCTTAAAAATTTTATTTTATATTTTTAAAGATTAAAGATTAAATTTTTCATGACATTTCTCATTTTCCACCTTAAAAGCACAGCATCACCACTCTCATTTTGTACTTTTATAGATTAAAATTTTCACATAACAAAAAAATTATTATAGTGTGATCCTTTTATTAACTTTTCGTTAGTTTTTTCGTTAATGTCAATAGGTTGGATTTTAATAGAAAAAATGTAATATTTTTGATATATTCAGGGTATAGGATAAGAAATTTAATTTTTAGGGGTATAAAATAAAAATTTTAAAATTTTTAGGGCTACAAAGTGCAAAAGCGTTTAGTAATTTCAGAAGAGAGGGGGGGGTAGAGAGAGAGAGAGAGAGAGAGCTAGAGAGACTCCGAAGAAGATAAAAAAGAACGAACCACACAGATCTCAGCTCAACAAAATGCTAATGGTCGAACCGGCGACCGCCGTTCGATTCTCCGCCGGATGCTGCTTCGACCCGACCTCCCGCCGTCTCTCTCACTCCGGCAGCTTCTTCACTCCTGGGCAAAATTTTCGAAGATTAGGATATGGCTCTTGCGTCAGGAGTGATTTCATCAAGAATAGAGTGAGGGCTTCTGCCAAGGATGAGCAATCAAGCTCAGGTTCGGGTCCGGTGAAGCAGAATGCGAAGCCGCAGCGGTACCATCCGTTCGAGGACATTGAGGATTCGGCATTACTTGCCAGTGGGGATGCTATGCTTACTCCTGCTGAAACTACTCGGACTACCATTGAGGTTAGTACTTCAAAATGAATTTGTTTTAGCAATTCCTTTGAATATTTTCTATCAAATTCAGATGACAAGAGATCGATCAATTTACTTAGCATAAGAGTATACTCGTGAATTAGCTCTTCCTGCTAATTGCCCTGCAAATATGCCTTAATTTACATTGATTATGTTTGTGTTTCAGTGGAATTTACCTATAGAAACAACTTCAAAGGCATCAAATACCCGTTGCCTTATACTATAGGTTTAGTGAGTGTCCTGGTTGAAGGTGAAGGGTCCCTTCCACTGAAATTTGAATTGGGCTTTGAAAGTTTAAATAAAAAACGAATTTCTTGTACTTTCCTGCCTGAAAACAGACAAATAATCTAAATTGTCATTAGTGGCCTATCATTAACTACTTCCTGATTGGTCTTGTGCCTGGCTGTTTGTAATGTTGCTTGGAACGTTTCATTTTTCAGGTAAACAGCAAAGCAACACTGATGTTTTCAGGTTTAATTAGTGACGAAGTTCACGAGAACATTTTCTGGCCAGATTTGCCTTATGTGACTGATGAACATGGGAGTAAGATGCATATTTTGCGTTGACATTATTGTGTTCGGTTTATTTCCTAAATTTCGTTGTGGTTGGCTGCGTCATCATTATGTTAAATTGTTACCTGCTTTGGCTTCTTTCAGATGTTTACTTTCAAGTGAAAAGTGATGAAGACGTCCTACAAAATCTTACTTCTGAGGAAACCCTTGTGGTATGCAGCATGAACTCTCAACAGTCTCTCATTTACAGTATATGACATTTGTGTGTCTTGAGGTGGTATAAGAGTAATGAACTAAGCTCTTAATTCTAAATGTGATGCAGCAAGTTATAATAGGGCTAGATACTGCAGAAATGATCAGCGAGATGGAGTCACTAAGTCAATCAGAAATTGATTTTGGTGTTGAGGAATTTGATGATGAAGATACTGACGAAGATGACGATGATGATGATGATGATGATGATGATGTTGACGAAGATGAAGATGACGAGGTGGCGACTCTTTGTGGAGTCTTATGCTTTTCTGGCTTGAGTATTGGAGCTATGCAGCATTCCTCATTTGATTTTGTGCATATGCTTGTTTCCAGGGCTGGGTTGCTATTCTAGATGACGAGGAAGATCAGGATGAGGATTCTGATGGATCGTTGGGGGACTGGGCAAAATTGGAGACTATGGAATCTTCCCATCCTATGTATTTTGCCAAAAAACTGACACAGGTAACTGTTATTGGTAAATGGTTTATATTGCAGAGTAGAATTGTTTTAGAAAAATGTATAACTGATGACCTCAATTTGGCAGTTAAGATAGAAAAATATATAGAATTGTTTTAGTTTAGTAAAATGTACATATCTGATAATGTCTCTTAAACAACTCTCTCTTCTGTGTGCCAAGTCTCTTTTCTTTTTGGACACTGGTTGTAAATGTACTTGGGTTTCATTTTTTTTGGGTGTAAATGTTCTTGTTGCTCAGGTTGTGACAAACGATCCTATAGATTGTATGGACCAGCCTTCTGCTGGTCTTGCGATTCAAGGCCTATTGAGACCTGCCTTTGTTGAAGAACACGGGGTCATCCAGAAGCAGATATCTGACCATCAATCTAGTAGTGCTGAGTCAAATCAGATTGCTAATTTTGTGGAGGATAAAGAAGAAGATATTCTAATTAATGGTCACAGAAACGAACCGAATTCATCTCAAGATAGCCCAATTTTGGCAGAGGAATTGGAGAAGGATGAGAGCCTGGGAAATGGAACTGTATTCTATAAGCTAGATATGATTAGGATTCAGTTAATTTCAGCACATGGACACCAGGTATGTTCTCAGGTTTCTTAAGTGAATCATGACAATACTTGCTTGTTAACTTTCTTTGGACTTGGAACATGTTTCCCTTAGTGTTTTTGGTATTCTTGCAGTAACTATTAAATATTATCCCTTTTCTGCAATATGAATTTTGGTCAGACCCATGGGCATCTTTCACTCAGTAACAAAATGCAAATGATTGCTAGAAAACTCGGAAACCAAATAAAGGTTTTTCATGTCCTAATGGAATGTAGAAGGGACTTCTAATGTCCCCCATAATTTGGCCAAGATGGAATCTTAACCTTCTCCCTCTTCTGCTTTTATATTTATGATCAAACTGGGAAGCTGACAACTTAATTTTGGGCAGCTTCATTTCCACAGACCTTCCGAAAAAAAAAACACATCATTTCCACAGTGTCTGAGATGGTGAACTTTTACCATTAGTTCTGTCATTGTTACTTTATAGTCTGTACCAACTAGCTTGCTTGGAAAAAAGTACTACATAATTCAAAGGAACAACTGGAGATATGTGGAAATGTGAGCATATTCAATCTAAAAGTTGTTCTCCATGCTGTTATGCTTACCTTTCCCTGGATGCATTGATGTTTTATCATTTGAAATAGAAGATGATGATGACCTAAGAAGGAAATATTTTTGCTTTTAGTTTGCAATCTTCTTTTTGCAATAACAATTATCAGCAAAACCATTTGTGTATTTGCTCCACAGACCTTTGTTGAAGTCGAAGATTTTAGGAGAGCCCGACCTGATGCAATTGCTCATTCAGCTGCCAAAATCATTTCTCGTCTTAAAGCTGGTGGAGAAAATACCACACAAGCCCTTAAATCACTCTGTTGGAGGTTCAAGGGTATCCAAGTGGAGGTAAACAATCAAGATTGTGAATGAAGGTTCTGAAAGTATGTTATGGCTGGGATATATATGCAAGCAATTGTATTTTACTTACATAGTGGTCTTGGTATATGGAGATGCTGTAGCTTTTTAATCAATACCCTCTGTATTTGGAAATTATGCCATATACAGATGATAGAAGTAAACATACTTTCTTTGTTCCATAGTGATGACTTCAACAATTTGAACCCTTCGTGCATTTTCTTTGAATACTTTGTGAGGAAGATGTTGTTGCATTTTGAAACAGCTTTCCAAATGTGTTGCTCTGTGCATAGGGGAAATACGTTTGACTGTTCTTGACTGCAATTAAAGAAAAACACAAGAAAAAAAGAAAAGTAAAGATGTTTTTGATTGTGATTATTACCATGCTTTTAAGCGCCCCTGCTGACATGCTGACATCTAAGTCCAGAGACCAGCGGATAGGGTTATATAACACCTAAAAAATAATTGTCCGTTTAAAATTTTTTATTACTATGTTGTATGCGTGAAGATTATTGTATAAATTTTTTTGGCACAATTTATGGCAGGAGGTGGTTCTCATTGGTGTAGATACCCTTGGTTTTGACTTGAGAGTTTGCTCCGGAACACAAGTTCAGACACTGCGATTTGCATTTAACAAGCGGGTATATCTTTTATCCCGAAGCCGCTAGTTATGTTAAAGATTCCTAATGTTGGAAGCCTCTTTGACGTGCACAAATTGAAATAAAGTTTTCGAACTCAGCCCATAAGGACACAACTGTAATATATACCGTAGAAGCCTTAGACGGTGCATGAGGGCAAGGAAAGGCTAACCTATATGAGGACCTTACATGAAATTATAAAGCTTTGGATTTTTTTGAAAAATAAAAACTAGATCACAGGAACTTTCCATCTGAAGAGCAGGAGTAAGAAGAGGGAGAGGGTGAATAATATATCATCTGTAGTCCCTTACTGGTTTTTTCCTTGTGTTAGTCTTACATTTGTCAGGGTCCATTGTGTATTATCCATCTCACATCTGGGTCCATTAGAAGGGACAGTTCTAACCCCATAGAATGTGGAAATGATAATTCATCATGAACTTTGGCCCAAGGATAGCAGTGGCTGGAAGCCAGGGTATCCCTCCTAGCCTATAATTTTGTGTTTTCTGATAAGATTTCTCGATCCTGGAATCTAGGCTGCAAGTTCTTTCGTTCTCAACATTCTTGACTCTTTGTTCTACAATAATTGAGATCATTCTCTATCATCTCATGCATGACCCTTAAGATGGCTTTAGCCCTCTTTCAAGTTATTTGGGCTTTGTTGGATTATTCGTTTCCATGCAGCATCCGAAGCCTGTGAACAAGGCGTATTGATTGCCAATTGATTTTCTTCACGTGTAATTTCTTGATGCATTGGCTACATAAGTTTATACTCGAATATTTTCATCTTAAACCTTGAATTTTGAAGCTTTGACAATGTGAAGCTTTGAAGCACTGTCAAGGTCAACCTCATGATATCATATTCTTTCCCCCCTCCTCTGGGTTTTTCTTCCCTTTTCTGCTACACAACATAAAATTACAATATGCTTTTACTTGATATTTGATGTGTAGTGCTAATAATTATCTCCTTTCTTCCAACTATGTTGTATTTGTAGGCCTCTTCAGAGTATAGTGCTGAGAGGCAACTGAATGATCTACTGTTTCCAAGGATCCACCACAAGCTGCAAAAAACAGAAAGAAGCTCATCAAACTGATTCATGAGAATTTCAAGTGCCAAAAGTCTGGTTCACCTCTGTAAGTTTTGTTGTTGTCTCAGGCTCAAAATTGTATATAACATGTAGCATATTCTTTGCTCAATTCCAGCCTTTGTATTTGTTTATTGCATTACAATTATAAAAATCTATCTCCTTTTCATTTCTTCTCTTAGCCTGCCTCAACTGTACAGCTTAGTTTCTTGCTATTTATGCTATTTGGATTGATTCATTTTTCGTGGATATAGAACAAGTTACTGAAGATTTAATTAAATTAAAAGTGGCTAATCGTTGAGAGAAATGTAGTATTGTGTGAATGAAGTACCATACAGAAGCAGATTTTACTGAAGGAAAGAGTAAGTGACCCCCAAAAGGAATTCTTGTAGCAACTGCAACACCAATAGTTATTAGGTATTCTACTGGCTGTCTATAACTTGTGATTTTTTTATTTTTTCATACAAGAATGCGCAGTATTGTTCCATAAAAAAAAAAAAAAAAAAAGAACTTGTAGCATAAATTTGAAGCATGACAATGAAGTTGAATCAGTTGATTCGTTTACACAGCTTGATGGCACTACACAAGTTGGCAATATATATATTTATTGAAAATAAGCATCTGTTGTCTCCTGCGGCTGTGTCAATTCAAATAGGAGATTGTAACAACACTAACACATTAAGAGGTTGCATCTAGAACAACAGATGCTTATTCATACGTAGGTTTGTGTCACAAATTTTTTTTTTTTTTTTTGCAATATTTATCTCTCTCTGAACCCATTGTAGTAGAATCTTGATGCACTGTGAACAATATCAACACTTCGTTCTGAATCTATGGGTCTTGGAACAAACCCTTTTTTCGCAATTAACTTTGTTTAAGTAAAGCAAACCCACCTTGGAAAGTTACAGTAGACTTCCATTTGTCCTACCCCACGTAAAATAAACAGCTTTCTGACCAGTAGTTTGGACTGGTAGCAACCTTTCGACCTAATGGCCTCAGGCTCGGGCCCTCCATGCTCACTAGTCTCTACTGAATTTGGATAATATAGATATTTAAGGAAAAACTTCATAAATACCCTTTATAGGTAGGTAGGTCTATTTTTAATCACACCCCCTTGTACTTCTTGAAACTTCACGGCACCCTCATCGAGATAAAGCTTTGAAATTACTCACACCCTCTGCCGTTAACGACTGTTTCAAATAACCGAAAAAGTAAAAGATTTGACTAATGATTCTTTCACAATATCGAAGTTATTTGAATCTATTAATCAAATACTGTAATTTTCAAATAAAAATACTGATCTATTGTACTTTTTAAACTTATTTACTGATCTATTACAGTTTTTAAAAGCGGGATTAATAAGAACGCTTTTAATACTTACAAAAATACTTTTTTTTCCCTTTTTGTTGTATCACTTGTTGAAAATAAAATTGTTAATTCTGCTATAAAAAATGCAAGCAAAATTATTTAATTTCATTTTCAAAAACAGCAGTAGATCAGTAAATAAATTGAAAAGTGCAATAGATTGATATTTTTGATTGAAAATGATAGTATTTTGGTAACAGATTCAATGTCATCCCTTAGACTTGTACAAAAATTCAATTTTTATAACTTAACTATAGTTAATTTAGGGTTTTCAAATGTATTCACAAAAATATTGTATTTAGTACATATAAAAGATTTAAGGGTATTTTTGTAAAACCACCTTCTCCATTAAGGTCGTAAGGAAACAATCTCTGAAAAGGAATGTCAGTGAAGTTTCAAATAATATAAAGGATATAATCAAAAATAAATTTACCTACAAAGGATATGATTAATGACAGATTTATCGACAGAAGGTGTGAATGAAATTTTTTCATATTTAAATCAAGACGTCAAACCATTCAAATTTTAAGACTCGGAACAAGATTTTTCCTGGTTCTCATGTTTTATCTGTGATTGTTTTTGCTTGTTCAGTTTTGATGCTAAACTTTGGTATTTTGGGTTTGGATTATGCCAATGTTTTTGGGTTTTATTGATGCTTATTATCAACGAAATAATTACAAATATCTGAAGTCTATTTTATAGAGATAAGTGCAATGTGATTGTTTGAAGAGCAATACAAATAAGAAACGGCATCTAAGGATGTGAAGCAACAATGATATGATATGACAGGAGTGAGGTATTTGATATGGACATGATAATAACATATTTGGAATTGAGTATGGCATTGAAGAGTTTCACAAAACCCCCTATGACTATGATGTAAAATCTATGTTAAAATAATACGTCATGGTCACAGCCGCCATGGAAAATAGGGACAGAAGTTATTATGGAATTGGTATAGGATAATGTTGAGTTGATTTAAAAAATAAATTTAAAAATTAAATTTGATAATCTTAATTATTGAATAAATGGTGAATTCTAATAAATACTGAAACTTACAGTAAAATTAATGGTTATAATTATCAAGTCTAATTTTTAAATTTATTTTTTAAGTTCATATAGCATTACTGTATAACACATGGTAACTCAAATAGCAATAACAATGAGTTGTACACTAAAATTTCATGAATTTTGACAACTTTTGTGAGTTTCGACTAAATTCGTAGAACTTATTTTTTTAAATAAACTTAAAAAATAATTTTAAGTTCAACTCAGTTTTAAATAATAATAACAATGAGTTGTAAACTTAAATTTTATGAGTTTGAATTTTGAAAACTCTTTGAGAAGATTGATAATTGAGTTGAATTTTATGAACTTGAATTGAACTTATCGAGTTCGTTTTTATAAAATTTTAAATGAGTTGTACCTGAATCAAGTCTAAAACGAATCGGATCTGAGCCGAGTAACTCACTTTTTTTACGTATAAAGAAGTCGAACTTTGCGAGTTCGAGTCAAGTCTTTTAAATTCGTTTTCTAAATAAATTTACAAAATTATTCAAACTTAACTCGTTTAGAACATAAGCCAAACTTGAGTCAAATTCTATCATAGCCGACCTAAGTAACTTGACTCAATTATCAATTTTATTTTTTTAGGATCAACTCATAAAAAATTTATCTCTCATAAATATTCTAATTTCAGCGTAAATAACTTACGTTTAACCCGATGGACAAGAAAATTAGTCAACGATTAGGACACCTATGTCCATTAAACCATAAATAATATATTTGTGTTACTTAGAAACAGGAGAATCATAAGTTTGTTAGAGTAGCATTGTTGAACAGAGGACTTCAGTCAGAGTTGAATAATTCATCATTTGCCCATTTTCCAATTGGAACTTGATTGTCTTAAGGTTTTGAGATCTTGACCAACTAGTTCAAGATTTGATCAAATTACCCTCGAAATTACTAATAAATTGATTAACATCCTATGTGAAATTCAAATCATTCTTCCACCTAATAATTAAAATATAAAGCCACTGATAATTCCCATTCATGTAGAATCAATTATGAATCCACATATTAAACAATTTCTTAATAAGAACATCCAACAACAAAAACAAAAAAAGTTCAACACACACCCCCCCCCCCCCCCCCAAAAAAAAAAAACACACCTGTTGTACACAGAATCTCTCTCGGGCACTAACCCTTCAAAAGAGTTGCAGAAAGGCAAACCATTTATAATATTTAATGAAACAAAACCTTGTCTTAATTGAATTCATCAAAAGAGCTAGCAGTTAGCAAATAACACAAGCATTTGGATCTTCTTCCACACTTTTAGCATAATATGCCCCCATGGGAGGGTATTGCTGATAAGGATTTTGATGATATGGCACTATGGGGGGGTGTTGCTGGTAAGGGTATTGACTATAATGCTGAATATAGGCCTGGTAAGCCTTTTGAGATGCATCCTCTTTTTTCTTGTCATCTGGTTTTTTGGGTTCTTCTTTCTTGGGTTCTTCCTTCTTCTTCTCAGGCTCTTTGGCTGGTCCAACACTGAGTATCTCTGTGCTACAGATCTTCCTCAGTTTAGCCACTAGAGTCACTGGATCTACATCTCCTGTCACTGTTAATTTCTTGTCCTTGCTGTCCATGGCAACTGAATCAACCCCTGAGAAATTACAGACAGAAAACAATCAGAATTAGAGAAATTTTCAAAATTTATGATCTGGGTTTTCTTTGTAGGAGTTCATCATTAAGTTTGATCACTAGAAAATCTTAGGAAAAAGTACCTGATAGACCAGAGACTTTCTTCATAGCTTTTTGCTTGCCTTTATCATCGTGATAGGTCAATTTCAACACCACTTTCTGTTTGGAAGAAAGAACAACAGAACCAGAACATCTGAATCAGCCCATAATTTGTCGTACAGAACCAAAAAAAAAAGAATTAAACTACAATTGTCTTCATCCCTCACTTAATTCTGATGGCATATAGTAATTTCACATGAAAACCCATCGACAAAATCGAGAGGAACCCAGCAAAATAACACTACTAGAGAGCTCAATTACACAAAGATTTTGAATTCCAATCACTTAAAGTCATCCGTACGAAGTTCTTAAAGAAAACCCAACTACTTTTACATAAACATGGAGAAGAGTGAGAATTTAAACCTTCATATTCTCTTGAAGTTTGGAGATCGGCGTAATATTCCCAGAGAAATCCGAAGATGTAGAGGCTTCAAGAAGGAGACAATTCAACGGAGAGAGAACTTCCTCTCAAAATAAGAAGACTAACGTAATTAGCTTTGCCAAAGTGGGGGGTATCTTGGAAGCATTTTATAACGAGAGAGTTGGGTCGCGAGACGGAGAGGGGGGAAGGGTGCACCGAGTCAAACGAGAGTCCAGATTACTATTCTACGGTCATTATTCTTTAGTGGGGGGTTGCGAAAAAAGACGAAGGAAGAAACAAATTGCGTGTATCTTATTCACGTTTTAAAACGACGTAGTTTGAGGTTTTGGAATATGAAAAACGGCATCGTCTTAACAAGTTTGCGATGCGACACTGTTTGGGCGAAGACTAGACCTAAAAGACTTCTCAAAGTTGACGGCCCATTGAACTTTCGAGGAAGAAACGTGAAGGAGGACCAGCCAGTGGTCTTTGTGCATCGCTTCTATGCGCTGCTGAACTGAACCACGTGCTATAAGATTCTTGGTTTTAAATAGTTGTTTGGTTTCTGTTAATTTACTCTTTGAACTATATATTCTGATTCAATATAATTTTTTTTGTCTAAATTCATCGTCATGAATATCTGCATTTTTGCATCACGTGTCTCTTAAACTATAACCCAATCTGATTCACTTGATGTTTACGTAAGAGTTTAGGCTAAAATTGACGGCAAAATTGGGATTTATATTTAAGTTAGATTGTATAGTTTAAAAGTTAAATTGACATAAAACATAATTTAGAGATTTAATTGACATAAATAATATAGTTCAAAGGTTAAATAATTAATTAATTCAATTTATATCCACTATAGCATTTTCTAATACCTAGAGTATGCCCGTTGTCTCCTCTTCGTCTTCATTATGTCAATTTTATTAAATTGATCCCAAAATATTTAATTTGTACTTAAATGGTCTTTATGCAAACGCCCCGTTGAGTTTTAACAAAATTGATAAGGTGATACCGTCTGAAAAAATGACACGTGGTTATTTTCGTCAAAAAATTTAACAGACTATCTGGGTAAGGATCATTTAAACACAAATTAAGTTGTATTAAATTAATATAATGGGTATTAAATTAATAAAATGTGTATATTGTAAGAACCAAAAATATTTTTTTGTAAGTTTTAACCCTTTCGTTTTTTATTAACATTGAGAGTATCTTGTAGTCAAATTTTTGAGGATTAGTGATCCAAGAATAGTGAAAACACAAGAAAATCTCTGTTTTTCTTCTTCTTCTTCTGTTTTTTTTTTTATGTATTGAACAACCACAGTTTGAATTTACAAAATAATAATAATTCTCTAATAGGCTGTATTCATTTATAAGAAGTCTACATATAAGAAACGTGAGTCTCACTCACTTTCCTAAGGAAAAACAAGTGGGACTCACTAGTTCATTAGTTTATTTTTAGATGATTACATCACCTATCACCTATTAATAATGAGGTGGTGTAACGTCACCATGAATATTTTTACTCATCCATTGCCCGGTCCAGCACATTTTTGTTTGTTTATACTGGCCCCAATAATAATTTTGATGGACGAATCTTCCTATGACGGTAAAATTACTCAATTGTCACATGAAAATTATTGATTTGAGTCGCTAAAATAATTTTTTTATTTATAAGGATAAGACTGTGTACAGGGATGGAGAGAGAGCGGAGGTAGTAAGGACAATTGCCTCTACCGAAATTTTGAAAGCTTTTAGGGTTAATTTTAAATTATAATTACAATTAAATTTTCTAATAACTTGCTCCTAACCATTTTTATTTATTTATTTATTGAACTAAACATTTAGATATAAGGTTTGCTCATATAGCCTTAATCTCATAATTCTTTTTTTAGTCTCTAGTTTTTTTTTATTCTTTCTACAGTTATTCATTTAAGTTGTCTAGTCAATCCTTCTCTAAATTCGATTACCAAGACATAAATTTATATTGTTGACTAATTATTCAAGTTCAAATATATTATATCATATTCTAAAATTTTAGATTTGGACATTAACAAAATTTGATTTGATGAATTTGAATTATAAAAACAAGACCAATTGAATAATTATATTAGATTCAAAATAAAGTTTTCAAGACATTATCGTTCGGATGAATCGAAATCTTATCATTGGCAAGTCCACACGCAAAGTGATATGTTAAAATAGCATTATCTATAAAAATTATCTTTATTTTAGTACTTTATACAAAATGATTTTATGTTAATTTTTCTTGGTCAAGTCCTATCTTTATCACATGTATGTTATACTAGCAATTGTTCGTGACTGAAAACATTATATAAAAAAAAATCATTAAAAATACTGACAATTCATTTGAAAATAATTAAACACCCATAATACCTGAAGAAGGAATAACAGTTAAACCATGTTATGTTATTGTAGATTCATGTAAAAAATCACTCAAACTTAACATAAATTATATAGTTAATCATGTAAAAATTACTTGACTGATACAAATACAATTCATTTATTACGCTAATAATCAAAGCATAACTCGTGTAACACACTTAAAAAAATAAAATATATCTAAGTTGACACGACCCACTATCAACCCTTTCAACATGTTTAGAGTATACAGGTCACACTTAACACGCGAACATGATCTGTTTAGTACCTTCAACCTATCAAATTCAAATAAATCCACATTTTTAATACAAATCACAAACAATTTACATCTATGAAAATTACTGGGAGGGAAATAGTCTGACCCAAGTATCTTGATTAGCACAGCAAACCTAAATAGTCAAACAAAAAGATAATCCCAAATAACATAACACCACAATCCCAATTAGTTCACAATCTCAACCAATATTAACATATAAAATTCTAACTAAACTAATCTTGTGACAATAATTAAATTTAATATCTCCCCAACAGTCATACAAAGGAGTCTCTGTGATGGTGTTTATGAGCCTATCCTCCGTATTTTTGCAATTAAAAACAAAAGTTAAGTTAACCAATCGATCTGATTCAATAAGTGGATTTTTTTAAAAAAAGACTTATATTTACTAAAATTAACAATTCTAATTGAACATAAAAACAACAAATAAGTAATTTCTCATTTTTTTGACGAATCAAATAATGAAATTTTACATCAAACATGAATTCAAATGTTAGAATTAATGCAACACAATAAAACAATTCCAATCTATGAGCACAACGAAGCCCAATTAACAACATATGAAAGAAGTCCATAAACAGATCGCTAGCAAAGAAGCATGACCACTTTATAGTACATGTAAAGAGGCATCGTGAATTCTAGAATTGTATCGTAAACAAATAAAAAAATTAAAACGACCATAACCCTGTGAATGTGATTGGCAGCAACTAAGTTGTCACGGTAGTGAAGGATGCTCCACATTGCTTTCAAGGAGCTACAGATCTACAGTTCCAAAATATAGTTATTGAATATTTCACTGAGCACTTTGAAAGAAGCATCTTTGGTATCTTTTGAAAATTTCTTTGGGTACCAAGAATTCTGAGATTGGTTTTTTTTTTTTTAAATCCAAAATAATCAAAACAGGATTTAACAATTCAAGGATAGATTTTCAAATCAAACATTTAGATATCAATAAATGAATTCAAACATCGACCATTTAAATTTGCAACTGATCAAAAAAATCATACTCAACTGAAATAAATCCATAAACACCTATATATAGAGGGAGATACACATATAGAAAATATAAGGAAATCCCTAACCAAAAAATATGACTATCAATTTTTTTTTTTAACCATATATGACTAACAATTCAAATCAAAAGAATTTTGTAGTGATCTCTTGAACTATCACCAAACTATTGTAAAAGTTTGTTTAAGAAGCTAAAAAGTAGAATCCTTCAGAAAAAGGCACCAACAACAACAAAGTAGAATCCTATATAGAATTGCTCATGAAAACCAATCACTAAAACATTTAAAAGAAAAAAGTATAAAAAGGCACCAGCAACAATGTTTAAAACATCACGACAATACCATCTGCCAAGGCATTATAATTGGGTTTTTAGTAGAATAGGTAAAAACACTACCATTAATGTGGAATTAAAAGTTCCAATGTTCCATAATTCCATTAGGAGATAGACTTAAGAATTTTGAGGCCAACAAAAAAAGGGGTCTTTCTAATATATCTTTCTCTATTTGTTTCACCAATAACCAAGAAAAAAGAAGGTAGTTTTCACATTTTTTTCTGGCAATTTACCCCTATAGGCAAAAAAAGTATTCTAGTTGAGGAGTTTATTTTTACATTCCATTGACAAAATTACTGAGCATGATGTCTACACAAAGAAAAAACAAATCCGAAGCTTCCATGAGATTGTACAAATAAAAAAATTACCACAGGCAATACTAAGGTCAAGCCAACTCACAACAGTCAACATGCGGCAATGAAACCAAATTGCAGTGATTTGCAATTCCATGATGCATCAAACTGGAAAAGCTCATTATAGGGACTTGGAATTTCCAACTGCAATCAAACAAAACCAAACACAACGCAAATCACAAAAAAAAAAATTGGAAAATGAGTAAATGAAAAGTAAGTAATTGATATATGTGTGCACCTGAGAAGTCCAACCTCCTGAGCCAATCTGTTTGATTCCCCTGAACACACCCAGCAGTAACAAATAAGGAAGAGAAATAGGCTTTTTCAATGTCAAATTCACAGCTTCTTCGATGTCCTTTGGTTTCTCACCCCAACATTTCAGCCAAAAGTTATTTCTCAAGACTTCTTTGCATAGACCCAGAATCGATAGGTTTGTGAGGATTTCAAGTTGTTGGGTCGAAGAGGATCGCCAATTGGGGAAGCCAGGGCCAATAGGAAAAAGTGGAAGGTGGATTCTATGGTTAATAATTCAGCGTCGTCGAGGCCTTGTTCGGTGAATATGTCGAAATTCTTGAGATGGTCAATGAGGTTCTTGGTGTAGGCTGTGAATGAGAAGCAGACTTGTTGTCTTGGGTTTGGATTGGTAATGGCGATGGCGATTGGACGGGTTGGTTCTATGATTGTTGTTGCCATTCGGGATTGATCAAGAACACCTGAAGAGTCATGTAGCCTGTAGGTGTATGTGGAAAGAAAGAGAGACAGAGAAAGAGAGGGAGAGAGGAGATAGGATGAAATCGAGATATGTGAGGGTAGTCGTTTACATAGCATGGAGGGAGAGAGAGAGGAAGATTTGGGGGTAAGATATTAGGGCATGAATTGGGCATTGCGTCAGATATGAATATACATATAGAGAGGCCTATGGGAGAGAGAAAAGAGTGAGTCGGGGAAATGTTACTGGACGAGAAAATAAAATTTAATATTTTTCGTTGGGTCAAAATATCTGTGATGATTTGAATTATTTTTTAAATTGAAATTATATTGTTTGTTAAATATGTTTATATTTTATCTGATATGAATTTAAAAAAAAAATAATATAAAGAATTATTTTATTAAAAATGTTAAATTATGAATTTTTTTTTTTTTTTATAGAGGAAGAAATTTTGAGGAAATAATCATACTTGCAAGATTGAAATTTTTTTTAAAATTATTGTTTAGCTGTTTGTTTTAACTTGACGATTATTCTCACTGAAAAAACTGCTCGTGACTTTTGTCTTTGATCGTATACATCTAATCCTCTTCAAATTCCATAACCCCTGCATTTTTTGCTCCTTCGCCGTTTCGCTCTCTTTCTAACCACCTCGACTTTACAACAAAACAGTCATACACACACAGAGCACATGTTGTCTCTGAATCCGAACCCACCCGAAGGCTTCTACTTAGACCCCATTAGCATGGCCTTGCCGAACCTCGGCTCTTTCTCTACGCCAACGTCCACCGCCGGTAATGTTTCGTCGTCGGACGACCCCATGAAGAAGGTTAGGAAACCGTACACCATTACCAAGTCCAGAGAGAGCTGGACCGATCCCGAGCACGACAAGTTCCTTGAAGCCCTACAACTGTGAGTTTCACCTGCAAATTGAAATATGAATTGGTTGTTTTGAGGTTTTAAATTAGGGTTTTGTTGCGGAAATGTTAGGGTTTTGAGTTGGAATCGATGATGGATGAGGTTTTACGTTAATTGCGTGCATTTGGATGTAATTAGGGCTGCGCACGAAGAATAGCGTATATGTGTGTATGCAGATATATAGGTTCATAGATAGCGTGCGAAATTGAGTGTTTTGGTGAGATAGAGAACGGGGTACTTACATCTAACGACCAAGGAGTCATCCTGGTCATAGTTGGAGATAGATTGACCTTCTGATTTAAGAATCTGGAGAAAGAATCGGTGTAGATATTGGAACAAGGAGAAAGTAATGAATGGACTCTGTGAAGGAAAGAGGTGAAGCCACTCCTGAAAAACTGATTGGAAAGCGAAGACTCTCTCTCTCTCTCTCTGATAGGACAATTGACAGATGGACTGTATTTTCCTTTCATTTGTTGCTTTGAGAATTTAAATTATGGTTTTGGTGTGAAAATGTTAATTGCGTGCATTTGGATGTAATTAGAGTTTTGTGATATGATATTGATAGATGGACTGTATTTTTCTTTCATTTTGTTTGTTTTGGGGAATCTGTTTGGACATTTTCTGAGTTGTTTTCCAACAGCATGACGTTTATTCCAGAAATTCGAAGTTTATTCATGTGAATATTTTGTCTGTGATATTGGATTTGGGTGTGATACCACTTTTGGTATATGCTGCTGAGCCCTATGGTTAGGTTATTAGTGTTATGTAGGTATGTGATAATCTTTATGGTATTTAGTGTGACAAGTTATCTGTAAGGGTTATCCCTTTAAAATGTTCTTGTTCATAACGTTTGCCTTAGTTACCTGACTATGGTAACGTTCATTTGGTGAATACAGCTTTGACCGTGATTGGAAAAAGATCGAAGCATTTGTTGGGTCAAAGACCGTCATCCAGGTAATATCATGTGCAAGATTTTCAATATTGATTGATGATTTATATTGCAAGATTTTCAGTATTGATTGATGATTTATATAGGTTATGATTTTGTATGGTTTCTTCAATTAGGTTGCTTATAACATCTTGTCAACTCGGCATTGCAGGCCACATTCGAAAGTGACATATAGTGGTCTGTTATAGTGGCCATTGCATCATAGGACAAAATGTCATTTACCACTTGGTTCTAATGAATTTGGGTTATTTTCAACAGGAAAAAGGGGGGGGGGGGTAAGGACGGGTGGGAGGTTTACCCTGAAATTCAAACAAACAAAAGTTGTGGTCGTTAGGCTGAACATTCAATTGTTGCTGCATATATTGTTAAATGATTGCAATGCAAGTTATAGTTCATTGGGTTGTTTGCATTGCTAAGGAAAAATTATCGAGAGTAGCCTCAACCTGCCCGGCCATCAGAGAGGTAAATTAGTAATCTAAACAGTTGTCTTAATCTGGCAATTTTAACTTTGGTGGTTGAGGACCTGAGGTTATACTGAAACTTCTTTCTGACTTGCTGCATCTTTTTCCCATATTGTATCTCATTACACAGTTGAGTTGAGTATGGCTCATTTTGACATAATCTGTACTACAAATGATTTGTTTCTAGTTTACCATTTCAACTATGCCATGGGTGTAGTGAACTTAATCTATGAATGATTGGTAAAAGGTTACTGCGTGGATTATTGTTCACATCAGTATTGCCTTATTTATGGTTTAGGTTGTTTTTGTGTATGTTTTTTTATTTTATTTCTTTTGGGTTTTTTTTTTTTGGGGGGGGGGGGGTGTGTGTGCCAGTGCCTGCCTTAATTTTTTCCTTCACTTCATGTTTTTTGCAAGGTACGAATGATAAATTATATCTCCTTTAATGCTTCATATAGTTTGAGTTTTCTATTAGTTGAATTTTATATGATGCCATAGACCCTAAAGAGAGTAATAGAAATTCTATTAATGGAATTGTCGATGGGGCCATAGACCCAAAGGAGGGTAATGAAAAGTTGAGTAAAACGTTTGCAGATACGTAGCCATGCACAGAAGTACTTCTTGAAGGTGCAAAAGAGTGGAGCCAATGAACATCTTCCTCCTCCACGGCCAAAAAGGAAAGCTGCTCATCCCTATCCACATAAAGCTTCAAAAAATGGTCAGTATAGGTCAATTGTTACATGTTGGTTATCATACTAGAAACTTAATTTAACCTTTGTCATATTTTGGCCTGTTTGGCAGCTCCAGTGCTCTCACAAGTGACAGCACCCTTTCAAACTTTGCCCATTCTAACTGAACCTGGATTTGTTCAAAGACTTGATTCTTCTTCATTACTTCGGGATCCAGTTTCTAATGCAGCCGTCTCTTCTTGGACTGATAACTCTGTACAAACAGTCGGTTTATCACCTGTGACAGAAGGTTCATTTATTCTTATGTTTTAAACTTGTTACATGCCTTGATCTCATCTTTTAAGCGCTGTTGCTTTTCCAGATAGTAATATATAGATTTATGTCCTGTAACAGGTGATATGAGACCTGCAGGGCAACCACTGGCAAAAAACTATTGTTGCAGCAGCTCTGAGAGCACTCCAAGGACACGGCCGACAGGTGAAATGTCTGATCAAGGGAATAATGGACCTTCCTTGAGAGGTAACTCCAACTTCATTGCATATGGCCAAGTGGCCAACTTATTTATCATTTGCACCAAGTGTCTAACAAGCTCCATTTAGTAAGAATCAAACACCAAGGATGAAGGAAAATTTATGCATTGTGCCACCTCTCATTTTTCTCCATAAAATAAAGCAAATCATTGGGCTGGTGTCCCATTATTTTGTTGGAGATCACCAATTTAGACCAAATTTCCCACATTTGGTAACGTCTTCCAGCAGAAATTGTAAATTTTTGATGCCGTGACTTGTGATGAACGTCTATCGATATGCAATCACAATTGGAATAGAAATAACTTATGAATTTAGGTGGAAGTAATTCAGAACTATGGCTCCTCTCAGAGATCTTGCTTACTAAATGATACCTACACTGGTCTTTGGTACTAAATGGTTCTATCCAGGGAAGTTGCCAAAATGTGGATGTAATAATCTGTGTTACATTCCATTGAATGTTGGCAAATTAGATTTGGTAAGTTAGCTAAGCATTCCTCTCCAATATTAGAACATTTCAACTATGAGGTAAGAAATTTTCCCTTCCATTTTGTGGTTTATCTTGAAATTCGCATAGAGGAACAGTGGCAACGAATCTGCGACTGTTTGTTTGTGCATTTTCTGAATGCTGACAAGAAATTTGTGTTGTCCTGTATTTGATCTTTCCTGAATGTTGAGGTGTGGAATCAGTAACCTTTGAGGGTCTGGCAATGTTTGTGTATAATTTGGACAGATTTTTGCCAAACGCATTTGTTCCACTTTTCTCTTTCATAAAGGTGACCCTGCCATCAATAATATTTTTTAACACGAGGCCTTTTCTTATAGGAAAAATATAGCTCATAAATGCCTTGGCCTCTGAGTTTTGAACTCATGCCTTAGGGTGAGGTAGTAAAGACCGACGACCAAGAGATATTAAAGAGCTAATACTTTCGGCATTTAGGGTCAAGGAGTGTGTTAAGAGGTGGAATCTACCTTTGAGGATTTGGTTGTGTATAAACTGAAACACACTAGTTCCATTTTTGGCTTTCATGGGACTCTTCTATTGTTTATTATTTTTTTTTTCTCAATGCCTTTGAGTGTGCTAGTAGTACAGTCACTGCCTTATATGGACTGATTAGTCATGAATGAAATAGGGTTTCCTTGGGTTGAGGTGAAACATTAGTAGTTGAAACTTCTTTATAAGCGTAAACAATTTTAAAATAGTCTAGACACAGACAATTCATAATGGATTTTACGTGCTCTACTATTTATTTCTTCAAAATTTCCCCCCAAAATTGCATATTATTATCAAAGATCATCTCTTTCTCATTCAGTTATAATGGAGAAAGTTGCTGTCTGCAGTTTTAGCTTGATAGTTGCACTTAGGTAATAGCTTGAGTGTTGAATGCCCGTAAAAATGCAAAACGCTTTTCTTATTTTGTTATAACCCATTAACCTTGTATGGACCATAGATATTAACAAAAAAATTTCCATCTCTACATTAACGTTCTTTTATTTTAATTTTAGACCTGTTTTGAGAGGTTTTGTCCTCCTTTTGTTGGTCCAGCTTCTTCTGATTGTAAAGTTTTGCAGTTCTGATATATATGCTTGCTGCAGTTATATACCTTGTTATGGTGTTTGTTTCTTGTGGTGCTGCCGGTATTAATGCCCTTCTTGTTCATGCAGTCTTGCCTGACTTTGCTCAAGTATACCGCTTCATTGGCTGTGTCTTTGACCCAAATGTTTCTGGTCACTTGCAAAAGCTAAAGAAATTGGATCCAATAGATGTTGAAACAGTATGTTTCCAACTTGTATAATTTTGATCATCCTTTGATTTCAATGTATTGCCATTCGTTTCTTGTGCTATGTTTGTTGTTTTGGGGGAGAACTTATAATTAATCTGTCGTTTGTGGGGGATAATAGTGCATCTTTTTAAACAGACTTCTGCTGTTGTTTGTTTAGTGCAAACCACCATTTCAACAAATATTCTTGAAATAAATTGGGACAAAATACTATCAATCAAGTGATCAACTAATGCTGCGTGTTTGGTCCCTTGCACTTGACTTTTGTAAGAGGGTTTTTTATATGAGATTCATCCACTTGATTTCTGTCATCGAGTCCATTGCAAGTGGTGTGTAGAGGATTAATTGTTAATCCTAGAGTTCTGTTCTTATACATATAGTTGATATTCAAAGAAGCGCAATGAAACTACATATGGGACGGTTGCCAGCAGGAATGACCTTGCAAAATTACATACAAGGTTAACAATGATTGGATCAATAAACTGGCCTTGTGGTAGTATGCATTCAGATCTTAATAAACTATTGGACATAGGTACTGGGATGAGTAATGATGATAAATGCAGTAGATAGCTCTAGCATCTGCCATAAATGATCTCTCTCTCTCTCTCTCTCTCTCTCACACACACACACACACACATACACATACAGAGTAGTAAGAATAATTTTAGTCCCTCATCTTCTAAGTTGGAAGATATGCCATCAATTTATGCTTCAGGACCTATGTTGTAGTTATTTCATTCTTTCTGGCTCTTATTCAGGTGTTATTGTTAATAAGAAACCTCTCCATCAATTTGACCAGCCCAGATTTTGAGGATCATGTAAGTGCTTATTGTATTTTGTTTGTGCATAAAAATTCTTGAATTCTATGACACCAATGTAATTGATGTGGTGATCAAACAGCAAGAACCATTTGACATAATTTGAATAAGAAAAGCTGCTCTTGGCATTTCAAGTCCATCAGCAGTTTAGGTCAATATCTCGTATAGTTCTTCATGAGATAAAATTCAAATAGTTGGATTGATCAAGCATCCAAATGACATTGCTTGCTATAGTAGCAAATATATATGGGTTGGAGTACAAATTGATGGATTCGTCTTATCAGTTCCATAATGTCTGATACCTGATATGTTGGTGCAGAGGAGGTTGCTTTCATCCTTTGACATCGACTTGGAGAAGGAAGCTTGCGATGGTGAAAATAAAGCCATCCAGGACAATCAATCTGAGAATGCTGCTCAATTGGGGTAGGCATAGCTTCTTCGGAAGTTCATTTTCTTATTTGTTGTAAATTCGTAACCAACACTGATTCCCGTTAGATAAAATTTCAGGACATAGAAAAATAGTCTCTGAGCTTCATTGGCTACCAAATGGTAACAGAATCCTTCGGTTTGCTGGTTTGTAAGTACTATTTTCTTTTTTTGTGAGATCTTTGATTGTGCAGTTCGTCCATCATGTAGATATTGGCTCTAGAAAACAGTGTATGTCGGAGAAATTGTAGTGCGGGAATGTAAAATGTAAAGCTTGGTTTCTGTATATTCAAGTTTTGACTCTGTTCTTTTGGTCCAGCTTATCTGATTCAGGTTGTAATTATATGTATGCGAGTGTTCTTCTTCATATAAGGAGAGGTTTTTTTCGCTTGAGGACCCACTTTTGGTCTTTTATTTTGGTGGGGGTGTTTGGTGGAAAGCATGAGCTGGTATACTTTCTTGAGGTTTAAAGATAATCTACTGGGATAATGCAACAACGTGATAAAATAAAATCACTGTGGGGGTAGTCTTGCCCTAACTTGTGGTTAGGGCTGATAATGTAGTCGATTTTGTTGATTTTGTTTTTTTAAGCGAGTTTAAAAAGTTGTTCAAACTTGGTTTGTTTAGAAATGAAGTTGAGCCTGGAACGAGCCGAATTCGAATAGCTTAATCGTTTTATATATAAATGAGTTTAAAAAATTGTTTAAAAAACGAATCTAGTTTAAAAGTGAACTAAACCAGTGTAACTCAATTTGATTATAAACCATACTTGTGGTTCTTTTATTAACGCTTTAGACAAGCCCGGTGTGTTGCCGGACAATGTGGCCAGTCACTCTAGTGGAGTCCAATCTTAAAGTAATAAGCGTTGACATTTGGGTGGACACTCAGATTGAGTTTTTTTTTTTTTTTCGTTTTTCTTGTGGATGCCTGGCCCCTCTCTAGGTTGCATGGCAATGCCCCTGTTTGATTCACTCCACCCCCAAACCAACCCAATGGATTGCAGTTATTTCAAAGGATTCCGTTAGCCATATTATAGATCATCAGTTCTATATCTATTGATTACTACACGTTGAAGCCCAAAACATGATAAAGATGTTACCTTCTTCAAGAGATGAATTTATCAGCTGTATAAGGTGGTCAAACTTCGAGATTGCACCCTAAGGTGGTCGTCCTCAAGGAGTTGGTGCATGAAATATTGGGAAACCGTGCTTGCTTGTGGTAGGATGCTCTTTCCATGCCTCTTTCCTTTCCTTCATATCAGCTTTCTACATTGTGCCTAATGGATCATATAGCAGCATTTTCTACATTTGAAGATACTCGACTGCATCTATGTCAATTGACTGCAACCATCAAGAAGTAAAAATGTTTACTACTTGAGCTTTGAGATTTATATTCCTGTATTCTATGTTCAGTTTTGGTCTTCGTGGAAATCTTCACATCCTAACTAGATGCTAACTAAAAAATCAGAGTATAGTAAACCATCAATGGTAAACAATCTATTCCAAACAATGCCACTAGAAAAGAAGATGCAAAGTCATCTAACCCTGGCCAAGCCCCCCTCCCCCCAATTGGGTTATCTACGATACCAAAATCTGGTGTCATAGCTCTCCTGAGCTTGGCCATCTACAGCTGAAGAATTTGTCTGCGTAGCTTCGACTCCCATGTCCATGAACCTGTTGAAAGCAGTTCGATCATTGTATCCTCGGATGACACCTAGATCTGAAAACGACAGAAAAGATCACAATGACTACGAAATACTGTCCTGTATAGTGATTCAAGATATTCTAATGAGAACTGGTAACACAAAGTCTATTAGAGAGAGACAGTAATGATAAAACAGGAAGGTATGCCATTCCGGCTGACATTCTGTCAGGCAATATCGCACTCATAGATGCATTTAGACAGCATTGAACATTTGCACTTTGATCTTCATAATCTATTTCTTTCCAGGCAAAGAAGTCAGAAGTAACAATAATGAGATTTACAATAGAGGAAACTGTTCAATATTGTAGGGCTATGTGCTTCAAAACCCATTGATGACTTGAGTGAGAAAAATGACATAATGCAAAGATAGAGCTATACGCACAAGATAGAGCCAATTGGGCTAAGGTCGGGAAAAATGATATCCTATCATTTGACATAAATTTTGGCATCGAAGGTGAATGATGAAATAGGATTCACATAGTCAACCTCAAGGGCATAGAGAACACAACCGAAATGGTTTCATCTTCAAGGACACTCTAATGATTTAATATAAGCTCGTTTCAAATATGTCCTTGAGATGCTATTAAGGCAGGCAGACAAAACTTAACAGCAAGATGATGCTCACTGCAAACTGAAATGTCATTTTTTAACTTTTAAAGCTGGTGAATCTGGTGATTGCCTTTGATGTAAAAACAATAATATACGAAGAAAAGAGGTAGAACAGTTGTTGTTGCCATTGGCCTCCTCCTTGTGTTGGGAGTGTTCAGTGACAAGGAAGAGGATCTCAGTAATTCATCCACGTTACCCACAAGCCACAAAGGGCAAGAGAGGATAGGGAGAGAGGGAAAGAAATACTCTCTCTCTCTCTCTCCCTCTCTCTCTCACCCACCCACCCACCCACCCACACACAAACAGAAAGGAAGGGAGCAATTATGCTTGCTTTACCTGGATTTGGAATGCCAAAACTTTGATAAGTTGGTTGTTGAGAATAAAACGGGAGATAACACTGGCCCGGGTTCAATTCTTGTGTAGAACAAGCCATCTGCTCAATGGGATCAAGGAGTGCCGTGCGTCTCAGCAATTGAGGAGAAAAAATTGTTGGCTGCTGCCATAGTGAATACTGTACAAGGTGGTCAAGCCCTTTTGTTTTGGCAGGAGGTGTCTTCTGCAAAGGTCGAGGATTCACATCTGTATAAGAATAACGACGCACCAGTGGAGTACATTGGATGACCTTGGGATCCATCAACTTGGTTTGAAAACTCATTTGAGCTTGATGAGACTGCAACGAATGGGAAGATGACTTTTTGAAATTCATCTGTGCTTGATGGGACATTGGATAAGATTGTTGTGGATGCAGATTGTGACAAGCAGTTCCCATTCCCACTACGTCAGGAGGCGGTGGACCTTCCAAACCTGGTTCCATAGATCTTTCATCATGCTGAGCACTGTATAGAATTGTCGATTTCTCAGCAATATCAATTTTCATGTTTGAGGTCAACATATCATTTTCCACTGAATTCCCAGAGCACATGAACTCTGAGCATTCAGGAACCAGCAGATAATCAATTGCAATTAAACTATCCTCATCAGGCCAACAGATTTCAGCTTCCAATTCAGCTTTTTCATCACAGCCAGATACTGGATTGAGCTTTGAGTCCTGCTGCATCTGAAGAACTGACTCTATTTCTGGCATAGACTTGGAATGTCCAAAATTTTTCAGATATTGAATTGAAATCAAACTCTCATCATCAGGCAAATGGATTTCACCTTCTGAATCAGCTATGTCATCACATTCAGCTACATATCTTAGTTTTGACTCCTTTTCCATTCGCAGAATCGCAGATATTCTGGCCCAGGCATCATCAAAAGCAGATTGATCCTCCTCAATCTTATCCGACCCAGTCTTCTCAGAAGTACTTGTGGCTCCAATGGATTTATGGTTTGTCCCAAATGCTCCACTTCCATTAAGAAGCCAAATTAAGAAATGTTCATCCTCCACTGTCAATGAAGATTCACACAACTCTAAAGTATCATTTCTTGTGATCCTATCAACAGAACCTCCTTGGACTGAGAAGGATGCTTCATTTGATCGAACCTCCTTCCTGAAATACGTTCCAAAACTTGGTTCGACAGTTTGGTTCTTCCGAGAGTTTCCAAAGTTCTCCTCGCGGGAAATATCAAGCACGCTGCTACCACTTTCAATAAGAACAGACTCCATTTCGGGCAAAGAATGTGAGTGTTCAGAAAGTGTCAGATAATCAATTGAAATCAAACTGTCCTCGTCAGGCAAACAGATTTCAACTTCTGAATCAGCTGTGTTGTCACATTTAGCTACAGAGCTGAGCATCAACTCCTCCATTTGCAGAATTGTTGATATTTTGGCCAAAGCATTGTCAAAAGCAGATTGATTGTCCTCAATCATATCTGACTCAGTCTTCTCTGAAATGCCCGTAGCCTTAACGCCTTCATGGTTCATCCCAATTGCTCCACTTTCCTTAAGAATCGAAGTAAAGAAATCCTGATCATCAACTGTAAATGGAAAATCACAAGGCTCTAAAGCATCATTTTCTGTAATCCCATCACCAGAACCTCGTTGGACTGAGAAGGATGCTTCATTTGATTGAACCTCTTTCATGAAATCCATTTCAAAAGTTGGTTGGACAGTTTGATTCTTATCAGAGTTTCCATTGTTCCCCTCGAGGGTTTTCACACTGCTACAACTTTCTACTTTGAAAGCAGAATGTCCATCAGGAGATTGCAATTTAAATTCAGTAAATGTGGCCAAATATGGTGATGCCCTTTTCTGCAAGAAATAAAAATTCTGAGATCAATGCACCATCATCTTGATAGAAATTGAACGTCAGCTTCACCATTTGATGATATTACTGTATAGAGCTTAACTATAATACCTGAGCAAACGGAACAAAAAACAAATATCACCAACCAGACATAACAAACTTGATGATTGGGACAAATCATGGATCATTTGCGTAGAATCAAAGGAAACATCAAAACTAAATAGCTAGAGTTATTGAAAATTTATTACCACTACACGAATAATGCAACAAACATGGATTAATTCATGCTTCTGTATGACAACAATAGAAAAGTGATCGATTGCTCTATGACTAATGGTGACTGTATAACTAACCTGATATTTCCTCTTTGAACCAAACTGGAAAAGAAAGCATGAAGCAATTTATTTATTTAAGGTACCATGAGTACCTCAACGAGAGTGGATGCGCCACAACTGTCAACTTTGGCAGCGCTAGCAACATTTTCAAGGATGAATGTGGAATGCCCCTGACTAGCCATTCCCATATTCAGCCCCTCAATCACTTTGTCTGCATCACAATCTATTAGTTCCTGCTCCTGAGCAGAAGCCCTCCATGGTGGTCTGCCATCGCCATAAACTTTTTCAGCTGAGGATGGCTCCATGCCCTTATTACTATCACTAACAATGGGGAAATTGAGATTCTTAGTTTCATGCTGCTTATCAATGGAGACAAGCATTTCTGATTGTTTTTTCTCTTGATAATCACAGCACGTGTTTGCCACAGAAGTAGTTTTCCCTAGTGTATTGTCAGCTTCAAAGTTGACATTACAAACCTGCACAACCAACATATCAATATGTCACCAACAAGCAAGCAACAACACTTGGAATCAGAGTGAAATAATACAGCCTTGACCATAGTTTTAAAGTAGATTTTCCCAACTACATCCTTATCTCTCCCTCAGTAGTGTGCTTTTGCTCTCTTTAGAACTGTGTGAAAACGTATGAATTATTTTGTGTGAATTCTTTAGTCAATTATTTCGCTTCTGGACTAAAAAGAACCCATTGAGCACTTTGTGAAATACTCCAGAATATCACATCTCTATGCATCTAATGAATTGGAGGAGAATCGTGTTTATCAAGACAAAGTTTAAGCAACCGACCAAACCTTATAAGTATGTGGAGGGCGATAAGGTTTATCACTCTTCTTGAGCTGATAATGACCAGTTTCTTGAATCTTTGGAGAAACCTCTGTGGTACATCCATACACCCTAGGCAAGGCACCAGCTCTACAGAGTCCACCACTGTCAGGATTTTTCCAAGATCGTCGAGACAGGGCATCAACTCTCCCACAATCTGAATTAGAGAAAAAAAGCTAAACAATTTCTGCATGATTTTCATGAAAAAGGTTAAAATCTAAAAATCAGAGAATACTCATCTTCATTTACACCAGGTTATGAAACAATAGCCCACTTTGAAGAAATGAACAAAACTTACATTTATTTTGTTAACACCTCGATTTGTGAAGTAGATGGCAAAATTGAACCAAATGTCGTCTCAAACTATTTGAACAATCAATTGACTTAAAGACAAGTCTTTTTGCCTTATCCCTACACTTTAATCGGCGATGACTATCATCCAATTATAAGAAAATGTAATTTCAGCTATAACCACAGTTTCCTAATTGTCTTATGGCCACAAAGCCTAAAAGGGAAGTATCATATAAAATCAAGAAATCATTAGTTTTTCCTTATAAAATCAGGAAATAATTATCAGTTTTCTTTTTCAGGTAGAAGAAGCCCTCTATTTTCATCCAACAGTCATGCCACAGCAAAGCTTCACACCCATGTCATAGTACCGGAAGCTATATCTTGTCATTCAAAAACATAATCAACACTTCATAAAATTTTTCATTTTCCTCTGCTTCTTTGTTTGATTCTCTCATTGTTCATCAGTGTGCATATTGCTACAAGAAGATGTGACATAGTGGAGACAATACACAATGTATAGTCTTGCACAAACTAATGAGACATGTCTGAGCCAAAAGATTGATGTGAAGCAAACTCTTACTCCAGCATGCGCAGAAAATAAGTCGATGTTAAAATTGAAATGCTGAACAGCAAGAAAAGACTTAAACCAAAGACCTGAATCAAAATTGCTTTGTGAGTGACCATCTCTATTGTTCAGCCCAGATCTTCCCATCACATAACCCTCCAAAATTGTCACTCAACTCCCATCTGGTTGATGCCAATGAATTAGAATCACTACCCCAAGAACTGTACAATGATATACTACCAGCTATCCTTGGTTTCTCCAATTTACTATCAAAAACATCATGGAATTCACTGTTCCAAAAAGAAACATCACAGTAAGAGCAACAAAGAGCATGCACAACAATAGAATCTATCATAGACTAATGGCAATTAAACCACACATGAGCAGTGGTGCCTTACCGGAGAATTGATCTTTCCAATCCACTAGGTAACCTTTTGCAAATGTCCAAAGCATTAAAAGATAAAAGAAAATCTCTTGTATACAATGATTTGAACTGTCTGAATCATTAAACAAACACATAAAAAGAAGTGTAGTTAGGGTCCAAAATGAAAGAGTACAAAATAACAAAAAAAAATAGTCAGCTTAACGCATATTTGACAATTGGAATCTGTCAATCGACTGCATAATTTCTTGTAACAATTATTAGCCATAAAAAGTCTAAGTAACCTTCTGCAAATTCCGAGATCACTAAAAAAAACAAAAGAAAATATGTTATATACGATAATTTCAACTGTTTGCTCGATCACACCAAAATAAATAAACAAAATAATCTAGTTAAGGTCCAAAATGAAACACAGTACGAAATAACAAATAAAATTACCTTGATGCGGATTTGACAATTGAAATCAGATAATCCACAGCTGAATTTCTTGACTAGCAACAATTATTTTAGCAGTAAAAAAGTTGATAGCAAGTGGAATCTCTGAACTATAAGTAATCATGGACACCCCAATAATAACAAAGTAAAACTTAACAAAATTTAAGTAAATCTGTTGAATAAGCATTCTCTTACCTTAAAATTGACGGCTCAAATCCTCGAGGTAATCTTTTGCAAATATCCAGTTCGTTTAAAGATAAAAGAGACGCTCTAGTATATGTAATCTTTGACTTTCTGCAATAAATAATAATAAATCCATCACAAAAACAGAAATATATTGACTATTAATAATCATAAAAAGTAGTCGCTTTATACACAGAGATCAATAAAAAGTTCATTAAATTACTCCGAGGTATCCTCTGTACATTCATCTAACTCCAGCCACTCAGACATGCATTGATCTTCAACTTCGTTTCTCATTTTCAAATTCTTCCAAGAAAAAAAAAAAATCACTGCTCAAAGAAATCTAATCGTTGTAATGTTTTTAAACTTCACTTTCAACTCTAGAACTTCGAATCTGTCAGTCTTATCTTGCAAAATAAAGTTCTGTATCCACAATGTCACTGTAAAAACCCTAGCTAGTAATCACTACTTTTGCATCAAAATCCTGCACTTCTTCAGAAGCAGCGATTTATTCTATATACAGAACGCGTGGAGTGCAAATCTCATCGTTTTAATCTGTGATATGAACAATGGCCGCAGAGATACAGGGTTTGTTTACTATAACTGGAACGAAAAGTGCAGCTGAAGAGAAGGAGCAATGGCCGCAGAGATATAGGGTTTGTTTACTATAAATGGAAAGAAGAGAGAGAGAGAGAGAGAGAGAGAGACAAAACACCCGAGGCACAAGGCTCTCCAGGATGATTTGTGTCGAGCCAGAAAGTAGGGGTCGGGGGTGTGTGCTTATATATTGGTGGGGGGGGGGGGAGTGTATTACGGTTCAACAGATCCAATTAATGCTTGCCACGTCATGAAAATGAGTTATGGGTGCTCCAAAGACGCGGCTTCACGAGATTTTTGTTTTAAGTGTGAAAAACTTTCCCTATTATTTTTTCACTTAATTTCATTGAACGATAAATCATTCGTAATGCATTCACTTACTATAGAATCTGATCATGCACTCCTTTTGTTAAGTACCTATGGCAAACAGTGTCAACTCTCCAAAGCATTCAAATTTGAGCCAATGTAGACAAGGGACTACAGAAGTTAAAAGATTATGGCAAAAGAGAGAAAGGGGTTTCATTGCTTACAAATTCTGCAAAAAACTCCAGGAAACAAAACAGGCTTTAAGGAAGTGGAACAAAGAGCAATTTAGAAATTGTATCAAGAAAAAAAAAGAGTCTTGAATAGTAGAATTGATGAGCTGCAACAGGAAGAGCCAAATCCATACAATACAAGGTTCTTTCATTTCACCATAGTTATTAGAGGAAGAAGGAACTCAATTGATTGTCTAAAGCAAAAAAATCAGTTTATTTCTCATTTCCAAACTCTCTTCAACACATTTAATACCAATTTCCCCACCATTTAATCCCAATTTCCCCACTCACTGAATGACTAATCACACCAATCATTACCCAATTCCAGCATCATGAATTATTTGTCATTCCTACAATGAAAGAAATAAAGTAACCTTATTTGTAATCCTTTGGTATCAGACTAAATTTTTTTTTTCTTTTACGAATATTTTAATTTCAACGTGAATGATCAGTCTTTAACTAAATTGAGAAAGAAATTATCGAAATACGAATAAACTCAATCAAACTTTGACCAATGAACAAACAAAAAAATGCACTTCAAGTGTAGCGTTAATTGTTGAACCATGCACATGTTACAAATGTTTGGCTTTCGACAACTGCGGCTGGTGAGAAAAAAAAATCCGTGTTTTTACTTACTAGACTAACTACTTGCTAGTTATGTCCAAATAATAATGTCCCTAGATATGGTTGTAATATTTTGATTAGGGAGCAAAATTCTACTTCGCATGTAAGAGAAAAAAATAAATTTTTTATTTTATAAAATATTATTATGTTATTAATACGTATATTTTATATAAACATTGCGTATGTCAAAATTATTTCTAATTATTTATTATATATTCCCTCCGTTCTTAAATATTGTCATTTTATACAATTTTTTTTATTCCATAATATATGTTGTTTAATGAAACTAAAATATAATTAATATTTTTTCTTCTAAATTTATCCTTAACTTTTCAATGCATTAGATTTTGTAAAGGCTAAGTGTCTTTCATAGTCATTTTCTTCTTAATACGTATTGAATAAAGGTATTTTAGTCTTGTACAATTATTTTTTACTCATATTAAAGTTATTTAATAGATTCCTTAATTCCTGTGCAAAAATTTTAAACAACAGATATTTAGGAACGGAGAAAGTATTACAACACTAAGAAACACCCTTGGAGTTATAATATGAGGATGGCATAAACTAAATTCAAATTTGTACTTCAATTTATACTATTAGAAAAAAAAATTGGGTTGAATATTCACCAAGCAAATGCCTATAAATTTTATTATTTTCCTTTCAATTTAATCATATATAACTTTTTAATTGCGTGTGATTCCTCTCACAATAGTGATCCGACAGGACATGAGGAGAAGGCTACGGTACATCCAAGGGCATTTTTGGTACCATACCAAAAATTTCATATTACATCATTAATGGTATGTTTACTAAATTTATGGTATATTTACACCGATTGGTAGACAAGATAAGACATTGAAATGACAAGACAAGACATATTTTTGATCTGTCATTAAATTAATTGAGGGCAAAATTACAACATTAATGAGAAGTTTACAACTATAGTGAACAAAATTACAACATTAATGAAAATTTTACAACAGTAGTGAATAAAATTACAAAATTTGTGGGAATATTTACCAAATTTATGAAAAATATTTATAACTTCAGTAGTATATTTACCAAATTTATGAAAATTTTTACAACTTCAATAGATTCATTACTAGTCCATGATCGATCAAATATATGTTTGATCGATCATGGACTTTTTGTCTTTCTCTTGCCGCAATTAAGTTAATTGAGGGCAAAATTAGAACATTAGTGATAAGTTTACAATTATAGTGAACAAAATTACAACATTAGTGAAAATTTTATAACAATAGTGAATAAAATTACAAAATTTGTGTGAATATTTACAACTTCAGTGGTATATTTACCAAATTTGTGAGAATATTTATAACTTCTGTGATATATTTATCAAATTTGTAAATAGTCTTTACAACTTCAATGGATTCATTACTAGTCCATGATCGATTAAATATATGTTTGATCGATCATGGACTTTCTGTCTCTCTCTCTATACCACAAATTTGGTGAGAATATTTACTAAATTTGTGGAAATATTTACAACTTCAGTGGTATATTTAATAAATTTGTAAAAATATTTACAACTTCAGTGATATGTTTACCAAATTTATGAAAATCTTTACAACTTCAATGGATTCATTACTAGTCCATGATCGATCAAATATATGTTTGATCGATCATGGACTTTCTGTCTCTCTCTCTCTATACCACAAATTTGGTGAGAATATTTACTAAATTTGTGGGAATATTTACAACTTCAGTGGTATATTTAATAAATTTGTAAAAATATTTACAACTTCAGTGATATGTTTACCAAATTTATGAAAATCTTTACAACTTCAATGAATTCATTACTAGTCCATGATCGATCAAATATATGTTTGATCGATCATGGACTTTCTGTCTCTCTCTCTATACCACAAATTTGGTGAGAATATTTACTAAATTTGTGGGAATATTTATAACTTCAGTGGTATATTTAATAAATTTGTGAAAGTATTTACAACTTCAGTGATATGTTTACCAAATTTATGAAAATCTTTACAATTTCAATGGATTCATTACTAGTCCATGATCAATCAAATATATGTTTGATCGATTATGGACTTTCTGTCTCTCTCTTTATGATTGTTCTGTTACAACATTAATGAAAAATTTATAAGAGTAATAGAAAAATTACCACAATAATGATACAAATTACAATATTAGTGAAAAATTTATAACAATAGTGGAAAAAATTTAAAACAATAGTGAAATTTTTTTTTTGAATGTTTATAATCAATCACAAGAATTTGATAGATCAAACAACAATTTGATCGATTTTTCAAAATTCAATTTTAAAATATGTTTAATAAAAATTTAATTTTAATTTTTTTTAAAAAAAATTAAAATTAAAATTTTATTAAACATATTTTTGATAGAACAATTAAACAAATAAATTTGGTAACACATACCACTGAGGTTGTAATTATTCCCATAAAAAATTCATTCAAATTATAAATATTTCCATAAAAATGGTAAATAAAAGTGACAATTATTATTATTTTTTAGAATATATCAAAATTATTATTCAGAATATATCGAAATTATTTTTTTTTTATCTCCAAAATATTTGCGATCTATCGCAAGGTTGAAGTAGTCTCCCCCAATTTTTTTTGAAAAACAGTAAGTTTGTGATCGATCAAATCTCCCCACGATTGATCAAATCTCCCCATGAAGTTGTAAATATTTGAATCCATTGAAGTTGTAAATATTTTCACAAATTTGATAAACATGTCACTGAAGTTGTAAATATTTTCACAAATTTGATAAATATACCACTGAAGTTATAAATATTCTCACAAATTTTGTAATTTTCTTCACTACTGCTGTAAAATTTTCACTAATGTTATAATTTTGTTCACTATAATCATAAACTTCTCACTAATGTTGTAATTTTGCCCTCAATTGATTTAATGACAGCTCAAAAATATGTTTTGTCTTGTCATTTTAATATTTTATTTTATTTACCGATCGGTATAAATATATCATAAATTTAATAAATATACCATTAATGTTGTAGTATGAAATTTTAGTATTACCGTAGCCTTCTCCGGGACGTGACAAACCCGCCGACAAACAGTACCACAACGTGGGGCATACCCGAACTCTAAAAGAACCGAAAGTAGAGTCAAATCCGAAAGGGCAACGCAACGACCAACGTCGGCGCATTTTACCATCATCCTTGACAGCCAGAACGGAGGAGAATACGCACCCACACCGTCGTTTCGCCACCTTTCAGTGCACATGAGTAGAACAGTTGATGGCGAGTGCATCCACCAGAAAGAAACTTAACAAGCGATCATCCCCCAAGCCTCAACAACACTATTCGTCCATGTCGTCTTCTCCTTCTTCTTCGCCGTTGTCGTCGTCGCCTCGTCTCAATTACAGAAAGATCTCTCTGATTGTTTCAGTCATTCTAATTATAAGCGTAATTATTCTATTAAACATTTCATGGAGCATGTGGATCAATTTCGGAACCAAAACCTCCCGGAATCAACTTTACTTCATTGAAGTAATCAACGAGTTTCCTCACGATCCCAACGCCTTCACTCAGGTCCAATCTTTGTAAAATTATCCAATGTATTTGTTATTTTGTGCCATCAGGTTTGATCTGATTATCATTGGCGATTAACATTCGATGATTGTTTATTTTCAGGGGCTTCTGTATGGAGGAAATGATACTTTATTCGAGTCAACTGGATTGCGCAAACATGTGAGTTTTTGAGTTTCTGCTTCACTTTGGCCCCATAATGTCCCTAATATTTAGGGTTGTTTCACAGATGCTTTCGAGTTGCTACTCTTATTATCATGCTGTGGCACTATGATTTAATTTTTGCGCTGTTTGGATTCTTGCCCAATTTTGTAGTTTCGTAAATACTATTTCTAGTTCAAGTTCATGACCCTAATTATTCAAATTTCATGTTTGCGTGATGTCTGTTCGAAAATAATCATCCACTTATAGTTCAGCTGCAATACCTTAGTCGACCTTTTCATTTTTGTGAATGCAGTCATCAGTTCGGAAAGTGGAACTTCAGACCGGGAAGGTACAGAACTATAAGACTTGATTATGCAAATTCTCATTTGAACTTTCTATCCTCACTTAAATTTCATTTAAATGTCCTGTGTTTTGAACAAAATCTTTCACCTAAAAGCTTTAGAACTCTAATCTGCTAAACATTTGAATCTTTGTTTTTTGTTTATTTTTTTTGGTATGCACAGGTTGAGGCTATTCAGAAAATGGATAACGTCTATTTTGGAGAAGGCTTAACTCTACTTGGTGAAAGGTTTGTGATGGAAGAATTGATGATATCAAATGCCAGTTCTTAAAGAAATTGAATTTCTCAATGTTAGTCTTAACATCTGTTGCCTTTGAAATTTAGGTTCATTGCGTCAATTTGAGCCATCCAATAATTGGTTGGCACTGTCTTAATGATAAAACAGATGCATTTTGATATTGTTAACATCACACTTTTACTTCAGAACTTGCTCATTTGACAGCGGTGATTGTCTGTCTCTGGCGTCTGACTGTAGTGTTGTATCCACAATAAATCTAGCGTTGACATTTCAGCTATTAAATTTGTTCTGTGTTGTTCTGTTTTGCACCAATTTCTTGATGCATTTCGTGTAGACTAATAACTGGGTGGTTCCCTGCAAACCACTAGAATCTATATTGCTTGCTGCTGTTTGTTAAGAAGCTAGGCTCTCATGCTGGTACCTTGCATGTAAGATATGTTGCTTTGCTAAATCTACTATTTGAAAGGGTTTGTGAACACCCCCATTCAGCTACTGTCACGGGAATTTTAAAATTTATGAGCCACATCAATTGAATTGATTCTATGCGACTTTACCTGATTGGGATGCTAACCAAGATTTGATAACAAGATTGCTACCCTTTACTACTATATATATACTCATGTTTTTTCTTGGTTCATCATACTTTCTTGTTCATTTTTATTGTTCTACAGTTTGTTATTTATGCATACTTTTTGAATTCAAAAGAGCCCCCATTCTGATTAAGAAATTCTATCCCCTTTTGTAGGTTGTTTCAAGTTACTTGGTTGAAGAAAACTGGTTTCATATATGACAGAAATAATTTAAGCAAAGTTTGTGCTTTAACTTTTACTTGTATTGTATTGTTCCGTGCCATTTTTGTTCAGAAGCTTCTTTTCCTGCTTGAATGTAAATGAAACTCTGAATAGAGCCACAATTGAGGTCAATGGAGTTTTCTCTTGATCATATAAAGAAGTTCATAATTTTGCCTGGAGTAGTTCCGTTTCTGTATATTTGAGTTGAACTTTACTAAAGTGGGTAGTTAAATTTTAGGACCTTTGAATTTGCATTAGTCCAATTCCTCTCTTGTGGTCAAAGTCAGAGACAAAATTTAAGGGTAGATATTGATAAAGATCTGATCCAAAAACTGTGTGCTGCATTCTGACTAAAGTGTTGGCTGAATTTTGTCTTATGTGAAGCGAAGTGCTTCTCTCGATGATCACAATAGGCATATAGTATCAGCTGTCTCTGTCCTTGATCTTGATGTAGTTATCAACTCCCTTGTAGTTGCATCATTTAAGAACTTAATCGTTTGCATTGCCATTTAAACTACAAATGTTTCTCCTAGGATTGTTTTTGAAACAGTTGGAATAATAATTACCAAAATCATCCATTCAGAGAAACTAAAATTGAATTTGGGAAGTGAAAATCGTGGATGGTATTTGAATAGAAAGATTCAATGTGCCCAGAAAGCTGTGCCACATGGACACATACATAGATATGGATTTGACATGATGACTTGATATATCCTTGAGCATCAGAAGATAGATGGGATGGATAAACAACTGAAGTGAACTCCATTTCTCTTGGCTATTAGATGGAGCTTGATTAGAATCAGGGGCTTTGCGATATCATTCTCCAGGCTTATGGTAATCAATGAAGACCCGTTCGATAGTATGAATTGAGATGATAACTTATGGAGTGAATTTTTTTAAAGGTCTTAGTTTTACTTTTTTTATATCTACTATTTATGTTTTACATCTCATTGAAGTACTTATACACTATTGCCTTATTCAGTCTGTTGATAAGTCTCATCCATGACTATAGTACAACAAAAAGCCTAGTCCAGTTTGTGCTAGGAAGATAAAACTGCCATAGTTAAAATCAACTTCTCTGAGGCACAGTTTCGTATTACATTCCAGTTACATAGATATTATGTTATAAACTCATGCATAACTCTCACCATAAGATAGAGTGTGTACAATCTCCTTGGACTGAGCTGGATGTCTTTTGGAGTGCTTAATTGATTGCTGGTTTATATCTCTGGTAATTTATAAACTGTACTGCTCAATGCAGTTTGAGAAATTTACTCATGAGATGCAAGATGGTTGGGGATTGGCAACCGATGGGAAAGTTCTATTTGGAAGTGATGGAACTTCAAAACTGTATCATCTTGATCCTCAAACATTGAAAGGTTTCTCTCACATAAACATTGTTCCTTTCCAGTTCTTTTGTTTTTCTCATTTACCTTTTTCTGAGGGTAGGCATTTTTCCCTTAGAATGTATCTAGTTTTCACGTGATATGATGGTATCTTTTAGAGTATTCTTTCCTTCTTTTGATGTCTTTTTATTTTTCCTATACACTTTTGCTTTATGAACTATTTGCCCATTATTGCAGTCATAAGAACAGAAACTGTGAAGTATAAGGGTCATGAAGTACACAACCTCAATGAACTGGAGTACATAGGTGATGAAGTTTGGGCAAATGTTTGGCAGGTATAAGCCCACTTTTTTTATTGTCTCTTCATGGGTTGGGTTTGCTTTTCTTATTTTGGAACACATACGATGTAGGCATCTTGTTACAGGCATGGGCAGGCTGTATCTTGGGAAGTTTTCTTATATTGCCCCAGGAGGTGTATCATGAAGCAAAACTATGTAATTAAAAAGCAACTTTTTCTTGGCTCAGCTCTCTTTTTGGTTACTTTACACCAGTCTATGTCTATTCTTTGGTATCTTGTGACATACAAGGGCACGGTTGTTTGGAATTGTGCATTTCCAACGACAGTTCGGATTTTTGAGTTTTCAAATGGCATTTTTTCAAAATATGAAGTTGGCAATTATATTGCAAATGTAGCCTTATTTTTTAAGTTTTCTCAATGCTATTTTTTGCGGCATTTAATCTTTTAAAGAGAGTTTGATTCTTTGGATGATGCCACCTTATCCTCAGATGTGTTTTGCGGGAAAAAAGAAAAATGTATGACCTTTTTGGTCAAGAGAATAAAGATCATGACCTGAGTTGCTCTTTCTTCTGTCCGAGTTGAGTATGCGAGCAAGACGGCCAATGGAACCCTTGACCGCAAATTGACTTACTAATTCATAGGACCAGTGAACCATCATTTTTTAATGTAACAAGTCCATGTATGTATTCACATATACACATGCACAGTGACCTGGAGCCGATCGGGATGGATTTTTTAAAATCTCCTGTTTGCTCTCTCTCTCTCTATCACACACACACACACACATTCGTCCGTGCTGTGCATCCTAGGACTGCTGCCAGTGTCATCAAATTTAGAAACATACATCTGTACTGCTATTATCTCCTGACTTAAGCTCTGACCTTGAGCTACTTGTTGCATCCTACTATGCGAAGGCCTCTGATTTGGATAGTTCCTAAGTTTGAACAATGCAGAGATGTTATGCCCGTACTGAGAAGGTCATTTTTTCAATGCCTTTGAGCCTACTTAATATTATAGATTTTACCCACTGCTTCCTCAGCCATGAATGTGCCAGCTATGCCTCTTTTTGGTGCAAAAGTGATAATTTATCAGCTTTGAAGGGTGGAAATTGTTATAAATTCTACGATTGATTTATGGATGACATGATGTCTTTCTCCAATGGATTACCTTTTAAAGTGCTTTCTCTGCACAGACTGACTGCATAGCTAGGATCTCACCTAAAGACGGTGTCGTGCTAGGATGGGTTCTCCTTCCCAGTTTAAGGTTCTGCTTTTTGTTTCTTCTTTCTCTATTATGGACTCGTGACCATTATTCTATGCATGGTAATAGCATAAACTTTTTTCTTTGCTAGCTTTTGCAAGAGAGTTGTATTAACCTATCATTTCTTGATGATTTTATAGAGATGGATTGATAGCGGCTGGAAACAGAGTAAGCATTTTCAGATAGATGCCTAGCCTTGTAAATAGCTTTTGTGTTTGTTATCAAGGAGGTATTTAAATTTATCATCGAGTTTACTTTCACTTTTCTGACTTATTTATGTGGAAATTTACAGAACATCGATGTCTTAAACGGCATAGCATGGGATAGAGAGAAGAACCGCCTTTTCGGTAAGCTCTAGGCTTTTCGCTTTTTTTTTTCTCGTCTGAGTATCTACCACCAGCATCTTTTGGAATGTGACCTAATTCGTGAGAGGATTATGCTAGAAGAAACCAGTTATATTTATCACCACTATTTATTATGGTTTTATAGCAGTTGTCTGCATATATTGACGAGTAAGCCACTTCTGTTTGCACTTTACAGTAACTGGAAAACTTTGGCCAAAGCTATTTGAGATCAAGCTGCACCCAATGAGAAAACAATTTCATGGAGACATTAAGGAAATTTGCATGTCAAATCCAGTTCATTTTGCAATACCATAGATCAGTTGTGCCAGTCAAATTGCAAATACGTTAAGCTGCGGCACTGGTTCTGATGAATGTTTATTGAATACCATGGCTTTTTTTTTTTTTTTTGTGGTAGCAGATCTTTAATAGTGTAGATATCAATCGGCATAGTGTCAAAGGAAACACAAACTGGAAAACTGTATTTACCCTTTTTAAGTCATTTTTGCAGGTCTTGCATTTCTCATGCTATTGCCCTGCCCAAACTTGCATTTGTATGTTTGGTGATGTACTCATAATTTGGATGGATCGAATTAAATTGTCCTCTCTCTCTATGTGTGCGCGCGTGTGATAATTTGTATGTTGAGCAATGCTAAACATACTAGAGTAATGCTATTGGGACCTAATTTGTATGTTTGGTAATGTAACCATAATTTAGCTCGAGTTAAATTGTTGTGTGTGTGTGTGTGACACTACCGGAATGCAGCAAAAGGTGAGTAGAAGCCTTCTTATTCTCCCATTGTACGAGCCTTGTTTAACTTGTTCAAATGTCTGGTTACACTACCCTGATTTTTTTTTTTTTTTTCGGGGGGGGGGGTTCCATGGGTATTATGTTGTAATTTCAAAGGAGGCAGATCATGGTTGATGCTGTCCTGATCTACGAGTTTCTAATGATATGATTGGTGAGAATGTCACTTCCATTAGAAATTAAACAGTTATATATTATTTACTGAATAATCCGTATTATATAAGAGAATATATATAGGAAAGGCTAAAATCTTAATCGTTCCATAATAAAAGTAAAATTCTTAATTATACAAAAATTATTAAAAGCACAAAATTGTAATCTAATTAATTAACATAAAAACACGTGTTGTCCAAAAAATAAATCAACTGAAAACACTGAGTTCAAAATTTTCTATGATTAATTATTAATTTTTGAATTTTTTTTTAAAATAGTTGAAATAAATTTTTGAAGGCTTAAGTGATACTCTCTCTGTTCCTAAATGTCTGTCGTTTAAGGTTGTCGTACAGGGATTAAGGAAGTTATTAAATAACTTTAATATGAGTAAAAAATAATTGCACAAGACTAAAATACCCTTATTTAATATGTATTAAAAAGGAAAAGAATATGAAAGACACTTAACTTCTACCAAATCTGATGCATTGAAAAGTAAAAAGTAAATCTGGAAGAAAAAATATTAATTATGTTTTAGTTTTATTAAACGACAAATATTATAAAACAAAAAAAATTGTGTAAAAAGACAGATATTTAAGAACAGAGGAAGTAGAATTTAACCTAACACTAAAGGAGCGAAATTATGAGTCTTGATCACTGTTTTAATCTAGAGCAAACACTATTGGCCTCGATCAATTCTGAGTTTGAACTATTTTACCTTTGCAACTTTCTGCTTCAAATAATCAACAGCCGCCTGTTTACCATCAACCTATGTTTTTTTGAGTGAAGAGCAAGAGACAGAGTGGTTGCAGAAGAGTTCATAGATTCTCATAGAGGTGCAATCAACAAAGACTCTTTCCTAATCGCGACACAGTTTACAAGGTTATCACACGAAGATCATTGCTTTTCCTTGGTCACTATGGGTAAACTTGAATATTCACATAATTTGTATAAAGTGGTTACCCTCGTATTCGAATCCATTAATTGTTAGCCCGATTCATAAATATCGGGATAATTTTTTTGTTAAATTTAGTTGATTGTTACCTCGACATTGATTCCACTGACCGGACTGCCCTACTGTAACATTGATATACATGCTAATGGCGATTTGGCTTCACTCACGAAGTTGTCATCTCAATCCTAGAGGTTAGGCCCGGTAAAGGATCGTGTTTTGAATTAGATTTTGGATGATTCAAATTTAAATTTGATTTAAAAATTTGATCCGAATCCAATCTGACAGATTTTATTTTTTGTGGTACATATTTGAATTCGGTAACAATATGAAATTTAATCTGACCCAAATAATTTAATTAACTAATTTATAGCAAATTACCTAAATTTTAACTAATTTTTTTAAAATAATTACTTAATTTTTTAAGTATTTATATAAGAATATATAAATAATTCGGATAGGACCATAATCGGATTGAATATTGATATATACAAAATCCGAATCCGTTAAATATAATATATCGGATTCAAATTTGAGTTTGAATTAACATTAGAAAATATTAGTCCATATTCAACGAACTGAATTCAAATTTGACTGAAAAGTAAAAAATATCAATGGATCAGAATCCGATCCATTGATAAAGTTATTGAAAAGTAGCTTACGTGATAATAAGAAAGAGTTGTAATCTCAAACGTCTGGAGTTTGAATTTTGACAATTTCTTAAGAAATAAACAATGATTATGAGGAATTAATTTTTCATGAATATTCTAATCCTAACGTGAATAATTTGCCTTTAATCTAATTAGAGAAGATTAGTCGAAGTGTGTATAAATTTACTACAATACCCTCACCAGTTAACCCAAAAAAAAAATTTGTTGTGATCTCATGATTCCCGCTACATTCGTTGGCTCAGTTAGTTATCGAGATTTGAATTTAAAAGAAAGAGTTATACTAAAACTCAACGTCTTCAGCAAAAGCTAAACCAAGCGAAGGAAGAACTCATAGCTGAGTTCCATAGTCCTCCATTTTCATGAAGCTCAAAACCCCACTTCATATCTCTCCATTTCTTTTTATTTGAATCTCTCTCTCTCTCTCTCTCTCTCTAACTATGTCATTTGCTGTGTCATTCATTACCCAGAAGCTCTCCGTGCCAACCTCATTCTTCGGCTTCAAGCTTTGGATCACAATCGCCATCTGCATTGGATTAGTCATTGTATTGGCTCTTCTCTGCATTTGCTGTTACTTCATCTCCTGTCGTCGTCGCAAACCTCCTGAAGTCCGCTATCGTAAAGCGAATCCGGCCGCCGCCTCGAAGAATTTACGTAGTAATTACAGTGCTTCTTCGCTTGATAGGAGGCTGCTGTCCAGCAATGGCTGGGACGTGGAGATGAGCATTGCCGCACCGGAGAAGAAGGCGTTGTACTCCGATCAGTGGTCGACACAAACCGGCGGGACAACTAGTAATGTGAACGATTTAGGGGCCGTTACGGTGGTTTCCGATGTATGCAGAGGAAACAGATTTACACTGAGGGATATTGAAGTAGCCACAAATGGGTTTGCTGATGACAATGTGATTGGGAGTGGGGATTATGGGATTGTTTATCGCGGTGTTCTATTGGATAATACTCGAGTTGCAGTAAAAAAATTGCCAAGTAACAGGTAAATCCTTGTTTTATATCTCTTATCATAATCTATGTGCTGTGATTGCTAAAAAAATTGAACAATTCGGTAAGATTGGCTATCCAAGAATGTAGAAGTGAGTATGGGCCGTCGGTTCGGCTGGAAAAAATTAAATAATACAAGAGATTCAGGTGATGCTGTAGCGTTACGAAACCAAATTTTGGCATTGTAGAACGATGACTAAGATGATTCAGTTGAGCAGACCTTCATCGCTCTCAGAACAGTCTGAATGGGAAACAAGTTGGCAAGTCTTATCAGTCTTTACCGATACTTTGAACCATAGCTTAAGAGTCCGTTGGATTGTGTGTTGCTGATAATTCCTAGTAGTATGAGTATACTTTGAACTATGGTTTGGAGTTTAGTTTTGGTTATTTTGCTGATTTTTTTTTTGGTTAGGATCTCTTCCTCGATCTGGTTAAAAACAGATCATTTACGCCGAAATTAAATATTCACGGGGATAAATTTTTATAATTTATCCTTATTATCATTTGAGTTACCTTTGATTTAAATCTTAATTGAAATAAATTATTATCAGAAAGACATAAGTTGAAAAATTATTTCCTAATGATTGTTTTAAAATAATGAACTGACTGATAAGTACATATCAGGTTTAAAGCAGAGGAATTTGTAGCAAAAGTGGAGGCTATGTGGCGAATTGGACACAAGAATCTGGTTAAATTGCTCGGATACTGTACTGAAGGAACTTACAGGTACCACTTATTTTGATGAATCTTCACACCAATGATTCAGATCCCCAGTGCTTCTAATATCCTTTTCATTTGGAATATTAGATTGCTTGTGCATGAATACATAGACAATGGCAACCTTCAGCAGTGGCTTCATAGATGCATAGGGAAAGTTAGCCTTCTAACATGGGATATGAGGATGAACATAGTCTTAGGAACTGCAAAAGGGTGTGTTACTCTCTCCCGAAAACCAGATTTTCGCCTATTCCTGCTTCATTTTTTTGCAATTAGATTTAATATTTGAAGATAATTTGTTTCTGCAGATTGGCCTATCTTCACGAGGATATCGAACCTGAGGTTCTCCATCAGCACTTAAATTCTAGCAACATACTACTTGATCGCCAATGGAATCCAAAACTCTCCGATTTTGGTATCGCCAAGCTCTTAGGTCCTGAATGGAGTCCTGCCATAGCTCATCCGATGGGAATGTCAGGGTCAGTATGTTTGTTTAATTTAGTAATTTCTTTTCAAAACAAGAACGAGGATTGATTTGATTCTGAAGATGGACCACAAATTTTCATTCAATGCAATTATAACTGATCCTAAAGGTTAAAAAATTTAGAAAAAATATGGTTACAAACGAATCACTGATTTGGAACAACATTCTAATGGGAAAGTATGAAATTGTATCCTTTTTTCATCATTAAATGTACATAGGCAGTAGTGTACTGTTGAGCAATTTACTAGTAAGCTTTTTGGTATGGTTTTGTAGTTATATTGAACCAGAATATGAATGCACTGGTGTTGTAGACAAGAAGAGTGATGTTTATAGCTTGGGATACTTATCATGGAGATTGTTTCTGGGAAGCCCCCGATAGAGTATAGCGAAACCGAGATTGAGGTCTATGGTCCTCCTCCTGCAACCTTCAAATGCTTCCTTTTTCTTCTCTGAACTTCATATAAACTCTTCTGACTATGCTAATGCAGATGCACTTGGTAGAGTGGTTTAAAGCCTTGATTGCTGAACAAAACTTCAGTCTTTGTTGTGGATCCTAAGTTGCCTCAAATGCCTTCGCCAAAGGAACTCAAACGAATTCTGTTGATTGCTCTTCGTTGTGTAGATCGAGAGGTTGATAAGAGGCCTAAAATTGGAGATGTGATCCACATGCTCGAGCCACACGATTTGCTACTCACTGATGTAAGAGGAGGAATTCTAGCAAAAAAAAAAAAAAAATTCATGATTCAACCAATAAAAGTTTTCAAACTTAGCCTAATTCTTTAAATTTGTAGCTGATCAATCACACTACTGTTTATTCTGATGATGCAGGGGTGTATTTTGAGGCGAGAAATTTCTCGACGTAGTTTCTTAACAGAGAATTCATTGTTGCCGAACTAGGTGAGAATGCTAACAGTATATGATCTAAAGAAGAAAACCCGCAACGATTTCTATAGAAGATTCTGTAAATATGCCACCATGATCAGCACAGGTCATTGACATATCAGTTGGAGCGTATATATTATTATGTTACCGGTGCAAAGTTTTGTTTGATTCACAAATGCTTTAGTAAAACTGGTTTTAAGGGTTTTTGGTAGAGCTTACCAATTTATGGAATGCACTCCCTTAATGGGTTCATTTACCACTTTGTTGCATTTAGACATTGCAAGTGAGATGTACCATAAATTCAGATGTCTTAATTTCGAATCTTGACTGATGAGACTTTTCTGAAATACCCTATGATGAAGACACGTGTCCTCGGTTCTACTAAAGCACTGTTGCTAAGATCAAGCACCATCGGCGCACGAATGTCCTCGCCCCCAGGTACCGTCATATAGGATCATGCATTCAGTATGTTTTACAACCGACACGTGTCCTCGGTCAGATATGTACCTCGGTCGGCAACCTCCCTCGGTCCCCGAGATGAGCCTTTCCTCGGTGCCGAGAGATACCCTCCTGGACACTTCCTCTACTCCAGGATAAGCTATTGACGTGCAGGTCATTAGCCTAGGCTAGTCTAGGCTATTCATCATGACCTCGTCTTACACAAGTAATGTCAGAACGTACTGGAATACAGAGGTCACAGCCAATAGGGGATGGACGCGTGGCATATGATATCACATCAGAGACAGACAAACCGCATGCCGTTGCTGACACGCGACTTGGGAAAGCAAACAATTAATTGCACCATTCCCTTGATGAGACCGCATTCAATGCGGTAAGGCTCGGAAATGAAAGGCAATAAATGCTCCTATTACAGAGCATTTATTGCATCCTCCCCGAGAGGAGCACATTGTACCGTCGGCATCCCGACGACCCAGCATTGATTGCTCGGGACCCCGAGCAGTTAATTAGAGAAGACATTCCTCATCAGAATCAATGTACACGCTACCTGTGCCTAATGATCACCTACTGACCACACTGACAGCAATCATGAGCTTTTAAGGTATAAATACTCCTTGCAAAAGGCAAAGCGGGTATGCAACAACAAACTCTCTACAATACACACACACACTCAGTGTTTTCTCCCTCCTCTCTCTTTCTCAAAGACTGACTAGATCGTCGGAGGGGATACGCCGGAAAACACTCCGGCGCCCTTCTAACTTGTTCTTCTTTGTTCCAGGAACCTCTTTCAGCCTTACAGGATCGTTCTTCCTTTCCCAGGGTCTCCCGTTGCCGTTCCAGGTTACCACCGTACCTTGCAGGCTGTCCCAAGCAGCGTGTTTGGTCACTCAACCGGCTCACTCGAAGTTCACCAAGGGAGAGATCTGTTCTCGTTTTTTATATTGTGCAGGATCTTGCACGCACAATCTGGCGCCGTCTGTGGGAAACGACTAATTTTCCTAGTTTTTCTCTCTAAAGAACAGTGACCATGGTGAACACTCGACAGAAAGGGAAAGGACCCCACCAAAGGAGTCTCGAGTTACAAGCTCCCTGTCATCACGGAGGAAGGGATCACACCAACACGAATAAAAGTGCCTCTACTCGGTCAAGAGGGGTTACCCCTCAAACCAGTATGGGGATCAGGTCAGGGGATCAGCCCCCTTGGCTCGTCAGCTGGCGGAGGTGATTGAAGAAAAATTTGGCGATAGATTACGTCAGCTGGAGAAGGACAATGTAAACGTCCTTAGCCGGCTCGACGAGTTTGCCGCCTCAGGCGGAGGGTCGAGGGATTCATTCCTTTCCCGTGGACTTCCCGCCCGGGAGGCGGAAACGAAGGATCTAAGAAACCACCTAGACCACAAAGCAGAAAGCTCTAGGGCCCCAAAGCGACCCAGAGCCGGCGAACATCATCATGACAACCAGTCCAGGAAAGCAAGGCCATTGGCCCTGGACGACCTCCGACGAGGTTTGTCTAGACGGAGGAAGGGAGATGAATCCGAGGAGGACTCAACCCAATCCACACGACGCCCGGGAAATGAGGGGCTTACCAATGAACTCAGGACTTCAGAAGGCATCCCGTCAGGGAAGAAGTTGATCTCAGAGCCCGATTAGACTCCAGGAGAAAGGGTAAGACTGTCCAGGATGAGGCCGAGGACGAAGTCATACAAACACCCTTTACGAGGGAGATCAGTGAGATGGAGGTCTCAAGAAAGTTTGTCGTGCCGCGGTTCAAAACCTATGACGGGCGGTCCGACCCCGAAGCCCATATCAGACAATACAAGCAGATGATGTCCCTCTATCATTCGGACCACCGGTTTCTTTGCCGAGTGTTTCCTATGAGCTTGGGGGACTCTGCGATGAAATGGTTCGAGACGCTTCCCCCAAACAGTATTGGGTCCTGGAAGGAATTGACTAGGCAGTTCCTGGCTCGATTCATTACGGGGAGTAAGCGCCCCAAAGACATTGGATCATTGTTGACCCTCAGACGGAGGGAATCCGAGACTCTTCGCCAGTACGCCATCCGATACTGGGAAGAGGTCAATGAGGTAGAAGGCTGCTCGGAGGTCATGGCAGCAGCATCTTTCCGGCTCGGCTTGGCGAGGGACACGGACCTGTACCGATCCCTGACCAAGAAGACTCCCTCGGATATGGGGGAACTGATGGCCCGGATCAACAAGTACTCGAGGGTTGAGGACGAGATGGGAAGCAACAAAGGCCGAGCCCTCCAATCTAAGAGAAAGGAGAAGGAGCGCGAAGATATTCCCCGAAAGGGATTGCTACCCCATCCAGGGGGTTCGTCCAGAGGAGTTCACACTGTTTCAAGGAACCCATCTTCAAGTTGCTCCATAAAATCAAGCACGAGCCGTTCTTCAAATGGCCGCCCAGGATGCAGGGCGACCCCTCCACCCGTGATCAAAAGGTTAGGTGTTCCTATCACCGGGATTTCGGGCATCGCACCGAAAGCTGCAGGGTGTTCAAATCGTTCTTGGAAAGCTTGGTCCGAGACGGACATTTGAAAGAGTACATAGAGCCCAGGCCAGAAGAGAGACGAGCCCCTGCCCCGACCGAGGAACCGGACAACATCATAGATGTCATTCATATATGTCCCCTGGATCGCCCCACGTCCAAGGAACTCGAGTCCGACCTCAAGAGGGTAGCTTTTACGAGGAAGGTAGCCGAGGGTGATGTAGGGCCATCAAGTAAAAGGGCCAGGACGGGTGAGCTTGGCATTACATTCTCCGACGCGGATTTGACAGGCGTAGTGACCCCCATAACGACGCCCTTGTCTTGACCCTAAGATAGGGAAATTCGATGTCAAGAGAATTTTGATAGACTCTGGAAGCTCCTCGGAGGTGATGTACTTCGAAACTTTGAAACGGATGGGCTTTGGCCCCAAAGACCTCACCAAAGTCAGGACACCCCTCATCGGGTTCAACGGCTCATTCGCCTTGCCCGTGGGAAAAATCACATTGCCGGTTGCCACTGGTCCCTTTACCATCGACACGGACTCTCCCTACAACGTGATTATGGGGCGAACATGGCTGCATGCGTTGGGTGCGGTGCATTCCACCTTTCCACCAGAAATTAAAATTCGCCACGCCAGAAGGTATCATGGAGATCCGGGGGGACCAAGCGTCCGCGAAAAACTGTTTTTATTCAGCCGTTCGAGCCGGGGCGTCCAGCCAGGAGAAGGGGCGAGCACCGGAAGAGATTATGGAAAAATAGCAATTACAGTCCGGGCGTCCAGGAATGGATGACCCCCGGATAGACCCAACTGAGCGGTCAGTGAAGACCTCCGGAAGGTGCCCTTGATAGAAGGAGAAGAAGAGAGGTATTTTTAGTTGGAACCTCGATGCCCGCAGCCGAACAGGAGGAGATGATCAAGTTCCTAAGGGGAATACAGACGTGTTCGCCTGGAACGAGATGGAAATGACGGGGGTAGACCCCGAGATAATCACACACAGGCTGCATGTTGACCCGTCGCACAAGCCAGTCAAGCAGAGGCCACGACGCATGGCCCCGCATCACACCAACGCGGTCAACGAGGAAATCGACAAACTCCTGAAGGCCGACGCCATTCGAGAGATACAGTTCCCAGAATGGCTGTCCAATACGGTATGCGCAAAGAAGAAAGGGGGGAAATGGCGTGTCTGCGTAGACTTTACAGATCTGAACAAGGCATGTCCCAAGGATGACTACCCCCTGCCAAAGGTGGACCAGCTGGTAGATGCCACAGCCGGATATGAACGAATGGACTTCCTGGATGCCCGAGCAGGATATCATCAGATCCCTCTTTATCCCCCGGATCAGGAAAAGACGGCATTTATCACTCCGAAGGGAGTTTATTGTTACAAAGTGATGCCGTTTGGACTGAAGAACGCCGGGGCAACATACCAAAGGCTGATGAATCGGATGTTCAAAAAGCAGATCGGCAACACCATGGAGGTCTACATAGACGATATGCTGGTGAAGAGCAAACGGAGTTGTGATCATCTGACAGATTTGGCGGATACCTTCTCCACCCTCAGGGAGTATGGGCTGAAGCTGAATGCGGCAAAGTGCGTTTTCGGAGTGGAGTCCGGTAAATTCCTCGGATATCTGGTTAGTCAACGAGGAATCGAAGCCAACCCGGATCAGATTAAGGCAATCCTGGACATCCGAAGCCCTCGCACTGTCCGAGAAGTCCAAAAACTCACAGGGATGCTGGCTGCACTTAACCGTTTCGTCTCACGCTCCTCGGATAAATGCAAACCCTTCTTTGGAGCAATCAAGAGTGCTGGGAAGAATATGTGGAGCCAGGGGTGCGAGGACGCCCTGGCTGGGATCAAAGAATACCTAAGGACTCTTCCAACCCTGTCCGTCCCCATCCAGGGGGAGATGTTGTTCCTGTACTTAGCAGTTTCAGAGTTTGCGGTAAGCGGGGTACTTATCCGTGAGCATGAGCACCGACAGAAGCCGATTTACTACATAAGCAAGGCGCTCC